AAAAAATAAACTAACTTAATAAATAATAATTTTATTTAACTTAAATTAAAATAAATAACTTAATAAATAAATAAAATTAAAATAATTTACTTTTTTTTTTATAAAAAAAACCTAGTAAAATACTATAGTATAATTATAAAATAAATATATAATATATATTATATTATTATTAATTCTTATAAATTTATTTATTTATTTATAATAATAATAAAAATATATTTTTTATTTATTTAATATTTTACTAATTTAATATTTTAAATTATATTTAATAATTAATTTCTTTTATTATCTAAGAAAAAACTATTAAAGTTTTTTATATTTACTAGCTTTTATATAAGTATTTTTATTATTATTTAGCTTTAGTATTATATTAAGTTATTAATTAAAAACTTTATTTTTAATATAATTAATTAAAATTTATTAAATATATTTATTTTAATAATTTATAAATTTAAATTTTATATATTTTATAATTTTAATTTTTTATTTAAATTTATAAATTATTTTAATTAAATTAATATTATTTATAATAATTAAACTTAATTAAATATATAATTTTTATATAATTAAAACTAATTTTTTATTTAAATTTAATAAAAGTTTTATATTTTTAAATAAACCTTTTTAATTTAAATATTTTAAGTTTTTTTTTATAAAATTATATTTAAATTAAAATAATTTAATTAAATAATATTAATATATTATAAATATAATTAAATTTATAAAACTTTAGAAATATTTAATAATTTAATATATTTTTTATAAAGTTTTTTTAAGTATAAAATATTATTATTATTTTTTAAATTATTAATTTTATAAAAGTTATAAATTTATATATATATTTAATAAATATAAGTTTTATTTCAAAATAAATATATATTATTAAATATAAGCAAAAATATTTAATAGTATATAAGTACTAACTAAAATACTATTAACTTAGGTTTAAAGTATTATATAATTCTTATTTTATAAATATTTTATTTATAAATTATAATAAAAAAAGCTTTTAATTTTAAAAAAAAAAGTTTTTTAATTATTTATATAAGTATATTAATATAATAACTAGTAAATAAACTATTTTTTATTTTTTATTTTTTATTTTTTATTTCTTTTATTTATTATAAAAATTACTAAAATTAATATAATATATATAAAAGCTTTTTTTGCTTTTCCTTTTATAAATACTAGTTATTACTTATATACTAATAATTATATACTCTTTTATACTAGTATAAGTTTTATATATTTTAAATTTTTTTATAAAACTTAAGTATATTAAAAATAAAAATATTATTTTATTAAAAAAAAAATAACTTTAATTAAAATAAAATTAAAAAAGTTATAATATTATAAAAATTAATTAATTAAATATATATTATTATAAAATATAAGTTAAAATCTTACTTTTATAATAATAAAAGCAATAGTATTAGCTAACCTTTTTATTATCTAGTTCAACCTATTAAGTAAACCTACTAGTACTAGCACTTAAGCTAGTAAATAAGCAAGAATATATTCTGCCCTATAGTAACTTTATTAGTAACATAACACTGTCTTAAACAAAAAGCATTTAGCACAGCTTATTTAATTGATATATCCCAGCGGGGTGGCATAGAAATCAATGTTAAGAAGCGTATTCTACAGGCAGTTGATTTCAAACTGCACAGCATCTAGCCAATCCTACGCTGTGCCTGCTAATAAGATTTAAGCTCTCCATTAATACAGATTAGCCAAAAGCAACTCCCCTGCCGAGGGAACCAATCGCGTTTAAGGCCTGGTCCAACTCGGTGGCTCTTCTACAAAAAGACATAAGACATGTCCCAGGTGCGAACGTGGATGGAAATTTGAGATGATTGCATATCTTGATATCATTCATGTATACATAGTATATTAAATGTATATCTATCATCGCCTTGGTTGCCAATTAACAAACATCTTACACGCATCGGCTTAGTAGGTAATCAATATATGGATACGTAGCAGATGTGACAAGACACTTATATGCATCCTGTACCTTGTAGGCTCACAATATAGATGGTAATCAGTCAGTTTCTTCCAGATAGTCTTGCCAAGTTGCAATCGAGTCGGTATGCAGATCATGTTTCCATCCTACTGCACCCCACGTCTGCAGGCGACTTAAATGTCGAATCGTGGGACGCCCATGAGGACAATTCCAGGGCTTATCCAGCTCGCCCATATGGTTAACAAGTGAATGCATCTGACTTCTCGTCATGGCCTTGCCAATCATAATGCTACTGCGACATGCTCTCATAGCAAGCATCTTTTGCACCTTCGAAGGACGGGGAATGTACGAAGACTCGGCTGATTTATCACCGAGGAGGGATATTAACTCTTCCAAATCTTCCAATTTGAACGTGACTTCTCGACTCAGAGGCAATGCCATCAAGTGACACCGTGAGCCCACAGGCAAGTTTCCCGTCGTATCGATAGTCACTTTAAACCCGTTTGCGTTCAACGCTGAAGAGTTCTCCAGTATAATTTCCTCCTCAAGGGCTGTTAGTCTAAGCCTCATAGGATGAACAAGACGTTGAGACTGAATCTCGGTAGTATTCTGAAGCTTCTCGTAATTGTACTTCTCATCAGAGGCGTGTTGGTCGATGATGAAAAGTTCGTCATGTTTTCCACCACTGTCCGTGCTCATGCGCCTGGCAGGTTTAACGGCAATGATAAAACCAAGATTGAACTGGCCAATGATTTTCATTCTTGAGAAATCTCCCTTTGTAATAATAAGAGGGAGTTTTGATTCCGCATCGCTGGCGTCGATTCGTTCTACAGAGGAAGCACTCTGCGTTGTATATGTAGACGAAAAGTTACGGCGGGGAAGATGCGCAGTGCTCATTCGCTGAACTTTGTCTCTCTGCACGCGCAAATGCTGTACGAGATTCACTGTAGCTTCCTTTCGCCTTGCTGGCCTGGAGGACTGGACCTTAGATTCTGCAGTGATATCGCCTGCACTGATTATATTGGTTGGAGAGCCACCATCTGTTGGCGTAGCATTAGATTTTACTCCCTCCTCTGCAGCAGGCTGTAAATCATGCGCGGAACGATTTGTAGGATCATCATTGTGAATATCTTTAATATTTTTTGCCACGTGTGGAGATGACTGGATGATGGCTTCAACATCTAGCTGAGATGGACCAGACTGAACCAAGGATTCTTTTGCTTGATTAAGAATGAAAAGTTTAGAACGCAGTCTTCCGCTTTCGGGGGGCTCATCCTCCAAATCCGCTGTTCTCGTAAATCTATTCGACTCCCGTGGGGGGATTGTCGTATTACCCAAGCTGTGGTCGCCGACGTTCACTGTAGGAATATCAGGTGACTTTATGCTCGAAGAGGTAGAACTTTGCGTATGGATGATGGGACTGGGATCGTCGCGTGAAGTCTTATTATGACTTGGAGTGCTTTGGGTGCTGGACGCGGTTGATGAACCTTCATCTGGAGGTGAAAGGTCTCCCAAAGTAGCGGATTTTTGGCGAAAAGATTCTGGATCTGGAAGCTGTATACCGTTTGCTCTGATTGATGTCTCGGGGCCATCATCTAGACGCTGTTTTCCCATTCCATTGCCTCTAAGTCTTGTGTTTACTGATCTTGCGCCTAATGCTGGGACGGCCATGTCATCCTGCTCAGACTCTCCGCTATCACTGGCGGGATTGGACTTGCTGCTCTCATCGCCGGAATTGGGGTTCGATGCAGCAGCAGTGTAAGCTTCAAGCGTCAATTTGCTAGGAGTTTGGCGGGGCTGTTCTGTTTTGGTGACCCTGGTATGAGAAGAAAGCAGTTTTACGTTCTCAGCTGACGTGGTAATTGATATACTGTCTTCGTGAGAATCGAACAGTTGTGATAGGGAGATACGAAGAGTATCTAGCAAGTTGTTTTGATCATGTAATAGAATAGATCGTTTATCGGGACTCACATTCACATCGTACAGCATAGTGTCTAGCTGGACGTCAGCGAAAATGAAGGGCGATTGCGAGTTATTGTATAATCGATAGACTTCGTTGAATACTTTGGCCAGCTGAGGCAACGAGCAGGGCCGGCCATTCACAAAGAACATTTGGCGATCTGGAGTTTGTCTGCCTTCTCCGTGGGCGGGCTTTGAGACATGGCCAACAATACGAACGCCATGACTGTTTGCCGTCGGATTTTCGTCAGATCGCACGTCACGGCGAGTTCCAGAAGGCTTGATCTCTAGGTCAAGCTCAAGAGGGATCAAGGCGGCTAGCGTTTTTGCGCCGAAAATGTTGATAATGTTATCACGAGTGCTCGGGTTGCCTTTGGTAGAAAAGAGCAATATTCGTTTCCCTTTTGTAGGCTGCTGGGATACGGAGAATTTCACATTCGTTAGAATGCACGCGTACTGGTTAAGTAGAGCAATAACTTTGTGCCACTCCCTTTTGATATTACGGTCAAGCTCTCGGCGTCGGACAGGCAGATTGTGAAACAGATTTTCGACGCTGACTGTGGTTCCTCTCTGAGCCGCAACAACGCTGGTGTTTTCCAACCTCCCAGATTGCAAGAATGTTAACTTAGACCCTTTAGGGGCATCTTGTTCCAGGCATGTTGTCACAGTAAGGATAGATAAGGCGCATAACGATGCCAATGCTTCGCCGCGAAAGCCAAACGTTTGCAGCGACGCTATATCAGAGTATGAAGAAAGCTTCGACGTGTGGTGCTTAAGAGCAACGGAACCATAGCTGGCGGGTGCGATTCCAGATCCATTATCTTGAACTTCGATGGAATCAAGGCCTTGGTTTTTGAATCGAACATCTACAGAGCAGCACATGTCAATTAAAGGGCTTTATTTGCCGTAGCTGTCCTTCATACCGACCTAGGATTGTTGCTCCAGAATCAATACTATTCTCAACAAGTTCCTTGACTACAGAGCACAGGTCGACAATGACCTGCCCCGATTGGATTTGATGGACCTATAAAGGATTTAGCAAGATGATGTTCCATTCGGCATGAGGTAGCCTACACTACGGCCATCGATCTGTTTAATGGTGGCCATAAGTTCCAGCAGATGCGGGTTGTGCAGCAGCCATTAAGCTGTGTCGAGATAGCCTAGAGCCTATAAACGCGAAGCAACATACCTACCTAGGCATTAACATGCACAGTTAGTACACTTTTCTAGTTTAAGCTAACTATAAAACTATCAATAATAAATTAACAGTAAGTTTTATTTAAATAATCTTTTTTTCTTTAAAATATATATTTTAATATATTAATTTTTAGTTTTTAGTTTTTAATTTAAATAAACTTTTTATATATAATATTTATTTAATATATATATATATATATTACTTTTAACTATTACTTGCTTATAACTAATAACTTTTCTACTTTTTAATTATAGATGGAAATTTATTGTATTATAATTTTAATTTATTAAAACTATAGAGTGCTATAGCTTTCAGTCTCATGATGAACTTCGTTCAAAATATGTCCACTGCCCTTGTGCTGGCTGTTCCTCCAAGTTATCCCATCTGTAGACCGTATTAGCAACAATGAACGATGGTGAATCTAACAGTGGAATGTCATAGGATGGGATAAGCTTACACCTGGGCCTTTTCCATGGTTTCAATCAACTGTAATTCGCCCTCCGCGACCTCAATGACTTCTTCAATAAGACCGGCCCCCAGCTGTTGCTCAAGCTCCTTGACCCTATCTCATCTATTAGCCATCTGACAAGTATGTTCAAATTTGTTTCTGGCCTTACTGGTCAGCCGTAAGCTGGGGCTCATCCTCCCACACCAGCTTTTCGTCCTTGAAATGCTCTGCAGCGGGTTCGATGACCTCGTCATTTCTGCCCAATTCGTTTTCGCCATTCCACTCTTCCAGCCGGATATCTCCAGCCTCGTGTTCCCGTCCAACCACGAAGATGCGATTGCCAAACTTGAAAGTCCTGGCTCCACTGCCGTCAACTCGATCACTCGCAGCCTCGAATTGATGGGGGTTCTTTCGCATGAGCTCCTTCGCCTTGACTGCCCACTCTTCGTATCCGGGAGGAGTGAACTTTTCCACTAGGCTCATACGATGCTTGGTCGTCGCTTCGACAGATTGGCGATAGAGGGATGTTTCGGGTATCGATTGCAGCCTGTTCAGCGTTGTGCTATACAGGTACAACAGGGTCGACCGGGGGGTCTTGTGAGTCCATAGTCCTGTGAGTCCCGTGGGAGTTCCAGGCTCCAGGTAGTTGGCAAGGGCTCGTAGGGTCGGCCGCATTTTGTGAGAGTCAATGGTCAACCTATGCGAAGCAAAGCGCAGTTGAGGTTCAGTATGGCCACTGGTTCGCGGGGAGAAGTTTGAGAGTATATTCAGTAGCTCATCCGCAATACCCACAATATTCGGCTGCTGCGCTACGCTAATAGTAACAACTGCCTACCTAATCAACGGAATTATAAACATATACAGAAAGTAAATTATAAACAGTAGTTCATAAATAAGAAATTATTACTTATTTTAAAAAGTATTTTATTAAGTTTATATTTATTAATTACTAACTAAGTATTCAATATAAAAGCTTAATATACTATATATTTTAATTTAAAATTAACATTCTTATAGTGGTTTTATTAATATATTATTATGATTACTATAATATTAAATATATATGTTTTTTTCTTTTCCTAAAAAAGTTTAAGCTATAAGAATTGACAACTACCTAGTACTATGGTACACCCGATCGGTCCCTAAAAGTATGGTGCGTCAACCAAGCTAATGCCGGCCTAGAGTTTCCGGGGGTACAGCTTCATCATTCAGTTGCGGCGCCAGCCATTTCTTGCTGAAACAAACCGCCATTTCTGGACCTACCATAACACCCCAGGGCAGCAAATCATTAAGATGGCGCAAGGGTAGGAACAACCAGAATCGCTGAAGAGTAATTTGGGCTAATGCATTCGTTTCCTATCTATTTACAGGTATTCTATTTTCATCGGCCTCGTGGTCATCGCTGCGTTAAGCGCAGCGGCTTGGTTTATGTCCCCCAAAGGCGAGAATCAAGTGTTAGTTCTTCACTCCTTATGGAATAACGAACAATTCTGATGGCTCTTTGTTAATAGCTTATGGCGATCATCTCTTATTCTCGCTATCGTCAGCTGCTATCTAATGTGGCTTATCACCTTCCTCGCGCAACTTCACCCGTTGATTGCACCAAAACGAAGCGACCTACGAGAGGAGTTTCTAGGGCATACTATCTAGAAGCTGATTTCCAGTTCGGGCGAGCGCGACTTCAAACATGTGCGACAGACTGGCGTTAGGGGTTCTATTTCATTCATGGCATCTTGTATTGTACCAGGCTTCTTTCTGGGTGTTCCTCTTCTTACCTTCACGCCATTATTGATCGATAGGGTATGGAGATATCGGCATGGGTTGAGACTGGCCTGGGTCATGTGTATGTTAAATTGTGTGACGGGGCCGATATATTTACGGTATCACCGTGTAATAACAACATGATATAGGCAGTCATGGCGCTGTTAATGCATATTGGAAGCTTTGGTTGTCAGAATCGCACTATCCTACGACTAAACGCCCGGCCCAGTCCCTGGCGTACTTCACAAGGGCCCAAAGAGCTTTGCCGTCTGCAGCTACGCTGCTATCACCAATGGAGTCTACATCACCAAGTCCAGCCGAGATTAATATCAACTGGCCCACAGCCCATCGTACAGACGCGCCGGCAATCGCTAAGAAGCAGGCAACATAGTATTTGCAATCGAGTAGAATGCGGAGAGCCTCCACATTGTTTGCCACGACGGCCCAGCCAAGGGATCTGGCAGCAGCGGGCACATCATATTCCCAGATGACCATTAAGATTGGAAATAATTTGGTCGAGGAAGAAACAAGTAAGGCTGTTGAAACCGAATTTGGTCGAGAATACCGTGGCATTAGCTTCGTCATGTTAAGCGGCGAGAAGACGGATGAGGTAAGGAAGCGGATGCTTAGATGGAAAGCGAAGGTTGACAAAGCACAGAGGATCACTATATTGTAAATATTAGGCAAAGAAAAAAGTAACAGGGAGGAAAAGTGCCTACGAAAGAACATGTACTGAATCACAATCGGCTGTTCAGCGAGTGGTCCTAATTTGCTCTCTCCAGGAGTTGGCGAAGGGATGGTTTGTTTCTCTATACGCGCCCATGTCAAGTAGACATCAAATAGAAGCAGCAGAACGCCCAGGCGAATGATAGAAGGCTGCTCGGAATATTAGCGGTGAGGCGGCGAAGAAAGAAGGGCGCGGGGCTGACGTACGTCGAAGCGATCGCCATCTCGCATTAAAGTATTGTGTAGTAGATGGCGATATACCTATACCAGATGTGAGATATGCCGCCATCATTAATGGCCGAAATTACAGTACCTGAGGTTTGATGAGGACTAAATCAATGAAGAGCACGACAAAGTCATGCTCTACGTATTTATCGCAAAAATTGCCACATTTTCGACAGACTGTAAGACGGATCAAGTGCCCATTCGACTTGTCATCGGCCCCGGAATACTGAGTCCATAGAGTTTTGACAGGATATCGGCACTCTATACAAATAGGCATTGGTACAGTGGTAACTCGCGCAAGTTCGTCATGGATATTTCGTGTGCGGCGACTTTAACGTAGTATTCGGTATCATGCGCGAGTCGGAGTTGAAGGTAGGCGCAGACTATCGTTTTTTTTTTCTAGACAGCCTGGTGGTTTAATTTGAGGGAGCGCTCCGCAGCTTAAGCACCAGGCCAGGACTTGGGAGCAGAGCTATACCATAAGATTTAGTTAAACCTAATTGAAACGTCGACTCGAGTCTAGTTGAAATAAACAGTTATATATATTCAGATCATTTAATATTAGTATAGGATTGCCAAAACCGATTATAGCGAGTAATTTATTATTAATGTCTCTGGAAATAATAAGAGACAATACTTCTTCTAATCGCGAGGAGGTTGAGGAGAATGAAGTACTACATGCATATAGACAGACAAGCACATGGACATACATAAGCAAAGACTGACTACTAAGGCTCTAAGTTGCTAGCGCAGCAGTTACATTTGCCAAACGACGCGAAACTCTCTCCAAGCCTAGCTGCTTTTCCCGCGATTTTATCCACTTAACGCTCTGCGCTGCACACTGCTCGCTCTAATTGGACCAGATGATGACGGAATGGGTCGCATTCGGCCGTGACTTTCTGGTTTAATTTCGTCTACATTTTCCCGAAGTATTGATCACCTTGTTCCGGCGCAGCAAAATCAGCCTCCCATAGCTTCGGCCTCGTCAAAGGTCCCTCTTCGCCCTTTCCCATGAAGAGGCGCTCGCCGTCTATTGATGTCGGTGGTAAATCCTCCCTCGAGCTGCAAAATCCAGATGCCGAGCTAGAACACCGCCTCAATGGCTTAATACCCCGTCAATCCTCGACCCAGGACAGGCAACCGAACGGCCTCTATTCGACCAAGGCGAATGGCCACCAGCACCCTTCCAGCCATGCAGCAGTCGCATCCTTTTCACCACTATCGCTCCCTATCTCGTCGCACAGTATGACCACAACCAAGAAGCCTCCCCTGGCGAGCTTGGGGGCGCGCAATCGTAGCCTTTGGTTCATGTCTGTCCTGTCCTTTTTTGTTGCTACAGCTGGCGTTGGCCTCTTGGTCGCCATCTTCCGGTCCCTCACTACTCGCCAGATTGAGCCGAAAGGATGCCGAATGTCATACATGCGGCCTTCTTACATTCACTTTTCCGAGTTTGATACCGAACACACCCGGTTCGCAAGCAAATACTCTCTATATCTCTATCGCGAACAGGGAATCGATAGCGGTCAAGTTGGTTCCATACCCCCTACTCGAGAAATGGACGTGTCCAAGCTGACATTGTGCGGAAAAGCTGCGCGGAATCCCCGTCCTCTTCATCCCAGGTAATGCTGGAAGTTACAAGCAAGTCCGACCAATTGCCGCAGAGGCTGCCAATTATTTCCATGACTATCTCCAGCATGACCACAGCCAGTTGGACTCTGGCATACGGAGCCTCGATTTTTTCACCGTTGATTTCAACGAGGATATAACAGCATTCCATGGCCAAACTCTTCTTGATCAAGCTGAATATCTCAATGAGGCCGTTCGATATATACTTGCACTATATTCTGAGCCGCAGAGAGCTTCTCGCGATTCGCATCTACCGGATCCTACATCCGTACTTATCCTGGGGCATTCAATGGGGGGAGTTGTTGCAAGAGCAATGCTAGTTCAACCGAATTACCAGGAAAATTCGATCAATACTATAATTACAATGTCAGCGCCGCATGCACGCCCCCCAGTTACCTTTGATGGTCGAATTGTTCAGATTTACGACGAAATAAACGACTATTGGCGGCGTGCATATACACAAAAATGGGCCAGCAATAATCCGCTGTGGCACGTCACATTGGTGTCCATTGCTGGTGGGAATTTGGATACTGTTGTGCCGTCTGATTATGCTAGCATTGAGTCACTTGTGCCTGAAACCCACGGATTCACTGTTTTTACGTCAGGCATTCCAACGGTGTGGACAAGTATGGATCATCAAGCCATTCTCTGGTGTGACCAATTCCGAAAAGTCCTGGCTCAGACTTTATATGGTGTCATCGACGTGCATCGAGCCTCTCAAACGAAACCCCGAGCGCAAAGGATGAGAGTCTTTAAAAAGAAGCTCTTGACTGGTATGGAGACGATTGCCGAGAAGACTCTATCTTTGAAGGAACCTACAACACTCCTTACCTTGGACGACTCGTCTAGTACAGTAGTGCCAACAGGTGATCGATTGGTTCTTTCGCACCTGGGTTCTGAGACACGACCGATGGCTTACCTTCTTCCTGTACCGCCTCCTGGATCACTCGAACCCAAGCGCTTTACGTTATTGACTGATATCCAACTGAATACACCTGCAGACAATAGTCAGCTGCAAGTCCTCTTGTGCAGCGTTTACCCTTTTCAGTCTACGGGCGTCAATTCAATATTCTCCTCCGCCATAGATGTATCGAGAAATGGTACGACGCCAACAAAGCTAGCATGTAAGGATGCTGCATCCGACACGGTCCTTCTCCCAGCTTCAACAACGGATATAGAGACTCCTTTCTACCTGGACGGACAAACACCGATATATCCCTTTTCATATCTACAATACGATGCTGAATATCTCTCTGATCACCAGTTTGTCGTCGTTATCGACAGGGCTACAGAAGTTATCAATGGCTTTGTCACTGCGGAGTTCAGTGACCTCTCGTCTTTTCAGAAGAGGGAGGACATAAGCCTTATCCGTCTTCTCACATTTGGTCTCTCTTTTCGGCTCCCAGCTATTCGCCCTATTGTTACGGCCATTGACATACCGGCTCTCAAGTCAAGTTTAATGGCTTTTAATATGAAGATTAGCCAACAATGTAGCGGAAAGCAACAGTTGTTTGCGCCGCTAATCCGCCAATATATTCAAAAACCTTATGAGTCAAAGTATTTTGTTAACGCTCAAGTAACTGGAATCAGCTTCCATGGGGTGGCTCCTTACATGCCCCCTCCGTTAACTTTATCGAGTGGCGACGGCCTTGCTTTTGACATCTGGTCTGACCCCGTTTGTGGTGGTCCTTTGGAGATTGATCTCTATGTGGACGTGCTGGGAAGCCTCGGAAAGCTATACATGAGATATCGTACCGTCTTTGCGGCCTTTCCGTTGCTCATCGTCACGCTGGTGCTTCGGAAGCAATTCAGTGTTTATAACACGTCTGGCACGTTTATTTCCTTTTCTGAAAGCCTGGACCTGTCTATGCGGCAGTCGATTCCGCTTTTGCTTTCTGCTCTAACTTTGCTTTCTATTTCCCCCAGAGGAGTTACAACTTTTCTCGCCACGCTTGTGGGTAGCAATCAGGCCAATTCAAATCTTTCTCCAAACATCGGCTTTCACGGAAATGACCTCCTTGTTGGCACAGACGACCCCTTCTTCATATACCTTGTACCACTCATTGGCGTCGTATGCATCGGGGTCTGCACTGTTCTTCATTATATTCTTCTGGCATTGACAAGAATCCTTGGTGTCGCATACGCTGTGTTTTCGGTGCTGCCGGCAATCAACAGCAACCAGGCTCCAAGCCCATCACCGGTGTTTGCACCATCAACCCCACGGCGGCGGGTAATATCGACCATAATTCTATTATTCTTAGTTTCGACTTTCATTCCGTATCAATTTGCATACTTGGTCGCTTGTCTTGTACAGATTCTCACCGTTGTTCGCGCTCTTCGCATATATGTCGTCACACCTTCAACAGCCAACTCCAACTATTACCACTATTCTCATTCTATTCTTTTGCTAATGATGTGGGTTCTCCCGATCAATTTGCCTATTCTAGCGGTCTGGGTCCGCAACCTCGCCGTCCACTGGCTCACGCCATTTTCTTCGCATCACAATGTGCTGTCAATAATGCCTTTCATATTATTGGTAGAGAACTTGACAACAGGGAAAATGGTTCCCCAAATTACAAGTGGTTTACGCCATATTACCAGCGGGCTCCTTTTTGGTACGGCGCTTTGTGCTGCAATCTATGGCGTTTCCCATGCATACATGCTCCATTACTTGGTTAATGTGGTGGCTGCTTGGCTGGTCATTCTTCACTCTTCTTCAGAGCCATGGTCTTTGATGAGTTTCGGCACTCTTTTCGAAGGAGATACAGATGGACCGAAACACATCAGTGGTTCACATTGACTCGATAGTGTCATTTTTGTTTTTTAAAAGGCGTTCTTTAAGCTCCTATTGCTTTTATGCCATATAGTTTAATATCCATTCTATAGATGACTGTAAAATATCAATATACATAAACCAATATTTAATCTTTTTTTTTTTATAAAAATAGACCATCCAAATTAAACTCAAATTAAAGCCATATCTAGATTGCCATGTTTCAGTAATATTCCGTGCTATATAACACGTCCTAGCAGCACTTGCCACCATCACCATTGAGAAACTCGCGGTTGTTTTCTTGCAACGAGTTAGCCTAAGCCTGTTTTGGACGCTGGGCCAATTACATCATATGAACGCGACTTAGGTGTAGTCGGTCCGAGGTACTTCCCTTTTTGAACTTCCATACTATTCATCAGCCTTTCTCAATGCCCAACAACCGCACGGCCTCGTGGCTGCGCTGGATATTCGGAATGGGTGAGCGTCGAAAACTAGGGGATGTCGCCCTAGACATTGTCCTTTTTGCTGGCATGGTAAGCATCATTTTCCGCGCTTGTTGCCACTACGCTGACAATATGCTCCAGATGACAGCTGGTCTCTACGTTGCTCGCACGTTTCTGAATCCCATCTTGAGCAACCTGGTAGATCCTGATAAAGAAAAGCACGAGCAGGCGAAGCGCCAGGCCAAAGCCCACCTTGATCGCTTAAGTCGAAGGCGACATATTGATGGCATTGGAGATAACGGGGCTGATGGCGCTCGTGGAAGCGCGCGAGTTGAAGAACTAGTCCTGAACGAATACGAAAATCTAATAGCACTAGAAATGGTGGCGCCGGACGATATTCATGTCGGCTTTGACGGTGAGGATCGGATACGCGAGATGCTGAAAGAAACTCCGCTAACTGGACGTGTGACAACTCAATAGATATTGGCGGTCTGGATATGATCATTGAGGAACTGAAAGAATCTGTCATCTATCCATTGACGATGCCCCATCTCTACCAGCATGCCGCTTCGTTACTGTCTGCACCGTCTGGCGTTTTGCTATATGGACCGCCTGGTTGCGGCAAGACGATGCTGGCCAAAGCTCTTGCCAAGGAGAGCGGCGCATCATTTATCAACCTGCATATATCAACGCTCACAGAGAAGTGGTACGGCGATTCCAACAAGATAGTCAGGGCCGTTTTCTCCTTGGCTCGCAAGATGCAACCGGCCATTGTATTCATCGATGAGATTGATGCCGTTTTGGGCACACGGAGAAGTGGCGAACATGAGGCCAGCGGCATGGTGAAAGCTGAGTAAGTGTTTACCTCATTTTGCGATGGCGTTGCGTTGATGCGTTGAGAACAAGTAGAATGGATATTGACAAACTCAAAGATTCATGACGTTGTGGGATGGATTGACATCAAGCAACTCCTCTGGTATACCAGCGCAGATAGTTGTGCTTGGCGCCACCAATCGCATACACGACATTGATGAAGCAATTCTCCGACGAATGCCCAAAAAATTCCCCATCACGCTACCTGCTTCGGAGCAAAGACGCCGAATCCTACAACTGATCCTGAAAGACGCCAAGGTGGATGCTGAACATTTTGACTTGGATCATGTGTCTAAACTCACCGCCGGCATGTCGGGAAGTGACATCAAAGAGGCTTGTCGCGATGCCGCTATGGCTCCTGTGCGAGAATATATGCGACAGCATGGCCGTGATGGCTCTAAAAGACCGGTTGACCCAGCTCATTTCCGTGGAATCAGGACTGATGACTTTCTTAAACACTCAACTGATCAATATATGATAGAAGTGCTTCAGCAACGACAGAGCGGGTCTAACAACATTCTAGCAAATGATGTGCTCGCAGAGATTGACGAGACATTTGTTGAGCCCCAAGACTGAGCCTCACACGAGGCCCATGCGAGCAGCAGCGCCTTATATCACATTTCAGGAAGTAATACTCCCCTTTTACTGGCTCGTTATATTTTGCTTTTAGTTGTTGGCGTAATATTTTCACGCTGGCGAGCGTATACGTCACGAAATCACCCTTCGTCTGCTCAAAGTAGCCCTTACAATACTTCTGATGCTAAATAGACAGTGGAATAGCGCCCTGGCGGTACTTTTAGGATATACGTATATAACGAAACACGTTTGTAATTAAGACAAGTGCTTATCAGGACTTTACCCATATAATCTGAGGCAGATCGTAAGAGTGCGCATCAGCTAAGCCAGGTCTTTTGTTATTACAGACATATAGCCCTTGAGGAACAAATTTATGCTAATAGCCAGGTTTTGGTTTCACGCCAAAACCCTTCTAAAAAATCCTACTTCACAAATCAAACACACTCTTATCATTGATGGAGATTTCAACGTATGTTCTACCCACTGGCATCAATATAAAACCGTAGCTTTCCTACCATTACGTCCAAAAGCATAAGACTTTTGACGGCCGGGGTCTTCCCCCTCTGTGAGTCGCTTCTCTCAGCCCAATGACATGTCTAAATTTACGTTGCTCATATCTCCATTAATGCCAAAGAATTGGAACCTATAATTCATTGATTAGCAAGCAAAATAATAATACTTGGGCATTCTGGCTATGTGAGCTTACCAATCTTCAACGTTTAGAGTTGCTGGCGCGGGCTGTCCTTGCGCAGAGCTTGTGCCCCAGCTATCAGGACTCTGGCCATCCTGAAGTCCACCATCAAAGCCAGCTTGCCACAAATTAGACTGTCCCTGGAATCCAGACATCTGCATGATACTGCCCGGGGCGGAGCCTCTATACTGATTGGCCTGCATGCCCACCCCCATGCCGCCCCCCGGCACTTGATTCATCGCACTCTGATCTAGACCTTGGTGTGTCTGAGGGGGTGAGAGGTTGGGAAATGCTGGCATACTTGAACTTTCGGGGAATAGTTGGTCAGGCTGGAAGTTCTCCCATAGAGATTGTGATATATTTGGTGAGTTGCGGGTGACCAAGTATAAGTCTGGGGGAGTTGCTGGGACAGAAAACGAAGGGTTGAATGGTGTTGCAGGCCTTGTCTGAGGCCTCGAGTTTGTGCCGCCCATAAATGTGTCTGCCCCAGTTTGACGAACATTTGGAGATGCTGCGGACGATCGTTGGTTGACGTTGCCGGCGTTCTCAGCCTTGGCCGCGCTGGGGGTTTGCGGCCTAGATCTTTCGTACGACTCTTGTGGCGTTGGCGTATTGCTCATGAAGTCGATGGCCATATCGTCGTATTTTCGCTTGGATGCGTCTTGCCTGTTCATCTGCTCAAGCTGGGCCATGCTTTGCTGTATCTTCCGATGCCGCTTGCCACCTGCTTTTTGTAAACGCTCTTCCAGATTCTTATTGCCAATGATGGATTCAAAAAGAGTATAGACCATCTTTCCCACAAGCCAGACACGCGAAACTTCCTTCATAGCCTGCATACAGCTGCGCATCCTATCCTGCGTTACCTGTTGTATAGATGGTACAGGAGAGCGCATTTGATAAACGTGCATGATTAGGGCTGAGAATAGGCTGTACACAATGAAGGCAGGGCAGTAGCGAAGCTGATTATGCGCCGCCAAGTTATCAACTATCGAAGTAATCATGGCTGCGGCCTGGAAAGCAATATTTCTTGATGGATATGGGGTATCATTGGGAAATCGAGGTGAGCCGCTTGGTGGCATATGTGCTCGGTGCAAGAGACACAAAGTTGTATAGTAGTTGGAGTGAAGAAGGGCAGACCAGAAATGATGGCGAGGCATTTCCCAATAGACGATCTTGGGGCAATTCTGAAGCCAATCAGCCAAGGCCATATCGCTGTGAGTCAGGTCGATGGCATTTCGTTGCCTTCCTTTGGAGGCCACCGAGTACTGCTGTGATAGGACAAGCCCCATAATCTCGCAGAGTTTGACGTACTGCAGGAAGAACTGCACATGGATCGGATCTGGTGGGAACTCGCTACCCCGGTCAGACTCGTCTTCAATGAAGTCGTCCTCAGTCAACATCTCAACGTCAGAGTCGTCGAGGTTGATGTGAACAGGACGGCCAAGAGCAACAGCGACGGATCGATCACGAGTGAAAAGGGTCCACCAAATGCGCTTCCAGAGCCGCTTATCAGATTTGCTCAGCTGAGACCGCTCAACGGATCGATGCATGCCCGACCCTTGAGCAACAATGGTGGCAACGCGGCTCCAATAAAAGACGTTTTTGGTGACATCCTCAGGTCCCTCCCAGTACCATCCCATGAGAAGGAGAGACTGGACAATAGTGACGCGGTCGTCTTCGTAATTGGCGTCATAAAGGGCCTTGGCGCGTTTATAGAAAGTCAGGGCAGCCGGGGTTGTCGAGCCATTTGCGTCCATGAGCTGTGCGTTTTGGCAAACTCGGGAACCAGCCAGGAGAACGGCCTGTAGGAGGAGAAGCGAAGGCGGGTTTTTGGGGTCTCGATATTGCCTCATAAAGCGAGTACGGTTGATGACGGGGACAATAGGGTGAACCCATTGAAAATAAGCGTCAATCAGCTCATCACACAATGACCGCGGAGGTAGTAGAAAGGCGCCACGCTGGTGAAGAATGTCAATCTCGACATTATCGAGCTCGGTCAGCCTAGCTCGCGAGCCTCTGACATTCTCAGGCAGCGGATAGTGAACCACATCTGCAGAACCCTGGCGGTCGTGCACAAGGAGAGTGAGATTTGATGATTCGCCGAGGTATGCAACACGGCCTGCGTCGGTAATGGGAGCTCGTGTGAACTTGGGCTTCATAACTATATTCAAATATGTGCCATTATCGACCTCTTCTTTGCGGGCTTGGGCTTCTGTGAGAGACGTGGGCGGCGTTCCATCCGCGGTATGCGATACGGTAGGAGCTGAAGGCCTTGGGGAATAAGAGGTGGCGGTGCTGCTGAGAGGCGTCTGCCGTGCCTGCTCATCGGTATTCTCGCCACGGTCACTGAGAAGACAGACGCATGTTGGTTAGCATGATAGATATGGATAAGCCCAAGGGAAGCTTGACGACAGCGACACACACCTGTCGGAATCTTTGCTTGCTTGGCCCCCAGCGGTCTGGGTCTTCTTGCGTTTCGGCTGGGGAATCCGACACTCGATCTGAAAAGCAACGCAGTTGGTGCAAGGCACACCAAGGCTGGCTGCGTCGCATCGGACCTGAACACGGCGACCAGGTTAGCCTGCCAGAGAACCGGCATAGAACAGCGCATGCTCTGCGGCAGACGTCGAGCACATACCTTTCGGGCGTGACATGTCTATCAAGTCGAAAGACGATACACTAGTGGTTAGCACGATTGCATTACATTACATGTAGATTGGAATCAACAAGTGCGAGTGGTCAGTCAGCGGACCCGCCGCTGAATGCCTCGGCACATCGAGGCGTGAGGATTATTAGATTATGCGCCCTGCAAGACACCACATACCTCGCATGCTCGTGACGCTCGTTGCCTATAAGAATCAGGTGCATTAGACATCTGCGCTCCAGCAGTGGTATCATCGCATGGCGGTCTCCATACCTCCTAAAGCTTATGCCGCCGGCTGCTGCTGCTGCTGCTGCTGCTGCCGCCCCGGCCGCCGCCGCGTTCATGGCACCACCAGACATCGGAGATGACTTGGATGGCGGTTGCGGCTGCGATTGCTGCGGACTCGCTGGCGCCGCCTCGTCGCCGGCAGATATTTCGACGTCCATGGTGCGGGTTGATTGGCGATGGTCGTTGACACAACAGGATTCGAGAAAGCAAGGATTCGTGAGTTGGCGCTCGGGACCGGAAGCAGAGAGGGGCGATGGAAGGAGGAGGCGAACAACCTCCTCCCCGGTACGATGTCGATATCAATCTTCAGCGACGCAAATGGATTGGGATATGAGCATCGAAGCTCATCCGTCGCCAAATCAGAGCCGTGTATCCGATATCCGATATGAGGCTGCAGAAAGGACCACGCTTGCGTTATGCTTGGACAGCAGGATCAAACAAGCAAGACGAGCGCGAGCATGCTCTGTGTGGCCTTGGTTCAGAGTAGTCGGCGCCTGGGAAGAGGCCGGATCCGGGTGGTTGTGTTACTGCTCGTGGCTGATGCGATGCTGAAATAATAGGCCTAGGTAGGTAGAGCACAGGACGAATCGGCAAGGAGTACGTATCGACAAGTCCGAGACGCTCTCATCAAACGTGGGATCTGGAAGCTGGTGAGCGACACTTGATCTTAGTAAAACATGAAGCGCGCCCTGCCTCGGCTTTTACCAAGCATTGCTCCTTGTAGTCCGGAGTAGCAGTACTTTGGAACTACGGTTTCTAGCCTATCGGTTGGTTTCAGGTACCCAGCCATTAGCGCGATCATAACGGCAGCTACTCCGTTCCTGAGTACCTCCGATGTCTTTGCCTCTAGTCGGAGGTAGAAGTACAAGCTGCATGGCCCTCAACCAGCTTAGTACTAGTAGTACTACAAGTAGCTCGTGAGTTGCTACTCTATACTGTGCTCCTGTAAAAGCTCCGGCACATATTATAGGTTCTACCTTGAAATACTAATTGCCATGATACAGGTGCGTTTATTGCTAGCATTTCTATTTCCGCTATACAATTTTAGTCTACACGCTCCATTAGTGATTTTATTACTCTAGCATAAAACTTGGACGCTTGGTGTCGGGGGAATGTGATCTCTTCTGTTAGATAGTCAGGGAGTACGTCTATCAAGTCTCCGTCGCGAGACTCGTCCAGCTGGGGTCGATAGGCAAATTGAACATCCTCGTAGCTGTCGGCGGCCTCCAGATCTTCCAGGGCAAGCTTGAAATGGAGAGCTATTGAGTAGTCAGCATCGAATCGAATCCTAATTCTGTAATAGATGAATGATCTGGACCTACTCCCGTTCCGTCCAGTTTGGATGCAATCAAAAACGTCTTCTTTATCAACGCGGCGCACATCTCTGACGATAAGGCCTGTCAAATCAGCATACAGCTCCTCCTTGGTTTGTGCAGCTGGTTTGTTCTCTCCTGGACCCGTCCGATTCGCTGCTAGTTTTAAGTAGAGAGCCTTGTTCTCGGCTTTTGCTTGGGCTAGACGCTGATCCGTCTCTGCTAATTCGGTTTGCATAGCCTCCATGTTGGCCTTTTTGGCGCTTACATCTGCCTGTAATTGCTCCATTTGCTGACTTTGCTTGGTGAGCTCAGCTATCTCTTCCTTGAGTTCTGCTATGAATTCATCGGCCACTAATAACCACATCATATCAGCGATCAATATAGAACTTGAGTGTTTAAACGTGCTGGTGGTATCGTAGCCCCTCACCTCTCGTATTTTCACTGGTCTTGGCCTTCAGGAGCTCGAAATTCTCCTCAGCCTTTTTTACAGCTATCTCGTGAAGATCATGGAACCTCTTTTCCAGGATTGAGTAATTCTGATATGCTTCGGCAAGCCGCTGCTGGGTATCACCATCGTCGTCGTCATCGTCTGAGGAGTCTTGAAATTTTAAGGGTTTTCTGCCGTTGGTGCCTCCAGAGTTGGGTGCTGAGGTGTGTTCATCTATCTGAGCCGAAGAGCTATTTGTATTATTGCGATCTCGTGACACTCTGTACCGCCGTCGTGATGGTTTGGACGAGTCAGGCTGGGCCAAATTTTTGGTGTCGTCGTCTATTCCCGATGCAATGCTGTCGCCTGGAGACATATTGATATCCGCTTCATTCTTATCATTTCGGGATCGTTTCGCGGACGTCGACGCGACGGATTTCGTTTTCGCGTTGGCTCGACGGGGTCCATTTCGCGACCGCTTCGTCACTCTGTTCGCCGCCGCCGGCCGATCGCGCATTGTTCTTGTCTTGGTTTATAACCTGGAATCGCTCAATGCAAGCTGTAGAATGTTGAAATTGGATTTCTTTTTCTTGTTCCAGAACGTGGTGTTTCTTAGATGCGCCAAAGAGCCGTTGGTAGGCGATGTGAAGTAGTGATGCAAGTTGCTGCACCCAGCTAGGGTGGAAGTACCTTATTTAGTACTGCCTGTTAGAGCCTGTGGCTACGCGCCATGTTCGGTGACGTATTGGTAGAGCAGGGGACTCGACGGCTCAAGCTTCGCGAATCTTGATAGAAACAACGTAAAAGTGATTAAATAACTAGCTAATTCAATCTGAATTTCATGTAATATTTGATTAGCACTGAGTTTGACAACATCGTGCCTTGCCATTGCCATTTTTCTTCTCGCAAAGAATGCTGGATTCCCTAAAATGGCATTTCGGTATTCCCTTGAGCGTCGCATCTATATTCCCTACACGGGTAGTTAAAATGTAGATACCATACCGGGCTGTGGAAGGCCAGAATTCGTATCACTGGTTCTCAAATATCATATCTATAATAAATGACTTAATATCAGTGCCTAGCCTACCTATCTAAGAGCGTGTTCCGCACAGTTACCTAGACACAAATAACATGCTTATAAATGAAGTAATTCTAATCCTTTAAATATGCATACATGCAAAGTACTCTGAAGCCAGATATAGACTGGTCATTTGCTTGCTTAAATTCTATCCTCATCGCTTTATGCTAGAACCGTCATCTGCCTTACTTCCAAGTGATGACGGGGGTACCTGTGAATCAAATATGTTGGGGCGCGGAGTGTCCTCAGCACCTGGAGTGTTCATCAACTCTATCAAATCTCCAATATCCTGCCCGCTTGAGCTTCCCGGTCGTGATGATGAGCTACCAATCAACGGAGCCATGTGGCGTTTGGACCAGGCGGTTCGAAGCCAGGTCTCAACTGCGGCTGCGGCTTTGTCGAGGCCATTGTTCTGATGGAGAGGCGACGTTGTATCTCCCCCCTCTTCGAAAGAGCCCTCTACGATCCCTGCAAGATCGCGATCAAATCCAATGCGCGCCATTTCTGATCCCATTACAGACATGGACGGTATGTCGTCCATGTGAAGGCCGGGGAGATGTTTCTTAGCCCACGAATTGAAGTAGTCTTTGTCTGGGCCGGGAGCTCGAACACTTCTACTCATAGAGCCGACGCCGCCAGGGCGGCGCATCCAAGCTGGCCTCGCACCTAGCACATCATCATCTCCATGGCTGTGGGTGGATTGACGTCTTTCGAGTAGTGTTGGCCGGTCGCCTATCGAGCTCTGTCGCCTAGACAATGGCTGATCCACCTGGTCCGCACCATAAGCCGAAGTCTCAAGGCTCTGCCGTGGCGATGATGAAAAAGAAACGGTCCTGCCAGTCTTTTTCCTCCGCGGTGGGAAGTAGCCCATTTTCTGACGCGCGATGCGCCCAATTTCCACTGGCTCAGGCAGCGAGTCTATCTTGACCCATTTGACGTGCGACCAGGGCACGGCCTCTTTTTCTGTGCTCTCATCTTCCGGTCTGGCTCTTTCGCTGAATGGTTCGAGATTGCTAAAGGACGTATTTTCCGGTGTCACTGATCCAAACACCTCCGATGACGTCGCTGGAGGAACTTCTATAGCATTACGTTGTTGACTGCTGAGCGGCGGATCACAAGGACGTCCCCGTACCTCGCAGGTGTCGACGGGAATAATGACCCATTTTCGGATTTGTATGCTGTCCCTGGACCAGAGCCCATTGGCCTTCCTGAACGCATCCTCCAAGCACTTATATCGGAGGATGATCCCGGCATATGTATCGGTTGGCAGGATTTTGTGAATGTACACAAGATATTCTTCCGGTTGCGAGATCTCTGAGGTAATTTCGTCCGAGGTTCGGCGCTTATACCTTCCTGTGATGTCTATTCCTCCACCAAATCCTTGATTGTTTTCCAAAACGCTTGCTCTCTTGGCAGTTTTCAGTGCGGCCTCTCGGTGGTCTGATGATCCAGTCGCAACTCTGTTGGCCGCCCTTTGGCTGGGTAAACTGGAGGAGCCCATTGCTTTGAAACTCGCGCTGGCGTTGCCGCCGGCGCTTGACGGGACTCGGTTCCAAAGGGACGAGGCAAAGTTGTCCTCCGGTTGAGGATGCGGTCGCGGCTGGGGCATGTCGCCCGGACTTTCTGTGCCAGAGAGAAGAGAGGCAGCAAGACCTTGGACTGATGACCAGCTCTGCGCCCAGGAGCCACCAAAGACCTGTCCCAGGCTGGGCGAGCTTTGTTTGCCTTTGGCATCCTGAGCCAGCCGAGATGTGTTTTCGTCATGGTTCCCTAGCAGACTTTCGGAGTTGGTACGGCTGCTGCCATTAGGAGGACGGCGATTGCGCGACCGAACCGACCCAGAACCCGTGATTCCAGCCAAGGGCCCCGGAGAGGATGAGGATTGATGCGGCGACGATATTCCAGGAACATTGCGGTTGGCCATAGTGACCACCAATGGTCGAGGGTAGCTCTCGAGTTGGACAAAGGCTGCTCATCAGTGTTTAGCTACAGTGGCAAGACTCTCCTTCGTCGTAGCGGAGGGCATGGGTCGCCAGCGGACCCGGCAGTCTTTGGTTAATTAAACTCCAAAGACCTCGCGAAGATCTCTATCTCGGAGCCTTTGGCCTCTTTTCCGTCATAGGGAATAGGGGAAAAGAGAGTTGCTAGGCTAGGACTCCGTGTATACATCTCTACTACAGAGCAATGGAGAGACGGTCTCCTTCTGTCGCAGCTCTTGGCCACGCACACGTTATACTAGAACTGGCATGCCCCCCACCATCTGATGAGACAGCATACATGCCGGGTAGGTACCGTGTACATCCAAGCATGGCTGCCCCATGCTGCGCGCTAGTGCGCTGCGGCGACACCTGCTGGAGTACTATCAAGTCTGGTGAGATTCGCTGTCTGGTAGTGGCGCCGCACTAATTATAGGATTGCACATGCGCGCTAAAAGGTACCTGAGCCCGTGCTAAATGGCCGGAGGCCAAACAGGTACCTACGTTGCAGGTACCTGCCCCCCCAGAAAGCGGATATTGCAGGGCAGCGAAATTTAGAGATCGATTCAACGCGACGCAGCTCGTGAAAGCATCCCTCCGGCTGCGTATATGCCTTAATTCGGTCGCTCGTTTAAACACAGCAGCCCACGATGGATTCCTTCATGCTTCAAGACGACGGCGTGCGTGACCGTATTCGTCAAGCAGAGGAGTTTCTGGTTCCTAGTACGAATAGCAGGCATCCCTTCACATGTTTGCACTTTCGCTAATCTTGTTCAAGACGATCCCCATGCTCGAAGTTATAGAGCGGACATCATCTTGATGTTACGCAAGAACCAGCGCCGCCTTACTGTCAACATAGACCACGTCCGAGATCACAACCCAGAGTTAGCGCAAGAAATACTTCAGAAGCCCTTCGACTGCACTCTTGCTTTTAACCATGCCCTCAAGGAGATCGTGCAAACGCTGCCTCAAGCCCGGCCTGACCAAACGGCGAGGGATACCGTTTACTACTGCGCGTGGGCTGGAAACTTTGGTCTCAATGCCTGTAACCCTCGCACGCTGTCATCTCAGCACTTGAACCATATGGTTTCTGTTGAGGGTATTGTGACGAGATGCTCTCTCATCCGGCCCAAGGTCGTACGAAGCGTTCACTACAACGAGACCAAAGACAAATTCCATTTTCGAGAATACCAAGACCAGACTATGACCAACGGCGTGACCACATCTAGCGTCTATCCACAAGAGGACGATGAAGGAAATCCCCTTACTACGGAATATGGATTCTGCACATATCGTGATCATCAGACGATTTCGATCCAGGAGATGCCTGAACGAGCGCCCGCCGGTCAGCTTCCTCGAGGCGTTGACGTTATTTTGGATGATGATTTGGTTGATCAGGTAAAGCCTGGTGACCGAATCCAACTTGTCGGCATCTTCCGTACCCTGGGAAATAGAAACGCCAACCACAATAGCGCGTTATTCAAGACAGTTGTTCTTGCTAATAACGTAGTTCTTTTATCGTCCAAATCCAGTGGTGGGCTAGCCACTGCGTCGATTACCGATACAGACATCCGAAATATCAACAAAGTTGCCAAAAAGAAGGACCTTCTCGGGCTTCTGTCGCAGTCTCTTGCTCCGAGTATTTACGGCCATGATTATGTTAAAAAGGCCATTCTGCTCATGCTTTTGGGAGGAGTAGAGAAGAACCTCGAGAATGGCACCCATTTGAGAGGAGATATCAACATCTTAATGGTTGGCGACCCCTCTACTGCGAAATCTCAGCTCTTACGATTTGTCCTGAACACAGCACCACTGGCTATCGCTACCACAGGTCGCGGTTCTTCTGGAGTTGGTTTGACGGCAGCCGTTACTACTGATAAGGAGACCGGAGAGCGCAAATTGGAGGCTGGTGCCATGGTCATGGCTGATAGAGGAGTTGTCTGCATTGACGAATTTGACAAAATGTCAGACATTGATCGAGTGGCTATCCACGAAGTCATGGAGCAGCAGACAGTTACCATCGCCAAGGCGGGTATTCATACTTCGCTGAACGCTCGATGCTCTGTCATCGCAGCTGCCAATCCCATCTTTGGGCAGTATGATCCTCACAAGGACCCCCACAGGAATATTGCACTCCCAGACTCCCTATTGTCACGTTTCGATTTGCTCTTTGTCGTCACTGATGACATTGACGACGCCAGAGACAGGCAAGTTTCCGAGCATGTATTACGCATGCATAGGTACCGCCAGGCGGGCAGCGAAGAGGGCGCCCCTGTTCGTGAACAAGTCTCTCAGTCACTGGGCGTCTCTGCCAACACTCAGGCCGGATCACAACAGTCAACAGATGTTTATGAGAAATATGACGCGATGCTGCACTCAGGCGTAACCCGGACATTGGGCCGAGGGTCCAACAAAAAAATCGAGATTCTTAGCATACCCTTTATGAAGAAGTATATTCAATATGCTAAGCGGATTAAGCCTGTTCTTACCCAGGAAGCATCGGATCGAATTGCCGACATATACGTTGGTCTTCGAAATGACGAGATGGAGGGAAACCAGAGGCGAACGAGTCCGCTCACCGTCCGTAGTCTGGAGACAATCATACGACTGGCCACTGCCCACGCCAAGTCACGACTCTCAAGTCGAGTGGAGGAACGAGATGCAGTCGCTGCGGAGGGTATCTTGCGATTTGCCCTCTTCAAAGAAATCGTAGAGGATAACTCGCGGAGAAAGCGCAGGCGGACGCAAGCCACTGGCGTGGTCTCATCCAGTGATGACAGCGATGAGGATGATAGCGACGACGGGCACGACGAGCAAAGCCAACAGACCAGCCAGCTGAATGGAAGCAATTCCCGAAATTCCACTGCGCGTATGCAGACTAGAACTTCTTCGAGGCTTAATGGCACAAACGGATCTACAAGCCAAAACTCAAATGGCTTATCCCAAGCATCGGGAGCGACCACGACCCCAGGCAATAGCTCTCAACCACCTCACGGAATGGTGGATACGCAAAGCTCCTTTGCGTCAACATTGCCTGCGTCGCAGGTCTTGTTCCCGACTCAGGGAGAGGCTGAAGATGAGAACTTGGCCAGTGCTGCCAGCAACTTGGAGATTGAAGAAGCCAGTCTCGCCCCTCTGCGACTGTCAACTTTCAGGACCAACCTTGGCCAATTGCTCAATACCGACATTTTCGAGGATGACTCAGCTCCTCTCGCCGCGGTGATCGATGCCATCAACGATAGAATTGGTGACCGCGAAGGAGGTGCCTTTGGCAGACCAGAAGCAATTTTGGCGCTGAAGAAATTGGAAGAAGCAAATCACATCATGTGAGTTTAACATAAGCCAGCTACTTAATCAGGACCTCTAGCTAACCAAGGCAATAGGTTTGGTGATGGTGATGTAATCTACAAGATTTGAGATCTACTGATGAAGATTTTACCGGTGTTTGGGATGGATTTGGGAGCTAATTGGCCTGGAGGGAACGAATATGGTGATGACATGTCAGGAAAATAACAAGGTAAAAAAGCCTAGGTTAAAAGTCTAGAGCAATCATGATTCACAAGTTGATGAGAATAAAACAAAATAATAATGGTATATGATCTATGATTTAAAGTCTTTCCTCAAACTTGCGCAGTCGGTCTAGTACATTGCATCCATTCCAAGTCTCAGTGCTGTCATCCTGTCGATCAAGTGTCGGCATGCCAACTTGTTCTACGGCAAAACTGGCCGCTACGGATCCCCAAACAGCGGCTTCTTCGTAGCTCTTCCCCCGAGCCAAGGCCACCGATAGGCCCCCGAGAAATGTGTTTCCACCGCCTGTAGGGTCAACAACACTAGTTTTATCCGTATGGTAAGCCGGGATCCATCGCTCGACTCCAGGATCGACTTCAAATTCAGTCTCTTCGCGAGCGATTGAGCCATCTTCGTCACAGATGAGATCAGCCAACAGGGCCGTCATGTCGATATCGGGTCGTAGGCCACCTCTGGTATAATTCTTTTTTCGTGTCGATTTAGAGCTCTGTCCGGGACGACGTTTCCTACCGCCATTCTTGACAACATAGCAGCCCTTGTGAGCGGCTCGCACGACGATTGCGAAGGATTGGAGAGGCATGCTATCAAGAAGCTGCTCGCAAGCGCGCTCAACAGCTCGAACGGAGATGTCTCCCGTCACTGGGTCCAGGCCATCGTCGCCCATGAAGCCGGCAAGCTCGCTGTGGTTTGGGCTGCAGACATCTACAAGCGGCAGAGTGTTTGTAAGATTGAGAAGCTGGTCTGGATTGCATAGATCGGGCACTGGTTCCCACACAAAGATTGGTTTAGTATAAGTCTCCGAGGTGGCAGCTTCCTTGCGGCGAGTGATTATGGTAGTCACCAGCTCCTGGCAGCGAGTCGGAGAGCAGATGAGATGGAACGACTTGGACTGGAGTTGCTCTGGTGACAAATCGTCGCTCGTGAGGCGCTTCTTGGGGGTCAGGTACTTGAACTCGCGCTTGTCGTCGGTGCCGCCGTAGCCATTCCAGCCTCGAGTGGTGAGCCGCTCTGGATCATGGCGCATGAGGGCAGACGTCTCCCAGCTGTCGATCAGCGTGGTGACTGAAGGTGGGAAGTCGGAGCCCTGGTCCACGATCCATCCTACCGTGGAGGACAGTGGCGGCGGCGAGAACAGGCGCGCGCCAAGGGCGGCGTAGGAGCCGCCGCCTCCAAGGATGTCTTTCTGAGGAGGCTTTGGATCAGGGAAATCGATATCATCTTGACAAACGAATCGCATGGACACGGCGGTCGGTCAGCCCCAAGCTCTATAGAGGCTAACAGGGCCGTAGCGGGAACGCCTCACCGATTATGAGCATGCCAAAAGTGACAAAGTCGATGCCGGCATGATGCTCGGATTCCTGCTCGGATACCGCCTTGGGATCTGCATCTGCACCCGTATGAGAGCCCATTGGCACAGAGTGGGATTTTGTGATTTTTTTTATTTTTTTTTTGCAGAGTCGAGGATCAGAGTTGCCTGGCCGCGTCTGGCACACGGCCTGTCATGTTTATCGGGCGGCAGTGACCTGATTGACCTGCAGGCACTAAGGGAAGGTGCAAAAGTACAGAGTACACCTCGACGGGGAAATAGCCGCTCTTTACTACTACTAGTAGCTTTCGGTAGCCGCTACATGAAACAAATGGGCTGTCATGCACGCGACGCGATAAGGGAGATTAGCGTCTAAGAGGCCGAGTTCAGGAAGTTTACCAGATCTCAATATAATGTGAGAAAATAGGTAGTCACTGTAGCTATGGGGATAGTACTTTTGACGAAAGAAAAGGGCACTTGTTTGAGAAGAATGAGATTGAGTATGGTCCCCCCCCCCCCCCCCCCCCCCCTTTTTTTTTTTTTTTTAAAGACTTCAAGTGGCCTCAATTGATCAATTGCTGCTCCAAAGAACGACACATTTGATAACACGTCACTCTTGGGATCGGTGTTTCAGCCGTAGGTAGCAACGGGTGCAGTGCTCCCTGCACGAGATGCTCTATCCGCAGTCTTCGAGCATGGTGATCAATAAAGAACTAGAAAAATATCCTTTGCCGAGAGCATCCCTTTATTTTGCTCTATCTCTATATACCTATTATATGTGGCGCATTATAAAAGAGTCTATCAAGAAGCATCGCCGACACATATATGTGTATACATAACAACAAATCTACAGCTTGGCCTTGGGCGGCTCCAGAGTAGGAACCAGCAGGTCTCGCATCTCGCCCGCAGCCTCGTTAAGATAGTAGCTCATCCGCTCGCTTCCCAGTCCCTTGGATACTACGTTGAAGTTGATGCTGTGATGGCTGTCAGCGTGGTTCATGATGAAAATCAATAGCATGGAATGGATGTCATTGTCTCTTACCTGTTCTCGTTGATCATGTACGCAATGCCAAATCCGCCGTCAATCACCTGGCTCCAGCCATAGCCGTTGAAGAACTCGGAGCTAAGCTGTGAAGTAGACAGGTACCAGGATGAAGAGTAGCCGTACGCGGGGTCCTTGTAGATGGTCGGGAGCTCTTCACCAGGTGCAAGGAGCTTCTTGAGTCCGAACAGATGTCTGTCAACACCCTTGCCGTCTGAAGCAGCCGATATATACTCAATATGAGCTGCAATGGCCTTGCGGAAAAGGTCGACTCGGGTCTTATCCTCAGCTGCGGGATCCGCCATGGATGTGCACCAAGCAACTGATTCATCAGAAACGCTGCGGCAAGTCTCAGTGCGTCCCAGCTGGAAGCGCCGGGTAGCGGCTGATTCATATGTTGGTCGGTTCTTGCCGTACATCTTGTAGTAGGCAAGCTGGATGATCATCTGCACATATGCATCGGGTGAGCACCTGAACTGCTTAATGAGGCCCTTTCCGTAGGCCTGGTAAGCTTGGACAGCAAGTTGGTGTTGGCCAATGACGTTGTTAAAGTCGGTAACAGCGCGGTCGATCTCGCTCTGGACCTTGGGCGTGATCTCGAACTTGATAGGCTGGGGTTCCGGCAAGTCTGATCGAACATTGGGGTCTGAGAAATCAATCTTGTTTCCAAAGATGAGATCGTTGATGTAGTCGTTCAGGCGGTGTGTCGGCGTGCCGTCCATCATTGAGTGCTCTCCCATGAAGCCCGATGTGCCGTTATCATTGACGATAAACTGAAGAGGCTTGTCATACCAACGGTTGGCGCCATCGCCGTGCCAGTACTGGCGAGCACGCTCTTCTAGTGTGACGGGAGACGCATCGTCCAAGCATACCACGAATGAGGCAGACTCAATGGCCTCCAAAGCCGCCTTGTTCTTGGGGCTTTCTTGGATCAGTACCTCACGAGCATCTGTCCAAACGTCTCGGTTTTCTGAGGTCAGCGCGCCCACGGGTGATACCCGCTGCGCGATCTGGTAAATGCGGTTGAACTGGTGCTCAAGCTCTGATGTGTTGAGTTGCTTGCCGGCAACTTCGTGCTCGACCTTGAAGAATTGGTTCTTGCGAATGACCACAATGTGCTTGTTTTCGGTATGGGAGAACTTGACAGGATAGTCGGCAGGGCGGGCAGGGACGCGGCTCGCGTTGAACATCCACTTGTAACTATCCATGCAAATGGGCAGCTTCTTCATGTACTCAGGCTCCAGGCTGCCACTGTCCACGAGCTTCTTGAATTCCAGCACACTGCTGGTGATCGCTGCAGCTCGCTTGGCAGGGTTGCGTCGCTTGGGGTCGTCTCTGTGTGAATAGAAGTAGCTGACATATGGCACCACCGGGTCTCGGTAGCTCAGATAGGCGGCATCGTTCCACCACTCGTATATCCAGTTCTTTGTCTTGGGATCTTGAGCCTTTTCAACAAGCTTTTGCTGGAGCTTGCTTCCGACTCCGCCCGGCTTAATGAACTCAGCAACCGCGGCTTTACTTTGCTCGAGCTCGGTCTTGGAGATGATGGGGTTTAAGCTCTTGAGGTATCTCTTGGCAGTCTCTTCAAGAGTTGGGACTGGAAGGCGAGGCAGAGAGTCTTGGAACCTCAACATAGCACCCTTTGACTTGTCTTCGACATAGCCTGTCACAGAATAGTGTTATTAGCCGAGGCAAAAATATTTGGTGTGCGGCAAAAGTCTCGTCTGTTCGATCGATGAAGCCACGAAGCGAAAAGCCTAATCGCTTCGTACGCGGGAGAACATACCGGCTGGGAGCGAGCTGCTGTTGCGTTTAGGTGCCATGGCGATGCGATGGGACTGCTGTGAGCGGGCGTGTAGATTAGCAACCGGCTCAAAGCGCAACGAAACGAGGCGAGACAAATATCTTACAGAAGAAAGCGCAACGCGTCGAAAGGTGCTTGTCGGTCTGGACGAACGTATGGCTGACAACATGGCAAATGTGGGAGACAAAGGGGGAAGCGGCGTGGTTGAGGTTGGCAGAGCGTTTATATCGGCTGCGAAAGATCCGCTCAGATACCGCGGCTCTTGGACCTCGTTGCCGCAGGATAGCGCAAGGTAGGATTGGCCGTAACCGTTGCCGACCGAGTATGCGTTCAGGGCCAAAACAAGCGTCGGACGTTATTGAGTGGCTGGCCTAGCTTGCGCAACTCAAGACCAGCAGAGATATTCACGAATCGAGGGGAATTGCAGGAGACAGGCAATGGAGCCGCGGGAATCATATAAAATACCGTCTCGTGAAATGCGCCCAAGACCTCTAGAGCGATGTCTATACAGCGGCCACATGCCACATGCAGGAAATGACGCTGGCCTATTGGGCCGCCGCTTACCGCTATCGGGACTGGAACTCCACTGGACCCCGGATGCCACGAGCCGAGGTAAATTTCTGGGTTACCGAGAGTCGCGTAGAGCACGCACGGATAGCAGGAGGGCGCTATCGATAACGCTACGGGGCAAGGGATAGGTGGCTGATGTACGGAGATGCTCAGGCACAGATGACGGTACATAAGTGCTGGGCATCTGCAGCTGGGGAATGGAATCCTGATTTGGCATCAGATCCATGCGCGGTGCCACCGGGATCAAGCGCTGCCCATTCGCATCTAGATCTAGCAGCAGTAGGCTCAGGCGGCCATCCTCTCCGCCGATGCATACCTCTTCCTAGCCATACCTCTATACTACTAGTACTACCTTGTTTCAACTCTACAAAGCATCTCCAAGTAAGACCATACTGCCACAACGCATCGGCTGACCGCCTACTTCAACAGGAAGTCCTCAAATGCGGAAGCTGATTGGGCGCATCCTTGGTGCTGGGACCAGCAATCTGTATGGGCTACATCCGTATTTCTGTTATAAGCAAGTCACACGCACCAACACCAACTCCGTAATCCGGAGCAGTGTAAAGTAAGATAGTATGGAGTAGATCCGCTGGCTGCCGCGCACTAATATTAGATAGCTCATCGCAATCAGCATCTTTCACCTATCATTATCAGACTGGCTACCGACACCTGTGTAAAACAGCCAGATAGTGCGCCAGCTTCTTCTGGGGTATCTTCAGATCCCGTTTGGCCTAACCATGATCTATTTTGCTTGATACCACTGCTCATCTCGTGTATTGATCTGATATACCGGCCTCGTCTAAATTCTGGCTCAGGGGCGTCCCGAATCTGTCTCAAGTTGAGCTTCGTCGCCCTTGTCGCGCTTGCGATTACATCTGCCTGAAGATACGGCATCTCGTAATCTCGACACAGAACTCATTTTCCGAAGCCATCGTTTATTCTTCTGCCTCAACCAACTCCCCCCGTACCACTTGCAAAGAAGCCTGAAAAGATGCATCAAGACCAAGATGCTCACCGCGGGCGGCTTATCGCCTCAGTCGCTGCAACTGTCATCTCCCTGGCCTGCGGCACAAACGTGAGCAACCATTTTCATGATTCTGCGTCCTCACAAAAACCGTCCACGCATCTCCCCCCGCCCTGAACCCAATATGGATGGCGAGATGAGTATAACCAACCAGCTGATTTGACACAATAATGCAGTATGTCTATTCCGCATGGGCGCCACAGTTCGCCGAAAAGCTCAGGCTTTCCACCACGGAAAGCAACCTGATCGGTCTCTTCGGCAACCTAGGCATGTATACAATGGGTGTCCCCATTGGCATGTTTGTGGACGATCGCGGATCGAGGCCTGCCGTTCTTGCCGGAGCTTTCCTCCTAGCTATTGGCTATGTCCCCCTATGCATCTCCTTTGAGAAAGCCGCGGGCTCTGTGCCTGTGCTCTGCTTCTTCTCCTATCTGACCGGCCTGGGTGGATGCATGGCTTTTGCGGGTGCTGTCAAGACATCTGCGCTCAACTGGCCAAGCCATCGCGGCACGGCCACGGCGTTTCCGCTTGCTGGATTTGGACTCAGTGCCTTTTTCTTCTCTTTTGTCGGAGCAATCCTGTTCCCTGGCAGCACGAGCTCCTTCTTGTTGCTATTGGCATGGGGCACGTTTGGCCTTACTTCTATTGGCTACTTCTTCCTAAAGGTGTATCCTCAGGTATCTTACCAGGAAGTGCCCACCCAATCATCTGAACCATCGTCATCCGGTCGAGCAAGATCGCGTAGTGTAACCGAACCTGGTATGTTAACCGACCCCGATGCCGTTCACTCAAACCTGGCCGTGCCACCACAGGCTTCTCCAGGATCAGACGCCAGTCGCGCCGATATTTTCAATGACACCGAAGCTGGTGATGCCCCGAGTACCGAGACTTCATCTTTGATTGTCGGTGCTGCAGGCGCCGAGATTGTTAGGCGCAGTAGTGTTGATCAAGATATGTCTTATCGACTAGATGTACGAGGAGTGAAGCTCCTGTTCTGCCTGGATTTCTGGCAGCTATTTTCCATCATGGCAATCCTCGCTGGAACCGGCCTCATGACTATCAAGTACGTTTTACATCTTTCTCTTACCGACCTGTGTCATCGACGAAACTAATGTCTGAAAAAGTAATATCGGTAATGATGCAAACGCGCTCTGGAAGCATTATGACCCCTCAGTCGATGAAACGTTTCTCGTTAGCCACCAGCAAATACACGTATCTATTCTTTCTGTCTTCAATTTTGTAGGCAGGCTACTAAGTGGTAAAGCTATTTGAATTCGCCCTAGATACTCTGTCTAAGCATTGAATTAACTTTGATACAGGCATTGGTTCTGATTATCTCGTCAAAACTCTTCGAGCCAGCCGCATCTGGTGTCTAGCCGTGGCTTGTCTTATATTTCTCCTGGCACAAATCTGTGCCCTACAAATCGAGATGCCACACAAACTTGTGTTCGTTTCGGGCCTTTCTGGCTTGGCTTACGGCTTCCTCTTTGGTGTCTTCCCTTCCATTGTTGCAGAGACGTTCGGCATTGGTGGGCTGAGCCAGAATTGGGGTTTCATGACTCTTGCTCCTGTGGCCTCGGGAAATGTGTTCAACCTGCTGTACGGAAGGATCTACGATCACCACAGCGTCGTTGAACCTGATGGCACGCGATCTTGCGACGACGGCATCGCTTGCTACCGCTCTGCTTATGCGGTGACCTCGACTGCATGTGCCCTGGGCCTATTCATTACGATATACATCATTCACTACCAGAGGACCCAGTATCTAAAGGCGAAAGACAAGCTGGATGAAGAAGACTGATAAATTTTGCATATATATACAGGGTGCTTAACATAGGAGTACAGCTGCAACTGTTTTTATCAGCGTTAGTTATTCTACAATTTTTATATCTTTTCGAAAATTTCGAAAATTTCCCCTAAACTGTAACAATATGTTATTACAACGGCATAATAGCGTTCCAACAGCCATATATTGGGTGTCTGTCACTGGTGCAGATGATTCATGCATCTAAGGGAACTCACGCCTCAATGCTTACGGATATAAGCATAAAAGGGTGCCTAACCGTTTGCGTCCAGTTATGTCATCTCGTTTCGGGCACGGGTACCTTTGTCGTGGGCAAGACGCATCATCCTTTTTTCGCCCGACAACACTACTACCTACGAACGAATCGCCGTCGTCGCGCAACCTGCGATCTGACGCATCCAACGCATGTCTCATTTTTGACAAAATGGGCGCCCTTCTTTCTCTGCCGCTACTTGCGGTACCCAGCTTGGGCACAGTACGTTCTATTGAGACTGAGCTTTATACTACCTTGAAGACGCTTGAATCTCTGCCAGATCCAGTGTTTCATCGTCTTCTGCTCAAAGCGGCTATGATATGACTGACTTGCTAATCTGCGCTATGTAGGCAGCGTCTTGCTTGGCCAGCTGTTGCGGTGCAGCTACTTGCTCCATGGTTTGTAGCGCATGCGGCAAATGTGGAAACAGGTACGATAATGTCCAGCTCGCATCGGATTCATTGAAGATTTGCCTAACAGTCTCGCAGTATCGCTACGCGCATTGCCTACGCTCTACTTCTCCTCGTCAACTCGATATTAGCATGGATTATGCTCACCGATTGGGCTATAGAAAAGCTCCAGCATCTCGCACTTGATTATGTCAAGATCAACTGTCCCACGGGGCAGTGCTATGGATGGCTAGCTGCTCATCGAATCAACTTTGCTCTCGGACTTTTGCACCTCATCTTCGCTGGCCTCCTATTCGGCGTTCAATCCTCGAAAAGCCCTCGAGCCGCTATACAGAATGGGTACTGGGGACCCAAGATCATTGCTTGGCTAGCACTCATTGTCATGTCTTTCCTCATCCCTGACAAGTTCTTCATGTTCTGGGGAAATTATGTCTCGTTTGCTGCGGCGATGCTGTTTCTTGTTCTTGGTCTCATTTTGCTCGTGGACTTGGCGCACACTTGGGCTGAATATTGCTTGGCACAAATCGAAGACACTGACTCTAGGTTCTGGCGAATCGTTCTCATAGGCTCGACCTTGAGCATGTACCTGGCGTCCATCGCGATGACCATCATCCAGTACATCTTCTTTGCCCAGGGCCAGTGCGCCATGAATCAGACTGCCATCACCGTCAATCTAATTCTATGGCTGATTATTTCCGTTGTGTCCGTTAATCCTACGGTTCAAGAATACAACCCCAAAGCTGGATTGGCCCAAGCCGCAATGGTAGCAGTGTACTGCACTTATTTGACAATGTCAGCCGTGTCCATGGAACCCGATGATAAGAACTGCAACCCCTTGGTCCGCGCTCAAGGAACGAGAACTACGTCCGTTGTTATCGGAGCCATTGTCACAATGCTTACAGTTGCGTATACGACCACCCGCGCGGCCACCCAAAGCCTTGGCCTAGGAGGCAACGCCGACGGAATCCGACTCCCGGAAGATGATGAGCATGACTTGGTTACACAGCAGCCTATGCACCGCCGTGAAATGCGGGCGGAAGCTCTGCGTCGTGCTGTGGAAGAAGGCAGCCTGCCAGCTGATGCTCTACTGTCGGATGACGAGAGCGACGCTGGCGGAGATCACGCACACGACGATGAGAGATCCAGCACCCAGTACAATTATTCAATGTTTCACATCATCTTCTTCCTAGCCACGGCATGGGTATCGACACTTCTCACTCTCAATTTCGAGGAGTCAACTCGAGATGGTCAGTTCGCTACAGTTGGTCGTACCTACGGAGCCAGCTGGGTCAAGATTGTAAGTGCCTGGATTTGCCACGGCATGTACATTTGGACACTCATTGCGCCTATTTACTTCCCCGAACGCTTCTCTTAAATTCGGTGGCACCTGCACGTTTTTCTTCAACTTTCTCGGCTAAAACCGAATGTATACTACTAAGTGTACATTCATTTACAAAAGGGCATTTGGCGATAATACCCATTTGTCTAAAAAGCTGAGAAGCCGATACCCCTCCAAGACTATCTGGCCGGTTAGCTGCGCTTTCAGCTTACTACAATATATCACTATGAATCGGCCTTTATCAGTGACCGATCTGTTTTGAAAGCATATGCAGCAGCTTCTTTAACAGTACTTTTTGGTCCTTTGTATAACTGACATTTAGAATATCTCATTATGTAAAGGTGAAGGAGTTTGCGATTCTAATCAATTTATTACATTTGCTACATGACAATCTGTTTTTCTGCCATCCAGCCAAATGATAAGATTGTAGAAGACGTAGATCGCATTTCTGTGTATGGAAGCCAGTATCAGTGCGATACGAAAATAATTACTCTAAATGATGTAGCCCATCCTTAATTCTCCCTTTGTCCATCTATAGCCCCTGCTGCCTTTGCGGCCGCGCCCTGATTTAATCCGGCTTCTTTATTGCTTCCCTGATCCTGCAATTTCAAATCCTGCATCTGTTGTTTGTCCTGTTCCCATTGAGAGTTGGCATCACCAAATTCCTCCTTAATCTGTTGCTCCTTGATCTTTCTGTCTTCTTCCTCCTTCTCTCGAGCGATTCGTTCTCTTTCCATTTCCTGTAGAAAGTTCGGTTAGTATAGGTAGGTTCCTGCAAGTGTAATCGGTAAAGAAAAAAAGAAAAAAAAAAAAAAAACATGGACGAAGAAGATACGCACTTCCATGTGTTTGATATCATCAACGCTAGGCTCGTACAAGTGCCAAATGGTATAGTGTGGCAAGCCAACAACGGAGAATCGCATTCGTTTCGCCATCTGTTTAGTTTATTAGTTATAAAATCCGCCCCCCAAGCGTCTGGTAGAATGAGACTCACCTTGCCAAATCCCTCCGTTTCGGCATGCTTCTCGAAACTAAAAGCAGGGAAATGGACACCGCTGCGAAATACTTTGGCTTTCGCCAGAATACTAACGCCTCCAACTCCATCAATCTCCATCTCCATGTCTGGGTCGCCGTAGGGGTCTCGTAGATAGGCAAGATGGGGTCGCCATGTGGCATATTCGGCATAGCCCTCTACAATGACGGCATCTTCGTCCAGTGTGTCGGCCAACGCAAGAGCGGTTTCGGATTCTTGCCAAGAGTTCAGATCGTAAGGCTGTTCACCACCAAGCCAGTCGGGAAGAGGACGCCACACATCTTGAATACCGTTAGTACAAAATAGAATAATGCAGATCCGTAATCAACATACTAGGGACAATGACGTCTTTATTGTGTCGCATCAGGTCTTCCAGAATTGTAAACGGTGCAGTCTCAACGTCTACATCACGCCAGTATACCCAAGAATGATAGGGTCGCAGAGCAGCACTGAGAAGCCAGTTGCGCGCTTGGGCCATAAGCTTTCTACGACTAGCCTGAGCGGCAAATCCGTGTCGGCTTTCGACGTCCTGGTTCACCTTTTGGCCAAAATCCTTTTCGATGATGGAGATTTCTCCATATGGCTGCTTTGGGTCCGCATCCGCCTGGATAGCCTCCAAGTTGTCCGAGAGGACTTGCAGTGTTCGGTCCTTCGAATCGGAGACGAGAAAGGCGAGATCAATCAGGTTATGGGGATATGTAAAGTTCTTCAGGTGGGAGAAGAACATTGGTAGATGTTGCTCGGCATCTCGAAGTGGTACACATAACAGAATACGCTCTTCGCGCTCCCACCCGCGCGCAGATCCTTGCACGTTGGTGAGGTCGTAGTATCGCACCGTCTCAAGTTTCAAGTCCTCATATCCGGATAGAATGCCGAGTGAGATCAGAGAAGCGACGGATTTGGGCTGTCCAAACCAGAATATGAGAAGGACGACGATAGCCACTACTATACCAATACGAATCGCGGTCCTCTTGCGCTTTTTGTGAAGAGGGATGGTAGCTCTCGGTTGGAATCTGTAAAGGATTCGGTCAATACATCAGTTGGTTTTGGATCGCGTGCAAGGAGAGGGGAAAAAATCATCACCTATGGGGGGAAATCTCGAAGGTGTCGGCGCGCGGGTATCCATTGGAAAACCCGCTGGAGTGATGCCGTGGCATCATTTTGAAGTCGTTGGAAGACTTATGAAAACATTAATGGCCGTCTATTAATCGCGTACTGCACGCGGGCGGCTTCTACCACCTGCGTGATTGAATTGAAGTGATCAAAGCCGGTGATTTGGGACGAGACAGGAGGCAAGGCCTAAACGTAACGTGTATGGAGGAGTGCCTCGTATCCAGAGACCCCTTGATCCTGTTGCGGCCATTCCACAAAAATTGTTAGCCTGCTTCGTACAGAGTACTTTTTCGCAAAGCCCGCCAGATAAGCACCACAGGCAAAATATATCTATTTATAGCATAGCTTGCAAGATGCAGCATTTATCTAGGGGAAAACATATAAAAAAAATTTTTACTTTTAATACTAGCCAAGATGTCCTCCCAATACTTCAATGTAGTAATAAAATATATTAAATAGGACGCACATGATTGTGAGATGCCTAAAATTCATTGAATCCGCCAATATATATTGAGGCTTCCGTTAAACTCCATCGAATCGCAATACTGTAAATTCTACTGCCTGTTTTAATTACCAACTCAGGCATGACTCGGAGAATAGATGAACCAGGCTACTAGTACGGAGTGGTAGCACCATGTGTGGATTTGCAGGCTCCAGGTTAGCTGCCTGTGAGCCCCTCCACAGAGAAAATGGGCAAGCTATCGCGTACCACTTCGTGCTAGCCTAGGAGTTCGTCACTGTCACTTCTGGCCACGAAGAGCTATATTTTCTTGCGCTGCCCATGCGCTCTGATATTTCTTCCGCTTAGTGACAACATAATACAGGATACGCCTTTCTCATTGCTCTTCCAAAGCGATTGCATATTATTTCAGCGCAATGGCGGCCCAAAATCAAATGCATAACTTGACAACGCTCATCAAACGGTATTTGGATATCCCCTTGTGCTGTTTGGCTCCCACGATGCTGATTGCTTGGCAGACTCGAAGCCGCAACCTCACGTCTCGAAGACATCGCTTCCTCTACAGAGCTCCCCAAAGATGTCACCGGCCTTGCCCAGCCCGCAACTCCTCAGTCGGAAACTGCTGCAACCCCGCTGCCACCCGCCCCGAAAGAGCCTCAGGAGGCGCTGCCCGAGTCTATCGAAGACTTCGATGTTTTCTTAAACACGAGCCTTGATAAATACATCAAACTCAGCAGTCAATTGGGCGGAGTTGTTGCTCAGCAAGTCCGTACCTACCTGCTCCTTAATCTCTCGTAGCACTGGTCAGGAGAGCTAACTGTTGTGCTGCGATATAGGCGTCGGAGGTTCTCAGGGGCTTCCAGGAACAACGAAAATTCCTCCTCATTGCTACCAAGGCTGCAAAGCCGAGTACCTCAGGATCTAGCTTAACTGTTTACCAGAACTTGCTCAAACCCATCAACGATGCTGTCATGGCCGCGACCGAACTCAAGGAATCAAACCGACCCGACCCAATGTACAGCAACCTGAGCGCTGTCGCGGATGGAATCATGGTGATGGGCTGGGTGACTATTGATCGCCGCCCATACAGCTTCGTCGAAGAATCTTTGGGCGCTGCGCAGTTCTTCGGCAACAGGGTTCTGAAGGAGCAAAAGGACAAGTACGTTTAACATCTGGATGAAATACTGTGACCAATCTGCTAACCTTTCATCTCTTCTCGCATCTTAGTGACCCTAAACAGGTTGAGTGGGTGCAATCTTTCTATCAGATCTTCCATGACCTTGGCGATTACATCAAACAACACCATGCCTCTGGTGTCGCTTGGAACCCGAGAGGAGAACCGGCCGAGGAAGTCGCAAAGACATTGACTGCTGGCAAGGTGTCGCAACAGCCTCCGCAGAGCAGCACTCCGTCAGCTGGCGCGCCACCACCACCTCCTCCTCCTCCGCCGCCGCCCGGACCGGCCCCGATCTTGGATATACCCGTCGACTCTGCAAAGCCGGCCAATGCGGCACCCGCCGGGGGCTTTGGAGCAGTTTTCTCTGAACTGAACAAGGGCGAATCTGTGACCAAGGGCCTACGTAAAGTGGACAAGTCGGAGATGACACACAAGAACCCTGCTTTACGGACAGGATCCACGGTCTCAGAGGCTCCCCGGGCTAAGAGTCCTGTCCCGGGCAAGAAGCCCAAGCCTGAGAGCATGAGGGTTAAGAAGCCAGCAAGCAAAGTACTTGAGGCCAACAAGTGGACTATTGTACGTTTCCTAGACCATGGACGGTTGAATTCTTATGTACTGACCCTTCCATAGGAAAATTACGATAAGGAGCCCGAGCCAGTAGAGATTGATGCTTCCATTACCCACTCCGTACTGATCAGCCGATGCAACAACACCACTGTCATTATCAAGGGCAAGGCAAACCAGGTCACGGTTGAAAACTCTACTCGGTTATCCCTCGTTGTTGATTCGCTAGTCTCCACCGTGGATGTGGTAAAAGCGAATAACTTTGCGCTTCAAGTACTTGGAATCGTGCCCACCGTCATGCTGGACCAGATCGATAGCGCGCAGATTTATCTCAGCAAGGAGAGCTCCGCTACCAAACTATTCACAAGCAAGAGTGATGGAATCAATGTGAACATCCTGGCTGGGCCGGATGAAGACTACAAGGAGGTGCCGCTGCCTTCTCAAATCTGCTCCTACTACAGTGAAGAAAAAGGCGAGATGGTGAGCGAAATCGTGGCCCACGCAGGCTAGACACATACCTCGCGATGGATGGGAAGAGACATGTGGTATATAGGAGACAATATATACACCACTATATTCAGATAGAGATAGAATTGAATATAGCAATTTTTACAAGAGTATTTGATATGCTGAGACAAAACTAAGAGTTCTGATCGATTGAAACAATCAATCTGCTGGTAGTAAAAGCCCCCTACTAATTTCGTCATACCTATCACAGCCGAGTTCCGGTACCTGTCAGTACTATCCAGTACCAATCCGTAACACCGACAGAGAAGTAGCTTCAGGTACAGGCGCGTACCCCATAGGTTCCCCGCACCGACAGGCCGTGCTGCCGGTATCGCAGCACTACGCCCTATTGAGTAAAGCAGCCCCTCTACTGTCATTCTCCAGAGAATTGCGACTTCACCAGTTACCCAATTATCTTACCCGCTAAGCCAACGCACTGTGACTCTGAATCGTTTCTAGCAGCAGCCTGTTGGCTTTTTGTTTTTCTCAAGAACAAGAAGCATACTGAGACATCAATTGCATATACCACGCCATTATCATCACTTCCTAGGTACCTTTGTTGGTTTCCTTCGCCGAGTAATTGCTTCCTTTGCATCATTGTCGGGTTGTGCGGGGGCAAGACAGTGTATGTTCCTGCTTATCCAGTCGTAAAGACTAAACCGCTCTCCTCCATCAACTACAATCTCGTTTTTGAGAGATCCCTTTCCTCTATACATACAAAATGGCAGCCGACGACAAATCTGCCAACCCCCTCAAACGTGTCGACCTCGATGGCCACGATCTCCCACCTTCACCTGCGCCATCGAGCCCTCGAAACGGACGCCGCCGTTATGCTCTGGCGACCGAATTAGTCTATACCGAGGGAAAAGATCAGTATGGCGCTTCAAGCACTCCAATCTATCAGTCAGCGACCTTTAAGCAGAGCTCTGCCAGCGGTGGCCAACAGGAATACGACTATACAAGATCCGGCAACCCTACACGCACTCACCTCGAGCGCCACCTGGCCAAGATCATGAACGCAAACCGTGCCTTGGCTGTCAGCTCTGGAATGGGAGCTCTCGATGTGATCTCGCGACTTCTGCGCCCTGGTGACGAAGTCATCACTGGCGACGATCTGTACGGCGGCACACACCGTTTGCTCACATATCTTGCAACCAACCAGCAAATCGTCGTGCACCATGTCGACACAACAGATGTTAATGCCGTTAAGGAGCGGCTATCGGAAAAGACGACAATGGTGCTCCTTGAGACTCCCACAAATCCTTTGATTAAAATCGTTGATGTACCCTCCATTGCGCGTTTAGCGCACGAAATCAATGAAAGGGCTCTTGTGGTGGTTGATAACACTATGCTGTCTCCCATGCTATTCAACCCCTTGGACGTTGGCGCAGACATTGTGTATGAGTCGGGAACCAAATATCTCTCCGGTCATCACGACATCATGGCCGGCGTGATTGCATGCAATGATGCGGCGATTGCTGATAAGCTCTACTTCACCATCAACTCGACCGGCTGTGGATTGTCTCCCAATGACTCGTTCCTTCTGATGAGAGGAGTCAAGACGCTGGCTATCCGCATGGAAAAGCAGCAATCGAATGCACAGGCCATTGCTGAGTTCCTAGAATCACACGGGTTCAAGGTACGGTACCCCGGCCTCAAGTCTCACCCCCAATATGACTTGCATTGGGCAACTGCCAGGGGTGCCGGCGCGGTATTGTCTTTTGAGACAGGAGACGCAGTGCTGTCACAGCGTATCGTGGAGGCAGCCCGTCTGTGGACCATTAGCGTCAGCTTCGGATGTGTAAACAGCCTCATCAGCATGCCCTGCCAAATGAGCCATGCCAGTATCGATGCCAAGACTAGAAGGGAGCGACAAATGCCTGAAGACATCATTCGCCTTTGCGTCGGTATCGAAGACGTCGATGATTTGATAGAAGATCTGTCCCGCGCTGTAAGTTTATCTTTCGAACCCACTGCCTATTTTGTTCCTTTGCTAACGACTTATCTCGTTTTTAAGCTTGTTCAAGCTGGCGCAGTAACAGTCTCTCTTGACGGATTCCAAGCTGTTGAGCCGGTTCAGACGCAGTGAAGGCCTAGGAGGATCTAGTCAAACGGTGGATTCAATATCACGAGTCGTCCATTTTCTGTACGTTTTGAAGCAAGTCGCTTTTGTCTTAGAGCACCAGTGCGGGATTCGGCCTCCCCTCCTCACATTGGCCCCTGAGCGTGGAGGACACTAATAAATGCCCCCGGAGGGCATGAGGGTGAGCTACCGCTGAGCGGCAGAAAGCGCTGGCCATAGTTGCCTCGTAAACACGGTAACGGTGCTGTTGGCTTTCTCCGTACGATGCAAATGTACGAGTAGATTCCAATGGAGCTCCTTCATGTACTATCTGTTACGGCTTTTTGCTTTGCAATGCTACTCCTTTGAGTGCTGTAGTTGTATTTTGTATGGAATACTGCATATACCAATACGATTAATGAAGTAGCAGGGTGGTGAAATTAGAGCCGTGAATTAAGCACGAAATAGTGCGGAGGCAGCCAACCGGCAAGAAAGGCGCTAAAGTCAAGCATACTTGGCTAAATTTGAGCTATTTCGTCCAGGGGTGGACTGCGAATCTGAAACCCTGGACATGTAATTTGTCCAATACGATTATTCTGTCAGGCTTGTTCTATCACTAGTATATGGCACGAGACCTCTCTCTTTGTTTTACCAATTTGGATTTAAAAGACGACGTAGGCGAGTACAAAAGTGGCAGGATTTTTCGTGTGGACCCCCCTGAGACGCTGGTCTTTGACACTCGATCGAGCCAACTTGAAAGGTTAAGAGTACTAGTAACACTATTAAGAAAATAGTATCATCATAGCGTTGTTTATCACCTTGTAAAAATCCAACCTAGTAAAGTTAGTTTGTGTCTGTACACACCGTAGCCTTTGTTCCTTTTTTCAAATACACACATGCCTACCTCTCTATGTCACATGGAATATGCAGCGTTCTACCAGAACATCCATCCCTCTTTCAAAACCGAGAGAAGAACGTCTCGAGATGATATATTACACTTCTCTCTCTCTTCTATTTCTAGGGTCTGTACTTTGCCGTGTTTTAGATTCAAATGAGACCTATCTATGAAATGCCATCCATCATCCTTTCGCAGTTTCTCCTCTCCACAGCGCGGCATGGCGGGCACATCTGCACATCTCAGCTTACCAGCAGACTCGTAATTTTATCCACCAACTAAGCGCCTATACCCACACGAGCATGGGCGATTCCACGTTTTTCCTTTTTTCTTGGAAGAGGGAGGGACCCACGATCGCGGGCTCTACCGACCATGCGTCCGGGTCAGCATTGCCCCGTCGATTGGCGCCTTCACAGCCACCGACATTTTCGTTTCACGCATATTTACTCGTCCATGCCCTCAGTCCTTCTATTGGTGACTCCTGGACAGGATTTTATTCCCAGAAACCTGGCAGCCCTCCACTGAGGGCCGGAGCCTTACAGTAGAAGCAGCAAAACCTGTAATGCCCCGTATCTGCACGGCCTGAATGCCAATCTCCTCCGCCTGGCAGAGTGTCTGGAGCCACAGGAGGCTTGCCACGTCGTCGACCCCTGGGCCCGGCCTGCGCTACGTCGCTCGTGAAGCGGGATACCGAGAGTATTTAGCATTGTGCATTGCCCAGAGCGAGAGTCAGCCGGAGCACTGATATTTCTGCTCACACATCTCCAGACTCAGCTACATATGAGTAGTAGCCGTCGGGGGCTGCCCACTAACACCACCACCACCTTTGAGCGCATGGTGTCAAAGTGAACAGGGACAAGACAAAGGATATTCATTAGCCCCACCACTTGGCATCGACCCGCGCTTTGATTCATTCAGGCTGTTTCAATGGCTAGTCCCAGCCATCGCCGCTTTGGCTCTCAAGGCCAGCGCCAAAGTCTCGTCCACAACGATGGCCTCGAACCCGGGCCTGTTTATAACAAGACCTACGGCGCTGAAGAGACGCTTCCTCCCCCAAACACCACCAGCAACGAATACAAACGAACCCAGTGGCGGCGCAGTGGTGAAGGCCAAGGCCAAGACATGAAGCTCTTTAGGATCAAGTCCGGTGGCGAAAGTGGCCGCAACGGCATTCATCCCTGGCACTTCTTCAGAATTTGCTTCCGCTCTTCTTGCAAAGCCAGCGCAGCCGTCAATATCCTCTGGCCTATTGTTCCCGTTGCTTTGGCTGTTCGGTGTAAGTCGATGCGAGCTGCGGTGGCGCGGAGGCTCTGTCCACCTCATCTTTATAGAGTTTTCTCGGCGCAGTTTAACTGACTTTGAATATCGTGGTGTCTTAGATTCTTTGCCACAACAACATGTTCTCATTTTCACCCTCTCCTACATTGCAATGGCCCCTTGCGCCAACCTAATCGGATTCGCTGGCCAAGAGCTTGCTCGCAAACTCCCCCATGTTCTCGGCGTCCTTATTGAGACGACGGTCGGCTCTATCGTCGAGATCATCCTCTTCATGGTTCTACTCTCCATGAATCAGTTTCTTGTCATAAAAGCCGCCATCCTCGGTTCGATTTTAGCCACTATGCTTCTCTGCTTGGGCCTCTGCTTTTTCGTCGGAGGATTATACCATGAGGAACAGAGCTTCAGCGATACTATTAGCGAGGCAGGCAGTGGTTTACTTCTCACAGCGTATGTCCTCTCCTGCATTAGAATAATGAAGACTAGCTTACCCATGATTCCAGCGGCGTGGCATTAGGCATTCCCACAGTCTTTCAGCGAGGACTTCCAGAATCCAATTTGACACCTGAAGAGATGGCCCACAAGACCCTAAGCATCTCGCGAATTGTATCCGTCCTGCTCATCATTGCATACTGCGTTTTTGTCTTTTTTCAAGCCCGGACGCATCACGGTCTCTACCATGACATTTTCGAAATGGACGAAGAGCGTGACCGCGACGGTCACAAGGACGCCGCCAAGGACAAGCTCACCCTGATAGAATGTCTCATTGCGCTAAGCGTTGCCGTTGCTCTTGTTACTTTGATTGCAATCACCCTTGTCTTGCAAATCGAGCCCATCATTGAGCACTCAAGGGTGTCTGACGCTTTCATGGGTCTTATTCTGGTTCCTTTCGTCGAGAAATTCGCCGAGCATATCACCGCTATTGACGAGGCGTGGGACAACCAGATGAACTTTGCGCTGTCGCATGTCCTGGGCGCCACTCTTCAGACGGCCCTATTGAACGCACCCCTGGTCGTCGTCGTGGCTTGGGGCCGTGATAAGGCTCTGGATCTAGACTTTGGCATCTTTGACCTCGTCATGCTTATTCTCGCCATTCTAACTGTTGGTCGATTTTTGCAAGATCAGAAGAGCAACTATCTTGAAGGTTTTCTCTTGGTGGTTCTTTACGTGGCTATCGCCGTCTCTGCTTGGTACTATCCGAATCCAGCCCACGGAGGAGCCGAAGGGTCTGGCTCTGCAGAAGGTGTAGAAGCTGGCGAGAAATTCCGCCTTTTTTGATGTGGTCCACGTGTTTCTGCAGCTCAGCATGGCAACACTACTTAAACACTAGACTTTTGTGAAGGGGAATTTCGAGAAATTTTTTTTTAAGACTTACGAGACCATATATGGCGTTGGATGAGATAGTTACACGGCATACATAAGGGTTCAGATCTTGCGCTCAAGGGGCGTCCACTGGTTTCCTACTTACTGTTCGTATGCGCTTTTTTTTTTTTTTTTTGCTTTTTTTGATAAGAACGATATGAATTTACTAAAAATTGCACAACCAACTTCCAGCTGCGATGCTTTGGAATTTGAATTCGAGAACAGGCATGTGATGATGCCTTGACCTACCCTATAAAGTGATGGGATTTTGTAATCTTAAAAAGGAGCACTTACCAAGGTACTATATTGGGTAAGAATAATAGGCATTTATGTTGTGGTAGTATGTTTCTCTTTTAGACTCTTGTCTTATCGCTTTGCATAACGGATAACTCTGTAGCTGCCTAGGTATCATGTGCAGTAGAAGATCATGACGCCCCTGTGGTGCTACCTATCACCATCATATCAGGCTGTTGTTATTGATCGGATTGGCTCACATGTTGGAAATGAATGCCCGTTACCACTCTTGGTTTAGCGTGCAGCAATCGGGCTAAGCGAGATCTCGCAGCCACATTGTTCCGGCGCGCCAGTGCTAGCGCGTGGCTGACTCAGCGCTGCATCTGTTGAATTAAGCTCTCAATGATGATGGCATTATCGGCCAAATAGGAATTTCGCTGTATCAGAGTTCTTTAGCCATTTCGCATAGCTTAGCCTTGCGTCTATCTTGTGGCTGCAAACGTCCAAAAGGTTGAAAGTTCTGATTACTTGGCCCACTGCTTCGCGCTATAAACCCTCTTGTCCGACCTGTCTTCTCGGACGCACCGATGCTGCTGGATCGCCTTGCCCAACAACAGTGCCATATTTTAGGGCAGTACATCCCTTAGCAGCCCGGCGTCACGCTCGAATGTAGTACCTCGAATAGAATCGGCTGTCGCAATCCAGACTCAACGAGCGGGTTGCCATGGATCGTACGAGGAAGCGTATGTGCTGTGTTTGCGACCCTGCCGCCCACCACTTTATGGGCTAACAGTGAATGTTAGGAGAGCTTCGAGCTCTTAACGAAAAGGCCTGGGATGGCGACAAGGGTACGGTGAACGAACGGCTCCAATGCTTCGTTGTTCGTTGGCTAATATTTTGAACAAAGGCCTCATCATCATCAGCGGCTCACTTGACTCGTCTCTCAAGAAGAATACCGCCTTTATAAAAAGGCTTCGAACCGCGATTAGCGCTGCGACCCTCTCGACCTTTCTGCAAGAAATCCGAACTCTTAGCTTGCATAAGTATCTTTCCGAGATCATATCTGCATGCTATGAAGGGCTTTGTAGACTTAAAGCTCCAGGCGAGGTTGAGGCGGCGGTCGAAATTGTGAGCGCGCTCCATCAACGGTTCGGCCCTACCGAATTCACCGAATACCTTACCTGGCTGCTTGGCAAGGGCATGGCCACGCCAGACAAGGGCATTCTCAAAAGTTTGCCGGCAGAGGTGCGCGAGAAAGAGGAGAAAGAGCGCATCACCCGACAGCGTGCTCTTCTTAGGGTGATTACGGAACTCTGGCTTGTTGGCGTGCTGAGGACGCTCGATGATGCGAGCAAACCAGATGATGCTACCAAAGGCGCTACTGGCAAAGCTCCAGAGCTGAAGACTCGGAATAGCTCCAAAGTTGGCGGCTCTGCGGACCCGTTTCCCCTCGAAGTCTTGAAAGACTTGCTCGGTTATGATAGGGAGCACGCTAATTTGCCGCTGCTTGTCATCTTTGTCAAAGCATTTAGCTGGGACATTCTGGGGATCCGAACCACTACGCCTGAAAGCCGCAAGCCTGGAGATGATGATAGTTTGCCAGTCACGGACGATACAAAGGACCTTTCCGCCGAAGACCAGCCATTTACTTCTCCCGAACTAGCGGACAAGTTTAAAGAAATCTTGAAAAAGTACTTCGACGATGTTGCGAATCACATTGTCCGTGACCAAAAATCCATCCATCTCCAAGCACGGCGCAACGCGGAGGCCTATGTTAAGTCTGGAGAGGTCTTTGAAGATAGGCAAGCTAATTACGAGAAACAAGTGAAAGCTCAAGATAGGCTGGTTGCGAATGCCCAAGTAATAGCAGACGCAATTGGCGCGGAGATGCCCAACCTAAAAGACTCCAATGATCCTCTTGCAGCTTCAAACAACTCCATAGGCTTGGTCAAGACTGGCGACTACCTGCGATCTATGGCAGACGGCGCTGGCATTTGGGAAGATGAAGATGAACGCCGGTTCTACGAAAACTTAGTGGACCTCAAGGGAAAGATTCCGGCTATTCTTCTAGAAGATGGCAAAAAGAAGAAAACAGAGACCGAAGAACAGCCTGCCAAGAAGCCAGACTCTGCCGAAAGCTCAGAACCTATAAAGGCTGCGGAACCCATTGATGATCAATCAATGGCTATTGCCAATAAAACCATCGGAGCACAGGTAGATGCTATCTTGGCTCGTCTGCCAGACCTTACAAACAAAGAGATTATTGACCAGACGGCCATTGATTTCTGTTTTCTCAACTCCAAAGCGTCGCGCAACCGACTCGTCAAGGCTCTGACGGAGGTTCCCAAGGGGAGAAGCGATTTGCTGCCATCCTGGGCTCGTCTGGTTGCTACCTTGGGCAGATATATGCCAGACGTGCCCAAAGGTTTGGTCGATTATCTGGACGCGGAGTTTCGTAGTCTACAGCGACGCAAGGAAAAGGACTTTTTGGGCCAAGTCCGGTTGAGCAATATTCGGTATCTGGCCGAGCTCACAAAGTTTGGAGTAGTCCCCGAGCATGTGGTTTTCCACTGCCTCAAGGTTAGTCTTGATGACTTTTCTCGGATGAATATCGAGATTTTGTGCAATTTAATTGAGAATTGCGGCCGGTATCTCCTCAGGAACCCTGAAACTGCGCCGAGGATGGCAAGCTTTCTTGAGACGCTGCAGAGGAAGAAGTCTGTACAGCATATTGGCCAGCCAGAGCGGATGCTCATTGATAATGCGGTGTATCACGTTGATCCCCCAGAGCGACCTGCTATTGAGCAGAAAGAGCGAACTCCAATGGAGCTCTTTATCCGAAAGTTAATCTATGGAGACATGACTAAACGGAATTACAGCAAGATCTTGAAGCAGATTCGCAGACTCCATTGGGAGGAGGCAGAGGTAAGATTGTTGACCCCTATCCTACCTACATTCTTCTCCTCTCTGTCAACTGGCTGTATTTTATCCTCCCTTTGTTATTTGAACGTTGCTAATCTATTTTTCTTTTCAAATACAGGTTGTTGCCATTCTAGAAAAAGTATTTTCTAAGCCTGGAAAAGTGAAATATGGGAACATTCATCTTCTTGCCATACTATTGAGCGCCCTTTACCGGCATCATCCGCATTTTGTGGTTAAAATCATTGATAACGTTCTAGAGTCTATTAGTTTCGGACTAGAACAAAACGACTTTAGGTTTTCCCAGCGCCGCGTTGCTGAAGTCAAGTATCTCGGCGAGCTCTACAACTATCGCATGCTGGAACATCCAGTGATTTTTGACACCATGTACAAAATCGTCCTATTTGGATATAGTAAGTTAACTTTTGTTTTCCTTCTTGGTAAACCCTTGGCTTCTCCGCAAGTGAACTAACATATTTGCCAGACGGGCCACCTGTAACTGGCAAATACAATCCTTTTGACCTCGTGGACGACTATTTTCGGATCCGTCTTATATCTATCATGCTGGAAACCTGTGGGATGTTTTTCAATCGGGGTGCTGCAGGCAAAAAGCTTGACTACTTCTTATCATTCTTCCAGGTAAGGCAAGCCTATAATTTGACGAGTGAGAAGTAGCTAATCTAATGCGTTTCTACAAGTATTACGTCCACACGAAATATCCCCTGCCCCTGGATATCGAGTTTCTTGTGCTTGATACCTTTGCATTAACCCGACCCCAGTGGAAATTTGTAGAGGATATTGAGGAGGCGACTAAAGCTTTTCAGCTTGCCATCTCCCAAGACCAGAAGACTGCGGGTGTTGACAAGGTTATTGAAGCAGATGATGCTACAAGTGGCCCATCTTCCGAAGATGAAAATGGGGACATGGACGACGTGGAAGCGGATGGCGATGGCGATGATGAAAGCGCCTCCGAGGAGGAAGAAGAAGCAGAGGTGAGATACCACCCCCGCAGTTTCACATGAAGAACAAGCGCCATATGATCAGTTTACTAACAGCATCCTTGTCAGGATGGTGATAATGGCTCAACTCACGAAAGCGAGTATGACGAGGCGATAATTGTCACCAGACAAGAGGAAGTTGTAGATCCCGAAGACGAGGCCGAATTTGAGCGAGAGTATGCGAAAATGATGGCGGAAAGCCTCGAGTCCCGCAAGTTCGAGCGCAAACAATTATTCGATGTGCCACTTCCTGTGCGGTCTAGAAATCGCGAGCCATCGATGTCTACTGGCTCTGGAGAGACGGGACAGAGCGGCACTATGGCCTTTTCCCTGATGACCAAGAGAGGCAATCGACAACAGGTATGTTCATTCATCCGCCTTGATCATCTTTCATATCGCCTATGCTAACCTGTACACAAGACTCGCACCGTTGAACTCCCTTCGGACTCGACGTTTGCAATTGCTATGAAGACACAGCAACAGGCAGAAAGAGAGGAGCAGCAACGAATAAAGAACCTTGTGCTTAATTATGATCTTCAACAAAGCGATGATCAAGAGGGTAAGTGCATCTATCTTGCGCCCTGCATTTATTTCGACATGGACTCATTTGAATTAGGTAACGAGCGGCCAACAACGTTCTATCATAACCGGGTAGAGAAACCGAATAAAGACCGAGGCCAACGCGTTCGGAAGCTTCAGCTGAGCGATGTGGACTGGTAGAGTATTACAATGACAGCCAGTCACGATGGCGACGTACGATACAGCTACTCTGCGCTGTGAAGTTGGGCGTCAAGCGGTAATAAAACTTGAGCCTCATCGGGGCATACCTAACCTTGTTGTGCCCCGCCACTTTCGGAAAGGAAATGAGGAAATAGCGATTGTGCTATATGCAGGTTGATACACAGATTACTACTAGCGAAGGGAGTTGGGATATGAGACCGAGAGGAAGATGAAGACATGGCTCATCTCCGCCATACTCATGCCGCCTAGTAAGAAAGCTAAGAGATCATTCAACTGATACTGCAGCATCTGCCTAGCCGCATTTCATGACACAATTTGAGAGTTACTAGCCAAAGGTGTTATTGGCCAAAGGTGCTCTCTTTGTTCGGGTATTCGACCATGGTGGCAGAGAGCGCAGATGATAATAGCAGGGCTCATAATGGGTTGCTATTGTTAGGGGTAAGCTCGTGCCATGCTGGATGGGTGTGATGGAGAGCAGTGACCTCTCAGACTGACTGCAAAGCATGGGTTTTTCTGATTGAGGACTTCTCGCGGGCTTCACCGGCGTTACTGAACCCCGCAACAGAAGGGAGGGGAGCGCGAGGGAGGATGCAAGGGACCTGAACTGCGAACCGTTGTATGAGGGTGTCGCCGCCACTCTTATATTTACCACCTACTACAGCTACCTACCTAGTACTACTAGCACTACGTACCAGTACCAGTATCTTGTTATCCATGTGCCCAGGCGAGGCTAAACAGAACCTGCATCAACTAGAGTGAAGGAGTTCACAGGGCATACCTTGAGCCTCCGCTTTGGTGGGCTTGCGGCGATTTATTCCCTGCCGCCAAGCGGGCACCAGGTACCTGGGTATGTATGCATGTATGTATTCAATAATACCTAGTAGTACGGATGCACGTATCAGAGTGGTTTTCGAAAGCTCACTGGCGAAGATGCAAGCAATGGACTCATGCTGGCTCTCGTATCTGAAGTGGCCGTTGCTATTTTAAGAGTCCAAGCGTTGCATGCTAAACTGCTCCTAGAAGGTCGAAAGCAGCACCAACAAAGCAGTGTGTAGCCGTGTGTAGGTATGTACCTACTTGGGTACCATGCAGGTAGGTACGTGCAGTGTGCCGTCTGAGTTGTTGTTTTGGACCTGAATAGCACGATTGAAATTTCTGTTCTTCTTTAAACCCTCATCTTCACTTCCATTCTCCCTCTTCTCCCACATTTTCTGTCCCTCCCACAGGATACTGCCTCAATTAGGCCGTGGTTCCATATTGGGCTGTGATGACGCCTGCAGCTGCCCATCGACCTATTCCTGGCCTGGGTCTTACTTGTTCCAACTCTAGGCACGAGTGAACTGAACACCTCCCTACAACCAAATCCAGCAGGTGGTGGCGCTCATCACTTGCCGCTCCTCTCAGCGATTGATACTTTTCTTTCTTTCTTTCTTTTTTTGCCTCTGCTTCATTCAGCCTGCGGTAACTTTTGCTACGCTTCACTCTCGCCTTTGCCCCAGCTTCTGTTTCTCGCTTCTCAGTCGCTTGGTTGTGAAAGATTGGGCGTTCTCGTATACACCAGGGACGGTGGTGCGCTGCAGGCCGGCATTTGCCGCAATCCCGCTGCGCTGCGTTGCGTCTTTGGGCTACCTGCTGCTGTCTCACTGCCGGCTTGCCACTGAGTGTCACGACGACTGCGAAACCTGAGTGAAATCCTGACTGGTGTTGGCATGCAAACATAATCCCATGGCACATCCGTGAGCTATCCCTCTGTTTGACCTCGTTTTGCTCTGTCTTGGAACAAGATAGCTGTGTGGATACGTGCGTGCATCTACGCCTATGGTTTCCGGGCATCAGAGGAGTAGCAGCTGGCTGGCACGTTTCACATTTGCTGTTCGCCTGGACTTGTATGGTTGAAGTGCTCGTGTTCTTATCACCGAATACCTTGCAGCGGCCCATTTTGGCTTTTGCTTGCGGTAGCGAAGCAAGATGGCGGTCGGTTCGACTGGGTCAGAATGGCCTGTCAAAGATGTAAGTGGACGTGTGTTAGTTGATGGCGCCCATTGATATCCGCGGCAATTGGTAAAAGGCTAATGAGAGACTGATTTAATTATGAGTAGATCGTCTACACCGCCATCATTGGCGTAGTGATGATAATGGCGCTGCTGGAGTGGTTTCTCTGGCTGGCAGCATTCGTCTACTGCTTATACAAAGCCTTTCGGAAGGCTGAACATTGGTCCATCAACGTACTCTGCGTCGTTGTTGGCATAGCATTTGTAGCATTCAGGTTGGTTTGCCCCTTGGTACAATCATTCATGTACAAACCGAGAGCCGCTGACACTTATTTCCATTCAGATGCATCTTTCTCCCGATTATGATAGTGACTCTGCCGTTACCAAGCCAAGTTTCCAAATACTGGCCAGAATCCGTCGTCTCAGTTCTCCAATGGTTTGCATTCTGGAGCTTTTCCATTCTACTTACGGTGCCTTGGCTGTTTTGCGTCTACCAACTTGTCACCAAACAGCTTGGGCGTACAAAGCGTATCAAGCAAGTACTTGATGACGTTACCGCCCCAAAAGTTGTGATTGTGATGCCATGCTACAAGGAAGAGCCTGATGTGCTTATCACAGCTATTAACTCTGTTGTTGACTGCGACTATCCCGCTGCCTGTATCCACGTGTTTCTCTCCTTTGACGGAGATCAAGAAGATGAGCTTTATCTGAACACGATAGAAAAACTGGGAGTACCTTTAACCATGGAATCATACCCGAAAAGCATCGATGTCCAATACAAAGAGGCACGCATTACCATTTCTCGGTTTCCGCATGGTGGCAAAAGACACTGTCAGAAATCGACATTTAAACTCATCGATAGAGTATATGAACATTACCTCAAGATGAATGACAACCTATTCATCTTATTTATCGATTCAGACTGCATACTAGACAAAGTCTGTCTACAGAACTTTGTTTATGACATGGAGCTCAGCCCCGGCAATTCTAGAAACATGCTGGCCATGACTGGCGTCATTACATCGACGACGAAAAAACACAGCATCATTACGCTGCTTCAAGATATTGAATATATTCATGGCCAGCTTTTCGAGCGCACGGTAGAGTCAGGCTGCGGATCCGTGACTTGCCTTCCCGGTGCCCTGACCATGCTTCGCTTCTCCGCGTTTAGGAAGATGGCCAAGTATTATTTTACAGACAAAGCTGAGCAGTGCGAAGACCTGTTTGACTTTGCAAAATGCCACTTGGGAGAGGATCGCTGGCTCACCCACCTCTTCATGATTGGCGCCAAAGAACGGTACCAGATACAGATGTGCACGTCGGCGTTTTGTAAAACGGAAGCCGTACAGACCTACCGCTCCCTTATTAAGCAGCGGAGGCGATGGTTTTTGGGCTTCATCACCAACGAAGTATGCATGCTGACGGATTGGCGTCTATGGAAACGGTACCCTCTCTTGGTAATTGTCCGCTTCATGCAAAATACCATCCGCACGACGGCGCTTCTCTTTTTCATCATGGTGCTTGCACTGATATCAACCGTTGCAAAAGTCAAAGATTTGCCTGTGGGATTCATCGGCGTCTCCCTTGGTCTAAACTGGCTCTTGATGCTCTATTTTGGCGCGAAGCTTCGACGTTTCAAAATATGGCTCTATCCACTCATGTTTGTCTTGAACCCTTTCTTCAACTGGTATTACATGGTATATGGCATATTCACTGCTGGGCAAAGGACCTGGGGAGGACCGAGAGCTGATGCTGCCGTTGCCGACGGCAATACAACCGCACGAGAGGCAGCCGAAAAGGCTGAGAAGCAAGGGGACGAACTCAATGTGGTTCCAGAGACATTTCTGCCCGCTCTCGAGGCAAGAAGGGCAGCAAGCACAAAGGGTCGTCCCAACACTCGGCTTGAGCATAAGAGAAGCGTGGTTAGGCCTCCTGATGGCATCGACGGCATGTTCTCTGCTAGACAGAAGACACCAGCCGGACTCTATACACACCTCGACGAATCAGATATTGGTCTTGGAACACCGATTGCATTGTCCACTAACCCTTCTTACTCATGGGACGCACTGCAAAGAAGCTCTCTCGAAGGCTTCGAGCTCAACGGAACTGGAACCGTTACAATGGACCAGTTTATGGGAGAGGAAGACAGGAGAAAGTATGCCATAGCCCAGCGGGCACAGTTCCAACGAAGCACCAGGGCTGATGCCGGATCAGACAAGGAATCTCCGGATGTTGAGCTCATTGATTTATCGTCAGACTCGTAAGATGGTGGCGCTGCCTGGCCATGCGACCTGCTTACAAGCTGGCATCTGCATCTCTCACAAATACAGATGTTTGTAATGACGAGAATGTTTCAAGAGGGGGATTAAGGCAATATGGTTTTCGATATCGTCAACATCGTGGTATATTGCTTATTGATTAGACATTATGTTACTGCAGATACGTTTATACATGTAGAATAAGTGTTTATCTTTTTAATACGAGAAAGATTTGGAGGGGCATTCTAGTGATGACTTTCCAATTGGTCAAGTATTATCTTGGGGATATGAGAACTCCGCCATGAGTACGTACCCTATGTAGGTTCAGATAGGGTTGGGCTATTTCTATTATTGAGAGAGTCATGTACAAACATGAAGAGCTGCTTAGTGTTCACGTCATTATGAATGTTGTATTTTACGCTCTGTGCGCGTTGTCAAGCTGAACACTGGTTTGAATGCTACTAGTACTAGTAGGCATGGCGGGGCAATTCAAGGAGGGGCACTACAGCAAATTGGCGGGGTAGTTTTTATGGCTTGGTTATCGTGGCTGCGTCGACGAAGAAACACGTTGCGCTGCAAGCCACTGACCTAAATAGTATGTGTACGTGCAAAAGGGAATATTCATAATTGTCCAATCACGCTTGTCTCACGAGATATCCAGAGAAGCGATAGGACAAAGCAAAACCCAATGAATTTAAAGACAGAGAAAGAAGGCAAGAAAGAAAGAAAAAAGGAAAGAAAGAGAGTCAAGACAATTACCAAGAGGAAAACGAGCAAGTGCCTACATGTAGATATAATGATACCTGTAATGATATGATAATGGTAATACAACTACTGGTAATGGCGTAGGCTTGGCTGGCACCTTGCACTCCCTGCAGAGTGTGTCTTGCCGCAGCTTGGCTGTTCTATTGGCCATCTGGTTAGGTGCCAAACAACAGCCCTGGAAAGCCAGAGGCCCTGCTTGCCTCCTTGGCTCGCCGGTTAGGCTCCCAGGCGCTCAGCTTTCTCGTGGAGTCTGGAAAATTCTGCAACCTTCCATGGGGTACCTCTGTCGGTGGCGGCGGGGCAGCTGCTGCGAGTACCCTTTGGCCTGCCGCTCGCCGGCACAGGTACTCGCCGCAGCAGCGTCCAGCGCCAATGACAGGTACCCCGACGGGCACTTTCCAGCAGGCTGCGGCACGTACTGAATTTTTTCTTCAGGTTCGCATTAGTACCTGATCTCACCGCCCACCACCCGCAAGAGCCAGGCCTCCAGGACTATTTGGCATCCCACTTTGTATCGCAACCGCCACTTATCTGAACGGCCCCTCTACTCAGATCTTTTTTTTTCCCCCTTCCTTTTCCCTCTTCCTATTATTTATTGTCTTCACTTTATCCTCGCCCCTCACCCGCCAGGCTTGATCGATTATATCCTGCCTTTACGCCTCTACGCCCTTTGAGCAACGAACTTTTTTTTTTTCTTTTCCCCCAGCTCGGGTCCCTCAGTCGACCACGCAAGCGCGCCTGTATACCTATCGACACTCTTCAAGGACAGGGATCAATAGCAAAACACCAAAGAGACATCATGACTTCCGTCGTCGGTATGTTCCCCGCAGCCGCACGTTCATTCTTATGCTTATTTCTATACTGCGTCCCTCTTTGCTACAGATTGGAAAAAGAATCGCTTTCATGCTGACCAACTCCTCCCTGCGTCGCAGGTGTCGATTTCGGAACCCTCAAGACGGTGATTGCCGTCGCGAGAAATCGCGGCGTCGATGTGGTAAGTGAATGTCATGGACCGACCATACTCGTCTGTACTCGCCAGAGCTGGACTATCGCTGACAACAAATCTTCATCACTTCTAGATCACCAATGAAGTATCCAACCGAGCAACCCCGTACGTCCTACCCAATAGCCTTATCAGCGATATTTCTCCCTCTCCACCTCCAATCACATGTAAACGCTATTGCTAACTAGAGTGCTGCAATACAGATCTTTGGTAGGCTTCGGCCCCAAGTCACGCTACCTCGGTGAGGCTGCCAAGACTCAGGAGATTTCCAACTTGAAAAACACCGTCAACTGCCTCAAGCGTCTTGCCGGCCGCTCCTTCAGCGACCCCGATATCCAGATCGAGCAGCAATATGTTACCGCACCCCTTGTCGACGTCAACGGACAGGTCGGCGCTGAGGTCAACTATCTCGGCAACAGCGAGAAGTTCACCGCAACACAGCTTGTTGCCATGTACTTGAGCAAGATCAAGCAGACTACCGCCAGCGAGATGAAGCTTCCCGTTAGCGACATCTGCCTGAGCGTCCCCGCTTGGTTCACAGACTCTCAGCGTAGAGCGCTGCTGGATGCTGCCGAGATTGCTGGCCTCAAGGTTCTCCGACTCATGAACGACACTACCGCCGCTGCTCTTGGCTGGGGTATCACCAAGCTGGATCTCCCTGCTGCGGAAGAGGCACCTCGACGGGTGTGCTTCGTTGACATTGGTCACAGCAACTACACCTGCTCCATTGTTGAGTTCAAGAAGGGTGAGCTGGCCGTCAAGGCTACTACCTGGGACCACAACTTTGGTGGCCGAGACTTCGACAAGGCTCTTGTAGACCACTTAGCCAAGGAGTTCAAGGGCAAGTACAAGGTTGACATCTATACCCATGGCAGGGCTATGGCTCGTACCATTGCTGCCGCTGAGAAGACCAAGAAGATTCTCTCTGCTAACCAGCAGGCTCCCGTCAACATTGAGTCCTTAATGAACGACGTGGATGCCTCAGCCATGGTCACTCGACAAGAGTTTGAGGCCATGGTTGAGCCCCTGCTCGCCCGTATCCACGTGCCCCTTGAGCAGGCTCTTGCCCAGGCCAAGCTCACCAAGGATGACATTGATGTTATCGAGATTGTCGGTGGTGGTTCCCGAGTGCCCGCGCTCAAGGACCGCATCCAGGCATTCTTCGAGAAGCCTCTGTCCTACACCATGAACGCCGATGAGGCTATTGCTCGAGGCTGTGCTTTCAGCTGTGCCATCTTGTCTCCTGCCTTCCGAGTTCGTGACTTCACCGTTCAAGATATCATCAGCTACCCTATCGAGTTCGGCTGGGAGAAGGCCCCTGACATCCCCGATGAGGACACTAGCTTGACTGTGTTCAACAAAGGTGGAGTTCTGCCTTCGACCAAGATCCTCACATTCTACCGAAAACAGCCGTTTGACCTGGAAGCCCGCTATGCAAACACTGAAGATCTTCCTGGAAAGACGAACCCTTGGATCGGCCGCTTTTCTGTGAAAGGCGTTAAGGCTGATGGCAAGGAAGACTTCATGATTTGCAAGCTCAAGGCCCGAGTCAACATTCACGGCGTGTTGAATGTGGAGAACGGTTACTACGTCGAGGACCAGGAAGTCGAAGAAGAGGTCAAGGACGATGACAAGAAGGAGGATGGCGACAAGAAGGATGCCGATGTAAGTATTCCAAAGAAAAAAAAATGTTGCGCGAGGGAGTAACAGACTTTACTAACGTACCGTAACAGGCTATGGATACCGACGGAAAGACTCGCAAGGTGAAGAAGCAGGTTCGAAAGGGTGACTTGCCTATCGCCAGTGGCACTTCATCGCTTGATGCCAGCTCAAAGACTGCATTGACCGAGAAGGAATCCGCCATGGTTATGGAGGATAAGCTGGTTGCCGATACAGAAGAGAAGAAGAACGAGCTTGAGGCCTTTATCTACGATCTCCGAGCCAAGCTTGATGAGCAGTACGCCGAGCATGGCAGCGAAGAGGAGAAGTCTGAGATCAAAGTCAAGCTTGAGTCAACAGAGGTATGCTATGGGCACTTACTCCACGCTTACATTTTTCGTGAATGGATCAGCTAACGTTAGCTATAGGACTGGCTTTACGACGAAGGCGATGATGCTTCAAAGGGCGTCTACGTCTCCAAGATTGAGGAGATCCGTGCTCTCGCTCTGCCCATCATTAACAGATACCAGGAGAAAGTCGAGGCTGAGCGCCGTGCCGTCCAGGAGCGAGTCGACGCCGAGCAAGCTGCCAAAAGAGCCGCTGAGGAAGAGGCTCGCAAGGCTGCTGAGGCCGAGAAGGCAGCCCAGAGCGGATCCGACCAGGAAATGAAGGATGCTGATGTTCCCCAGACCGAATCTGAGGAGACTGGCGACCCTAAATAAACGCCACGAAGAAAGATAAAATTGGCGAGAGATGAAAACAAAACAGAGAAAAGAGGTATACAGCATAGAAAAAGTTGACCTTCGTCAAAGACACACGAAGGGAGGTATTATCATGAAGAGGAAAACCTGTCCTACGCATTCTAGATCCATTTTATATCATGCCCCAAGTAGCTACGATTTTTCATAAATTTGAAGGAAATTATTCTAGACTTTTGGTCTATTGACCGTTGAATGCCGTTAAAAATCGACAGTAATAGGTAACTCGTCCATGCTTGTAACGATGATATTTTATTGAAATGTTATCCATTTTCCATTCTCCCTTTTCGACTCTCAGCTCTTCGCCTGGCTGAATTTGATGCATGCCCTATCCTCTAGCCTTTCTCATTCTTTTTCTTTTTCAACTGATACGATTTGATTCCTAATGAAAGGCTTGAGAATCGTTTCAAAGTCTATCTCTTGTTCTTATGCCACGTAACAGTGTGTTTTACAGACTTGCTTTTCCTTTTCTCCCGTACTGCTTCTAGCCACTACATTCTTCTACTCGATACACGGTTGCCATTTCCCCTGGCAATTGTTAGCCGGAACCTCACCATGGGCTCTCCCAGACCAGGCCCTCCTTTTTTCGCTACCGAATATGCATGTGAGGCAAGAGAAGCCAAGAGACACAAATTGAAACGTCTTCCAAAATTCTTAGCAAAAAAATAGGAAAAAAAGAAGAAGAAGAAAGAAGGAGAGATATAAGAGGTCAGAATGCTTTTATATATAGTACGAGTAAAAAAAATAAGAGGGATAAGATATATCAAGAATAGAGTCGGCCAAGCGGTCATATGTAGGGAGTCGAGTGGCCGAAATGACTGACTGGTTAGTCACAACAAGAAGCAGCAGTTGTTTTTTTTTCTTCCTGTTCTTTTCCAATCAACTACTTCAAATGTCAAACAGGGGCTTCAGTTTAATAATCAGCTGCCATTCTTCGTTGGTCACGTCTTTACGGTAGAACTCCTTCAGAGTGTCAATACTGGCTCGAGAAATTTGGCTGTAGAGCAGATCGGCCTCTTCCAGGTGTCGTCCGTATATGGGCTGGTGACCTCCCATCTCGATCTTGATGGCGACAGAGGGCTGGCCCTTTTTGCAGACCGGAATTTGCTTGTGGTCTCGCTCAATCGAGGTGCTAAAAGTATATCGAATCAGTATACAAGCTCAGAAGAAGTATTGAGTGGGTGAAGTGAATACTAAAAAGCAAGATGGAAAGATGGAAACTTACACTCTACCAAGGCCAATAATCTCCTTGGCGTTCGTCACTGAGTTGGTCTTTACAGCTGCAATTGGCGTATTGATTTTGAGCTGACCTTCCGTCACGTCAACTCCAATGACGATGGGGCCTGTCTTGTTGAAGATAGCAACCGGCTTCAAGACGCAAGGGAAGACAGCCAACATCTTTGACTCTTCCTTCTTCTTCTCCAACATCTCATCCATATGCTTGGTAAAGTTATCAAACAGATGATAAATGATGTCAGCTTGGAAAATCTTGATACCTTGGTCTTCAGCATATGCCATAGCTTCTTTATCGACCTTGACATCGAAACAAAGCATCACAGCATAGTCGGGTGCCTTTTCCAGCATAATACCACATTGCATGACGTCACGCTTGTAAACTGGGCCGATACCAACATTGGCCACGGGAATCTTGCAGTCTTTCAAGAAATCGAGCAAAGCTTCCAGTGAACCAAGGGTGGAAGCCTGCACGCTGACTCCACGACCAGAGGTTTCGACTCGGCTGAGAAGGTTGGCCAGATCCGACTCGACCTCGTCGCAGATATCCTCTTCATCATCGTCCGGTCCAACCACCATTAGTCTAGAACCCGCAATGGCGCCTTCAAGACCAGGGGCGCTGATCTTGACACCCAAAGCAGCCTTGACCTCCTTGTTGTGGACGTACGCTGACTTGAGACGCAGCTCGCGCAGCGGCGCCGGAGTGAGCAGAGCTCTGATATTTGTCACAATCGCTCCTTCAGTGCCACACAAGACTATTCGATCACCCTCTCTCAAGATTCCGTTGGACAGAATGACGTCAATAGTCATACCAAAACCCTCAATAGCCTTGACTTCCAGCACTGTTGCTTGGACCTCGGACAGATACATGAGCGAGCCGACCATACGCTCCTGGGTGAGCTGGAGGATGAGTTTCAACATATCGGGAATACCTTCTCCAGTGTGTGCTGATGTGGGCACAAGCGAGACGAATTTCGCCATAGACTTATTCTGGTAAAAGAGCTCTGAGTTGAAACCTTGCTCTGCAAAGGCCAGCTTAGTGGCCTCCAAGCGGTTCTTGAATTCGTTTTGAACCGCCTTGCTCTGAAGCGCCAGACTGTCTTGGAAGCCATTGTTGTCCACCTTCTTCCATCCGTAAAGTCTGTCAATCTTGTTGAGAGCCACGATAAATGGCGTTTTTCTGTCGCGGAGCAGGCGCATTGACTCTAGAGTCTGTGGTTCAAGACCATGCATAATATCCACAACCAGAATAGCAATGTTACACAATGATGAACCACGGGATCGGAGGTTGGAGAAAGACTCGTGGCCAGGGGTATCAATGACCAAGAGACCGGGGACCTTGAACTCAAACTCATTGTTCTTGTTAACGACGGCCGTCTTCGCCTTGATGGCCTCAACCGGGAAGTATGTAGCACCAATCTGCTGGGTAATACCTCCAGCTTCGCCCTCTTGAACGTTGGTCTGTCGAATCTTGTCAAGAAGCTTCGTCTTTCCAGTATCGACGTGTCCCAGGATACAGCAGATGGGAGAGCGCAAATCGTCCTTGGATCGAGCAGCCAAGGCGGCTTGGTGGGCCTTTTCTCTCCGCTCCGCAGCTTCCTTCTTGCGCTGAGCTTCGGCTTGCTTAGCCTTTGATACAGCTTCGTCTTCAGACTCGCTCTCGTCGCTCTCGTCGCTTTCATCCTCCTCCTCCCCTTCCTCGTCCTCGCCCTTTTTGGCGGCTGATTTCTTCTCGGCTTCTTCGTCGGAATCGGCATCCCAGCTGTCTTTGACGTCGTCCTCTTCTCCGCTATTTGCAGCGGCTTCCCAGTCATCTTCAATATCGCTCTCTTGAGCGGCCTTTGCAGCCTGAGCTTTGGCCTCAGCCTCGGCCTTTTCCTTTGCGGCCTTCTCCTCTGCTTCTTTCGCGGCCTTCTCGGCCTGAAGTCGTGCTCGTTCCGCAGCCTCAGCTAGAGCAGCCTCTTCATCTTTCTAAAAGGGAGGTAAAAAACAACATTAGTAAGACCCATTGATGAAAAAGGAAAGTAAATGGAGGGGACTGGTGCACTCATTACCTTATCGTTCTTTCCTCTCTTCTTCTTGCTATCATATACCGCCTTCTTCTTAGGTACGCCCTCTTCCTCCTGAGGCCCAATCTTGATACCAGCTGCAAGCATCTGCTGGAGCTTCAACTCATTTCGAGCCTTCTCTTCTTTCTGTGCCTTGGTGAGGAACTTGCCCTCCTTCTTCAGCTGCTCAATACGCTCCTTCTCACGCTGCTTCTTGATAGCCTTCTGCTCTTCCTTACGCTTGGCTTCTTCAGCCAATAGCTTTTCTTCCTCCAGAGCCTTGGCCTTGGCTTCAGCATCCATGCGGGCAATCTCCTCCTGTCTACGACGAAGCTCTTCTTGTTGCTTCTGTATCATAGCCAGATGCGCCGGAATCTTCTTCTTCTTGCCTCCTGTCTCAGCGGGAGCAGGGGTGGCAGCCTCTTCAGTGGCGGCTTCATCTTTAGTAGGAGCTGCCTTTGCGGGCTCCGGGGCTTTCGCAGTAGTCGGCTTCTTCTTCGCAGCCGCCTGGATATGTCCACATTAGAAACCGGTATGCCTAGAAGGACCAATGCGATGGGAGAATTCAAACCTGTTCCTTCTTACGCTGCTTCTCGCGTTCCTTCTTCAGCTTTTCCTTCTCAGCCTTGGTGAGGATCCTGCCGGGCTCTTCAAGGTCGGCATCATCTTTCTTAGCCGCTGCTGGGGCAGGCTTGCCCTTGCCACCCTTGCCCTTCTTTTGCGGTAGGGCGAACTCGTCATCGTCTAGAGATGCTTCGACGGGCGCTTTGGCAGACAGATCCTCTTCCACCGCTGGTTCTGGGGCAGGCTCCTCGTCCACAATGCCCTTCTTCTTGCGCTTCTCCTTGTTCTTGCGCATGATGGCCATCAGGCCGCCACCGCCAGCCTCATCGTCCTCGCCATTCTCATCGTCGGCCGCGGGCGCTGCATCGGCCGGGGCGATGGTTTCGCCCAATTCAGCCTCCCAGTCGTCCTGGTCCTTCTTGTTACCCTTCTTCTTCGGCGCCATCTTGGTGTAGGTATTCCTGATGATATTTGATGGAGGGGCGAATTGGTGATGTTATCGACCACAAAAAAAAAAGAGGAGGGGTAGCGAAAATCTAGTAATTCAGATTCAGCCCCGCAATGTTGAAGAGAAGAGAAAAATAGGCGACGATCGTTCTCCCAACGACGGAATGGAGGACAACGCAGAGAAGAAAAACCAACTACGAAAAAAAAAAAAAGGTCCGGAGATAATACCTGAGCTTGTCCCGCACTAAAGGCCTATTAATTGTTTGTGGTGGTTGTACCAAGAGCGTGTGTTATGGAGCCGGTGGGTTGGCCACTAGGCTTTGTCTTGCGGGGCAGATGACTTTTCGTTTACTTAAGGTAGCCAGCTTTAGACTCTGCTGCCGAGCCCAGTACCAGCAAATGCTTGACAGGTTGAAAAATGCCATCCATTGGCTTGTTGGAAGATGATTTAGGGTTGAGTTATAGTGCTTGACGTGGTAAAATGCCTGAAATGCGACACTTGAACACGTGCTTTATTTCGTTGTTGGCGGACTACAGGAAACAATTACTGCTCGCATGTATTGCCTCTGCTGTCTTTACACTTCGCCCTACTTTTGTATATTGCGCGTCTGTATCTACGTCGAATCTTTATTGCTTGGTCTTTATACCCGTGTCTCTTAGTCTTTCTTACTCTCAACAGGTATGGAAAGGCAACTGTTCAATGCGCAGACTCATAACCATAGAATTCGTTCATCTCCGATGAAAACGGTAAATGCCCTATGCCTGGTACTTTGCCATTACAGCGCCGGCGCTATAAGAAACTCGAGGATCTGGTAGGCGAGCGCGAAATATTTTCCTCGCCGATTCAATTCACCTTCGTCTTTGAATCCTGTAGTGAGGCTCCCTCCTTCCAGCGCATCGAGGTGGTGGCTAAACAAGGTGAAGGCGTCATCAGATGCCATAGTCTTTTCCAACGCACGTAGCTTTACGCAGCGCTTTAGCAAATCTCCGTCGATGTGCATGATCCTGGGGCTTGGCTGCAAATCTAAGCTCATAATGTCCACTTTGTCATTTATGGCAGACTTGTCGAACAAAGCCATGCCGTAGTTTTTATGTGCCAATGTCTGAACCAGGAATAAGAATCGCCACAACTCAAGGCCAAGCAGCGAAAACTGCTTCATAGAACCGTCCAAAGAAACGCCAAGAAGATCCGAACCATCATGCGTAGTCGGTAATGTTCCGTAACGCCGCTGAGTATTATCCACAAGCCATAACGGCCGGCTGCGCGCTCGTATGAATCTCCTCACTGAAGACGTCAGCATGGCTTCGAATACAACTTCAAACTCTCGATCTCGCTGCCCCAGAGGCACCCAGAGGCCTGTTATGGAGCCAGCTTGGTCCGATACAAGAGTTAATGGCCATTGGCCATAGCCATCGGCCGGATTGCCCACATCTACCATATGCATTGTTTTTCTAGAGACTTGGTCGCAGTGTATGAGTTCCATAGTGCCTTCGTCTGACTGGTAGTCTATAACTTCCAACGAATGCGAGGCTGTGAGAGCAAAAAGCTTGCCCTTGAATATGCGTAGCTGAGTCGCCGAGGAATCCAATTGAAACTGCTTCACAGGTTTCAACTTCTTTTCTGCCAGATCGAGGATCTCCCAGTGAAGTGTCTGGTCAACACAGTACAGCAATCCTTCCTCATTCCCCACTATTGAGTATATCGAGCCTTGAAGCGATTTCTTGTATCGTGTCCAATACCTCAGTTGTCTGTTCTCTCCTTCACGCGAGCGAGTATCCAGCTTTTCTGTGGAGACAATTATGAGTTTTCCACGATGTGTTGTCACGATGATAAAAGGGAACACTTTGCCATCCTTTTTATAAAGCCATTCGTGAAGCCCATGTATTTTGTCACCGGAGTGGCCCAGACCAGAGATGTACTCAGTACGATTCTTATCTTTATCAGTGGGGACAGAGATGATTGCCCCGGTCTCCGGCTCAATAAATACCAGGGTAGGCTTATTGTCAGTAATCATGGCAACTACCAGGCAACTCAGCATCTGTGAGAATATAATCCTTGTTGGAGTGCCTTGGATGGGAATAGACCGGGGCACATTTCCAACTCGAGGGCCAAAGTCAGCCAAGAGTAGTCTTGAGCCTGCGAGTATCAACAAAGACGTATGCCCGTTTTGCCCAGATAGACTTTGAGAGATTCTGTGAATTGAGTGGATTGGGGGCGATGGCATTGATGGCTCGTTCGAATCTGTTAGCCAAATGAATTGCTTTTTGGTAAATTTACAATTCCTTTGGGAAAATTCGCCGAGGAGGAGTAATCTATTATCGCAACAAGCAAATGTGGGCGACTCTTCTTCGAAAGGAATCGAAGAGGGGAACACGTCGACTCGTGCTACCCCGATAACCTCGGTATTCCAACTTATATCGTCCGGAGCATGGTCAGATATTCGAGCGGTAATGAGACTACCGCAGCGAGTACCTAAGACAAGATGAATCTCGTCAGTGCCCTGTTCTGCGACGGAGATGCTCGTCAGAGCTTCGAGCTCGGTACTAGTAGTCCCTTTGTCCACTAGTATGTGTCAGTCGTGGCTCGGCAGAGTGAATCGCAATCGAATACTCAAAATAATACAAGAGATAAATGACAGACATACCAGGATTAGCTGTAATCGCTCTTGCAACAATAGGCTCTCCAGTCGTTGAATAGATAGATAGCCATGGCACTCCATCGCACATAGATGTAGCCGCGACGAAGGTGCCGCTCGAGACTGTAAATATTGATACGCAAGTTACTTCGCCCTGGGCATCCCAGCTGCTTATCAAGCTGAATTCAATTTCCTGGGCTCTCATAACATGAAGGCGAGAAACTTGATTGGTGTGCGTGGAGAATACAACAATATGGCCGATGCAAAAAGCACTCTCCGCTGTTACATTAGCTATACCCAGGGCTTCCGCAATCAAGCACCGTGAACTAATTGGATAATCAGTATTGTGATGCCAAAGTAAAGTTAAGAGGGCCGAAATAGCCCGATAGGACGTCGTACCTTCCTCTAGGAGTAGCCACATTGATGGAAGTTTCGGAGACCTGAACGATAGTATCTGACACTTGAACAGCGTGAAGAGTTCTTGATGTTAGATCAAACGGTGTATCTTCTGTTGGAACCATGTCAACTTGGTCGAGGCTTTCTGAGAACCGGAGAACAGTTGATGAATGCGGCAGCGCCAAAAGGCCATACAACACTGTTTCGCTGCCGTGGTGTGTTGTAAATGTCCATGCCTGCCTAATGGGCTCACCGGTTTCAATGTCCAGCCCAATTCTAGCTTGTATTCCCCATCTCCATTGCACCACGCTACCTTTTAGGCCACGGCAAGAAGCACTGAATATGCTGTCCTGTTTGCGTACCCTATTCTGCTGCACGGTTGTCGGCTGGTGTTGACCTATTTGGAGATCCGTATTGTTTGCACTCCATGTCGGAAATTCATTCGTAGTTGTCATATCAATGACAGGAGACCAGTTGGAGAGGATGCTAACCTGCTGGATGTCCTCACGGGGGGCGAGCTAAAGACAAGAAAAAAAGGGGGGGGCATCGTTAAACATGGTTCACAGTACAGGGGCTATTGTTTGACGGATGCTTACCTTCCAAATGCCTCCCGGGCCAGAATCTCCGCCAATCATGAGAACGTCGGCAAAGATGTCATAAGCTGAAGTGAATGCCGTATCGATGTTGGCCTCCAAGCATCCGACATTGGTCACAGAAGGAAGCAATTCAGCCGCATCTATTTCAATGTGTATGATTGCGCCATCCTCACGGGCCAAGTAAATAATGTCTGTTTTTTCAAGGTACTTCTTCCTGCGGAAGGGCCGCGCCCAGGCGACCCAGAGCGGATCGCCATTCCCATGATACAGCGGCGTAGGCGCAGGGGGTTCTGCCGGCAACATTTCGAACTCTGGCGCACCCGACAGCGCGTACTTTACAATGCCGATATAGAACTCGGAGACGGCGAAAAAAGCCGTTTTAAATCTGAGCGGGATGAGTAGCAGAGGCATTTTATACTCTTTAGGAAGCCGATTGCCGACCCTTTCTTCAGCAAGGATGAGTTGAAGATTGTCACCCAACTCCCATTCATACGTTGCCATACGAGAGACGGGAGGTGAATTGATGCGCTCTCTTCGAACAATGATTAAAATTAGGATAATGTGATGATGGTCCTCTGGGCGAGGAAACAGAAACTCCATTTTTTGAACAACTCCGCTGACGGCCCTGATGCGAAAAGATTTGATAGGATGGACGTACTCTCGATTTGCGTACTGTCGGTTGAGCTCTGGTAAGGCCTCCAATTCGTATACGATGAAGATGCCTTCGGGAGTTGCTGCAGCCATGTATCGAGAAGACGGATCCACAGCAAGGTGATAGCCCACGTAGGGCAGCAGCTTGGGATTTTCATATACGCTCGTGGAAAACTCCATGTCCCCATCAGGCTTTTCCCTCACAAAGAGGAATACCATCTGACAAGATTCTAGTACTAATACGAGCATCTGTGGAGGGAGCACGCGAACTTGAAGGTCGTCGGATATTCCATCTTCGCCCGGAGAGGATGGAGAGGATGGAGAAGGCGATGGCTCTTGTTTTACAACCATACCGATTGGGTCGTCGTCCAACCCATGCTCTAAGCTGCCGCCAAGAACGACGGCATTTCGAATTCTGTGTCCAAAGTCGGACTTGCGAATAACATCATGGACCTGACCATCTCTTCCAAGCTCGCTGATTTGAACAAAGTGATCCTGATGGGGCCATGTCAGCCAAGAAGAAGTTGAGAAATCGAAAGGCGGTATCGGATATTGTGTAACTCGGACTCTCGTAGAATCGCCTGTGATGATGGGCAGGTACTTACGCCAACGAAAGCAATGTCATTATGAGTGCTGGAGCGCAGCCGAGCCGGAAGCACCCATCGAACAACAGGGCTCTCGGCAAGAGTCTGGGATAGAACACCACAGACTGGGGGCTTCGGCAGAGGCTCAGAGGCCAGCTGTGGAGCGGCAGATGCCCTCAGGGCGGCTTGCAGGTTGACGGTTTCAGTAACCCACTCGCCGTCCCTCAAAACTCTAGTTTGGAAGGCCATTCTGCCGTGCTCACAACACCGTCTCAAAAGGGTGTGGAAATGGCGTTATTTAGGTGAAGAATCGGCTCGGTATCAAAGACCATTCGAGTATCGAGCTCGTAGTTTGCTTACACGAGCCAGACACGGGGGGGCGTAGAGAAGCGTGCGTTCAGAACCGCTTCTGCGTCAAAAAGAGCGTTTCACTTTACGCCTGGGATTAGGGGAACAATATCTTGACCATGGCGGCCAGAGGAACGTGAGGAAAGCCAAGGGTCAAAGGTGAAGCCGGCACGAGGCCTATATATGCTTAGGCACCTTTTGATGACGCTGATGTTGGAACGTGCAGGCTGCTCACGCCTGTTAATTGAAGAGGGTGGTCAGGCGCTGGAGCTCTGAGAGCAGGGAGACCGGGAAATCTTCAGACCGGGTAGGGCAACCATTCAATCTGCAGGCTACTCAGAGGATAAATGCTCGAGAATGGGACGAAGCTCGCGGGCGGCTGGCTTGGGTAACGTTGAAAAAAAGAGATTGGGCGTCTTGGTCGATCTAGGTACAGTAGAGGTGTGTACTAGATACCTGCTAAGCGACTCGCTATCATGCCGCTCGGGGTACATGCACCTGGCGATGGCGGCGCCTGCTGTGGACAACTGGAGTACTCGTCTGGTGCCAACCCGCTCCAAGCTTCACAATGCTCAGCACCTAGGTACCCTTGAGAGGCGTGTGTCAAGCACAGGTACATGTAGGTAGGCTCCAAATGCACACTCGAGGGCCAGAATGAGGAGGAAGCTGTTTGTCGTTTATTAGCAGTTAGTAGCACCTCTGCTTGCAAGAGCTGTGGAGTGGGGCTCTAGGCTGTGGTTGGGTGCAGCTGGAGGCTTCAATGCGTCTGTATCCACCACTGCCCACGCCGCATGGAGTGAACCAACAGCGCTCCCAGCACATGCGCGCGAAGCTGTTCTGATGCTTGACAACATGAATGTTGGCTGCCAAGCGCCGTTTTGTGTCCGTTGAAGATAGATCCAACGCATGTTGGCCGTGGAGCTGACCACCGGGGGGAAATACTCCAGGCCAAGCAACCAGCCCAGGCACGAGAGTCAAGTTTCTAGGACATGTAGCGATATGCCCCCATGTTCTCGCTGCACGTTGTATTAATGCCCTCACGCACACGCAGCCGCCTGTGTCATATCTCAGCTTGTATGTCTCCACAAGCGTATATAAATAAATCATACCTATTACCTACTGCTGCTACCCCCCATGGATACGTTTTCCCCTGGTCTTGCTCGTAGGTACATGTAACTACATATTATCTGGGTAACAAGCCTGAGGGCAACTTTTCAATAGCGCATGTGAGAGAGATATCCAGGTAGTACAAGTATATGCAGTCTGGCCTCCCCTCACCATCACGCCAGTTCTGTGGCTGTGGGGAAGGATTCGTCCACGTATGCCAGACATCCAGTACTGCTGCTACTGCTCGTGTATGTATGTGTGGTAGACATTCCGTCGGGTTTCAACGAAAGGATCCATTGATGCTTCTGCCTACCCCCCCGGGCCACCGTCTCGGATGGTTAGCTCTGCATTTCAGGCCTCCAAGTCCAACATTACTAGATCACCTCTATGTACGTGTGTGCTCTCTATCCGGAAGAAGCTGCCGTTTTCAATCATAGACACCATCAAAATCCTACACTCAACTACCAGTGATTGAGACGCGGCAAGGCAAATACCTAGAATTGCCTATGAATCCTCAGCATTAGAGTGGCCGGCGACAAGCGAGGCGCGGGAAGCAATACTACATGGCCCCCGTCCATATTCCTACCACTCAGTTATCAATTCAGGATTCCTTTCGCTTATACGATACTAATATGATTAATTTCAACGTACAGCTGATGGCCGATGAGTGACTTCTTCCCTCGACTCTCCGATCGAATGGTGGATATTGTATGCTTAAAATGCCCATTTGCGTGGCCCATATGGCCCTCACTTTTGGCATATATGAAACTGAGGGGCACAAGCAGAATAACACCATCTCAGTCCTCAAACCGAGTATCGGTACCTCTTCAGTATCCTTATTAACAAGTAAATATCAGTCGATACTGTTTTCAATACATGTAAGCTCGTTGATTCGACCCATAACATACCTAGTACATGTAATGACACATTGGAAGACGTCGGGTTTCTAGGTAGGGCCGATCTCAGCACCTCTTTACTTCAACATTCTTTGTCAAACAACCCGAGATTTGCATCACGTACTCTACATAAAGTCATACCTAGGTAGGGTGTTGTAACGACTTTGGGTAAGTAGGTAGTATCTGGACGGCCTCAATTCGCACAATCTGCTTGTTAGACCTGCGTGCGTATGTGCTACATTACCCACGTGCAAGTGCGAAGGATACGGACTGCCTTTACATGTATCACTAATACTCAGGATGTTCGACCCCGCGCCATTATCCAAAGGGATAAAAATCCTACGACTCTTTTTATGAAGCATCTAGACTTTTCATACTTGTTGGCACCCTCCGTGCGGAGGACCCTGCAGCCAATAAGGCTGGTTGTCGGCTTGAATTGCATGACATGCATCTTCGTGCATGTAGTACCGCAGCCTTCCGATATATTTCGTACCACCCACATTCGGTATCGGCTGATCAAGCTGTGACGAAAGTTTTCTTCTGAGTCCCATGAGGAGCAAGATGAGCCACCAATAGCACAATTATTCGTTTTCGTTATGGAGACACTGCCGTTGACTATTTGCTGTAGCCTCCCCCGGCTGTATCCACTCGGTGAGAGTTGAGACCAGGATTGGATGCTTGAAGGATGCAGAATCCAGCCAACCAGATTTCCTCATTAGTGGGTCTCTATAGACAGATTGAATTCAATCGAGCCTTGTAGTCCTGCCTGCTCTGAATCAATGTCTGCTGTGTTAGTAGGCAAGTTGTTACTGATTCACCTGTAGAGTCTGGGGAAAAGTTCTGTAAAAAGAGCAAAATTTGAGGTGCTAGGTACGAAGGAAAACAATAATGCGCAGATTTGATCTCAGATAAAGAATAACAATCAATGCCAGTTGAGTGCTGATGTTCAGGCTGCCATTGCCAGCCAATTCTACAGACCAGGTGTATACGTCACGCACCATGTTAAACCACCTGTATCGGTTCTTTGTAGCAGTACAATGTTATGTTTTATTCCATTATTTGTTCTGTATGTCTCATCCAAATAATGACAGATATTCGGTTAAACAAAATACACAAGTTATGCTAAGACTCAAACAGCTTTCAAGTTTCAGCGTGTGATTGATTGCCTTGAAGTTTGTACGCACCATGGGCTGGTCCCAGACGGCTGCTCGTAGCGCGAACCCCACCAAGTACACTAGGCTCCAGGGGATAGCAGATGCAGCCCGACGCTTATTTACTCCTGCAATCACGCAGTCAGTGCCATGCTAGTCGCGACACCACAGCACCGATCCCGCACATGAGCCTGGAAAAAGAGCTGGTCGATACCGCTGGCCTCCCACGCGATGATGTCGACTTTGCCGAACCCGAACCAGAGGACTCTGTAGATGATCCGGGCCCCAGTCCAGCCGTGGCCCTCAAGACCAGCGAGATCCTCGCCGCCTGCACCTGGAGAGATGCCACACGGCTGAGAGCCCTGGCCGAGTCTGAGGGCGGCCTTCTCGCCGATACACTACGTCAGGTAGCATGTATGTACTCGTGACTGGCCTTTTATTGATCTCGTTCATTGCATTTGTTTGATAACAATCAAAACCTCTTTTGCTAACTTGTTTCTTCCAACAAGGGCCCATATTGCTTGGCTTGCCTCCCCCAACCGACGAGAAAGAAAGCGACAGCACACATTCGGCAGACCCTGATGCCGCTCCTCCAAACGACGACGACTGGAAAAAGTATCCACGCCATCATGACGAGGATCAGGTTCAACTCGATGTGAATCGATCTTTTGTCCATTATCCCAATGGTATGTCTCTCAACAACCCCCCCGAGTATCCTATATCAGGTCAATCACACGAACAAGGAGGCTGTAAATGGCATCATAGTAGGACTAACAAGAATCAACATCTTCCATCTTTAGATCAGTCCGAAGCACAGCTACAGGAGCGAAAACATGAATTATCAAATCTCATTGTGGAGGTTCTCCGCCGACACCCATATCTCTGCTACTTTCAAGGGTACCATGACATCTGCCAGGTATTCCTCCTGGTCCTAGAGCCAGCGGCAAGAGCACCGCTGGTGTCGCGGCTCTCCGTTCTCAGGATCCGCGACTTCATGCTGCCCAGTCTCAGCGCCACAACCGCACAGCTAAGGCTCCTCCCCGATATCCTAGCCCGCGCAGACATGGAGCTTCGCCGGCATCTCTCCAGTATAGAACCTTTTTACGCCCTCGCTGGCACCCTTACCATGTATGCTCACAATATTGAGCGGTACAAGGACATAGCTCGGCTGTTTGACGTCATCTTGGCGCGCGAACCTACCTTTTCCATATACCTGTTTGCCCAGATTGTCATAGATCGCCGCGAAGAGATTCTTGAAATTGACGAGCCCGATATGCTTCAAGTCATTCTCGGCAGAGTCCCTCCAGAATTAGACTTGGATGCTCTCATCAAGAGATCTGTAGATCTTTTTACCCAGAACCCCCCTGAGACCTTGAGATCATGGCATCAAATTTCTTCGTCCAGCGTCCTCAAAACCTCCAGGGATGTAGATGAAAGCGTGCGGCAAACTATTGAAGATGGTCATCACTACTTCGAGAAACAAGTCAAGGAGATACAGTGGGAAGAGTTAAGAATGGGTGTCAGGAGGAGAATCTGGCTATACAGGCGGCCTGCCAGGTTCATCGGAACAGCCATCATGGTTGGAGTCGTGGCATTCTACCTCCGGCGGAACCCTACTCTTCTGCAGTATATATGGTCCCTTTTCCCGGGCCAACAATGAAATTGTTATCATGTAGGAAAGAAGAGGAAGGAAAGAGATGAAGAGCCCAACTATAGAACCTTTGTGTGTAATGTTTTTTATAGATTGCCTATCTAATATTCAACTTTCTGCCATAAACATGCTGTGCCTCCAGACGCCATACAGTAGAAACCAGAATCCAACCCTAGTTCCACATCAATGCTTAGATTCAAAGTCTTAATGTATACGTTATTATAATTACGTAGGTACTTTTGCTTCAAATGTACATATGTACTTCTATGATTCGCCCTGGTATTTTTGCTTTAATTCCTCAAAGTGCTCCTGTTGCTCCTGTGCCAACTTGCCCGTTTCATCGCCGATAATGGTAAGAATCAAGGAATAGTTGTTGTATAAAAATCGCTCGCTTTTTCTCGTGTCGCCATGCGTTTGACTATGTCGAGTCAAGAAAGCTTCGACCTCGGACCGCAAACGGCGAAGACTGGCGACGACGGGCTCATCGTCGCCGGCTTCAGTGGACAGGGCCAGGAAGCTTTGGAGCAGTTGCCCAAACCGCTGGGTCACCATGTGCGGTGCGGCGGACAACTTCAACTGGTCGGCCCGAGCGAGTTTCGCGGGCGCAGCATTAGTCAGTAGTCGAACGGATTCGCAGTGGCGATCCATTATGACCTGCAGTCGTGGCCATAATAGCATATTCGTGCCGTTGATATAGCCATCCACGGCAGGGACCTTTCGCCTTTGAAGGTCAAAAGCAAAGTGCTGGTTAAGTCGAATGCAGAGCAGGAGACCCAGGGCATCGAATGTCTCGCTTACGAGGGCTCTTGAAAGCACTCTACCAACCTCAAACGTTGGCTCAAATATATAATTGAAGTTTTTAGATATTTGTGAATACGACAAGGCGGGGGCGAAAAAGGATGCCAAGAAGGTATACTCGGCTGTGGCATTATCGATGAGAGCCAAGTTGAAGTTTCGAAAGGGGACTTCCAGGTAGTGGGTTGATTGGTCCTCCTCTGCCAGGTACGACGAGATGGCCGAGGTGCTCTTGGTTCGGAGCATATCAATCCGACGTCCAAGATTGAACGCATCATGCGGTGCGCCGGCAACACGACTACTAGATAAGACGGCTGTTTTTCTAGTCGCGTCTTCCTGCCCTAGAACGTCATTCTTGTCCAGAATATGAAGTTTGAGCTTGGCCAAAGCTCTCTCGTAGCGCGTGAACTGATTGAGGTAATACCATCGCATCGTGTTCATGTACGCCTGCGAGATTTCGTCTGCGAGCGTCGCATGGTGTTTATGGAGGAATGTGTAAAGGTCTTTGAATTTTAGGAAATTTTGTTGCTGGATGATTTGCGCATTGATATGGGGCGATCGAAGAGCCTTTATCTGGGCAACAAGAAAGTCGCGAATCCGTTCGACAGCCTGCAGCACCGCCTGTTAGTCGAGTCCCAAGGCCACCTCTTATCAAAATTGAGCTGATAGACGGTACCTTTAATATTAGTTTCTCCAATATCGGACCAAGCTCTTCACTGGCTTTGCCCTGCTGTGTTCCTGACAGCTTCTGAACGGCTGAGGCTCTCTTGTCTAATTCATTCAAAGTCTTCGCCCATGCTTCATCAATATGGCTTGTCGTTATCCTGGAAATTGTCTCGGGCGACACGCTGAGCTCTTCTACCAATGGGCCAAGCGCCTTCTCTATTCGTTTTCGATTTTCTAACCTTCGACTCAATATGCTAGAACGGGTTTGCAGAGTTTCGATATCAGCCGAAACAGTGGAAAGGTCATTGCGAAAATCCGCAAGGTTGATTTCGACCGAGTTCAAGATGTCGTCGCACGCAACAATGGATCGATGCAAGGCGTCGAATCGGGCCTTGTCGTTCTCATCTATAAATGGTAACTTAGCACGCGAAATACAGTCGTTTGGGCCGGCGCGTCGGAATTGCAACGTACACTCGCTGGCATTCTGGGGCCGGCGGAAGCTTGTGGCATCGCCATCGGAGCTCCCAGCGGCCAGCTCCTTTAGAGACAACCCTCCGAAATCGACATCGAGCCCCAGATCCTCCTCCGTGATTGAGCTTGCCTTGCCCTGAGGCTTGCCTACAATCTCCGAATCTGCCGCCAATAGCCTCTCCAAGATGTTTACCGAGTCCGGAACCTGAGGCGCGGCTGGCTGTTTCACTTCTGAGCCATTGGGCTTGCGTGATGACGCCAGCAGCGAGGTTGTAGAGTCGCTGGACACTAATGACAGAGACGACCCCCGCGGAGAGGGCCCTTGCCGCTGAGAGGTTACGTAGGGGCTGAGATTGGCCTGTGGCTTTCGCGGAAGCGGCGAGTTGTGCCGGCTGGTGATCTGAGGAGTCGAGGGCCCGGACGCGCTGACTTGACTCCCTGAGAGCCGGTCGAGCCACATGGTGCGAGAGAAGCCGGGAGCTGGAGTCGGGGGTTATCGGTGGAGGAAAAGAGGGAGCCTCGCAATCATGACCGTCTCATCGCTTGGAGGAAGGTATTTGAGTGCCGAGCAGTCGCTACGTCTAGACAATTGGTAGTCACGGCGCTCCAGTATATGCCGAGCATACCTCAGGTGCTGTTGGCTGTCCAATACGGAGTACTCAGTGAGACGACCGGCCAGTTCAGTTGCAGCAGCAAGGCTATGCCGATGCGACAGTGGAGCCGAGCTTGGGGCTATCGATTAGCGCCGTGTCTGGCGAAGGGACGGGCTACAATAGGGATCTAGCTGTAGCAAACCTTGGCATGAAGGTAGTACTAAGCGGTGCTATTTGCAGGCCTCAGTGCCTGTCCATCCAATTCTTACTGTCAGATGATTGCTCTGGAGCTCAAAAGCAAAGCAGTAGCCATCGTCTCAAGGCCCATTGACAGCGTTTTGAGTCAAAGATGTCGAAAAAGGTGGCCAGCGAATGCATGCATCTCTGCTGCAGAAGCTTCAGCTCTGTTGCAGATTGATCACCAACGCATAGCACGCGACTAATAGCAGATACAGTGCAGCAATCTGATACCTGTAGGAACCTAAGTACCTACCTAGGTGGTAAGTAGGTAGGTAGGTACCTAGGTAGGTAGCAAACCGCAGCATGCGACAGCTCTGCTGCCAGCTCGCAATTAAGCTTTGCTAGGGACCGTGGCTGTTCCTCTTTCCGGCCAAGGAAGAAGAGCTCAAGCCACTACACATTCGCTTATTCTATTGATTGTTTTATTCCATTGAAGCGTATAGCACCTTGGTTTGGCAAGGTGAGGTGTGTAGGTAGGGGATACATCACGCCCATCATGCTCTCAGATCATGCATGAGTGCTACCAGTAGGTTTTGCAGACTCTAGATGCGGAGTTGTGCGTGTGTGTGTGATCATCTTACCCTTTTCCACACAAGAGTGAGCTCATGCAGCCTCCCCGCTCCCGAGATCAAATTTGGGATACATACCTCTTTAACGGCAACGCACCGCAGCTGCAGAGAGTCTAGATGCGGAGGCACCTCGGTACCTACACCTTGGAAAGATACAGTGCTAATTCAGCGCTAAAGGAACCAGACAGATGCTATGCGTGGGCAATTTTTCGAGTTACAGGTACTGTGTCTGCATCTATGAGTCGTGTGGTGGTGTTGGCTGCTGTCCACCTTAGTTCAACAGCTCTCGCCTACGAGAGTCTCTAAGCCATACATAACTGGGCAGCGCAGCCACAACAAACCTCGGGATTTTCTCTAAATGATTGTTTTTTTCCTAGAAAGGCTGGCTCAAAAGTTGCTTGTCTAGGTCTCTAGGGGGAAAAAAAAGAGAAAAAAGACAGGAAAAAAAAAAGTACCAAACCTTACGGGTCCAAAAGGTACTAAATCCGCTTCCCAAGAGGCAAAGCTGCGTCCCACCGCCGCCCAGGCAAAATTGACGCCAGGGCCAATCACGCCGGCGAAAAAAAAATTCAGGTAACGCACCTTTTCTACCCCCTCCGTCCACCTCTTGCTCTTCTCCTCTCACCTCTCAATTTCTCCTCTCCACATAACTCCCAGCACTCTCCACTGTCTGTCTGTCGCGCAGACTCTCTCTCACTCTTCGTCTTCTCTCTCTTGCTTCACGACAAGTTCGATTTTTGCGCAATCCATCACCATGGCTGACGAGGTAAGTCGTCCATCTGTCTCGAGCATCTTTGCGCTGCCTTCACAAGAGGAAAAAAACCACCCCGCAATCGTCTTGGCTGCCCCTCGACTGAGCGGCACCCCACATCACAATATTTTACAATTTTTTTTTTTTTTTTGTAGATTTTGCCAGATGAGCTTCTACGCCCCCATGATACTTCTATCTGCAAGATCGGCTTCCAGCTCTTCGCCAAAATTACAATTCGCCCAAATTTGCTTCGTCGTGGACTATAGATGCTGACCATTTGTCCGTCTACAGCATGATGTTACCTTCGAGTCCGCCGACGCCGGCGCGTCTCTCACCTACCCCATGCAGTGCTCTGCTCTGCGCAAGAACGGCTTCGTCGTGATCAAGGGCCGCCCCTGCAAGATTGTCGACATGTCCACCTCCAAGACTGGCAAGCACGGTCACGCCAAGGTCCACCTTGTCGCCCTTGACATCTTCACTGGCAAGAAGTACGAAGATCTTTCTCCCTCCACTCACAACATGGATGTCCCCAACGTCACCCGTCGTGAGTACCAGCTTGTAAGTCGATCTTGGTCCCAGGATGAAAATTTAAGGGAAACGGGGGGGCGAAAATATAGCTTGACAAGTATTGACACATTCTTTGTAGCTCGACATCTCTGACGATGGCTTCCTCTCCCTCATGAACGACGACGGTGACACCAAGGACGATGTCCGCATGCCCGACGGTGAGATTGGTGAGAAGATCAACAAGCTCTTCAAGGTTGATGAGAAGGACACCAGTAAGTTGCTCTCTACTGAAATTATGACATTATGAAATTATGAGCGACCACTTAACAGCGGATCCTAACCTTTACATCTAGACGTTGTCGTTCTCACTTCCATGGGAGAAGAGGCCGCCATTGAGGCCAAGGAGGCTCCTAAGCAGTCTTAAATTAACAATTCTACTTTCCTCCGCCAATTGAGTAAAATGAAGATTTAGGATTTGTTTATAGCCCCCTCGTTTCCCTCCACCTCCTGGCGTTTACTGCGGCCGTCGTAACATCGAATATCCTTGGGTTGATGTATGGGTCGTTCCGCTCGAAGGTTGATGGATCGGATTTTTTTTCAGCTAGTTTCAATACTTGGCACTTCAAATACCCTTCCAAAGGGCCAATACAGTTTCCTTTGTCCTTCACGAATCATGGCCAAAGCTACCCAGATGGAAGTTTGCGTAGCTGGGAATTATGATAGAAAATGAAGATAAAAAAAAAATGAATGTGCATATTGGCTTGCTGTACAGTCTATAAATCGATACAAGTAGTGATTTGCATAATTGTAGACGATTGACGGTTTTATTCTTACATTTTACTATATTTCACCTCCTTCAAAGCTCGACTGTGTGAAACTTAGTCTTTACAGCGAAGGCTAAAAATAATACACGCGGAAAGGTGGGCTGTCGGTACTACGCAAAACGGCCATCCTAGATCTAAGATGCGCTAGCTTGCATGTGCTTTTCAGTAGTAACTTGCAGCCAACCTCAGCCTGCAAATTCATGTCTTAATCTACAGCTTCGGTCACATTTGCTCTCTGCTTGATTTTTCTTCTCTCCCATCTCTCTTTCCTGGACTATACGATACAACATGAGGGCAAGCTTCTTAACTGCTGCCGGAACCGTACCGCCTAAGCCGTGAAATCTACACTCGCGCATCGCATCCCCAAACTAGACGCAGCCCGGCCATTCAAGATATCTAGCCACCCAGACAAAATTCAGCCAAGAATCCCACAATGGAAGCACCAGAAGGCCTTCGTAGGATGCCTCGAGGGGAAAGATGCCCCGAGTGCGGTAGCCAGAAATGGTATCTGCAAGACGGGCTGAGATTTTGCGCCCGAGGCCATCAAGTTGAAGTGAGTGTCTCTTTATGGACATTATATTGAAACAAGGGCTGGCTGTAACTATGTTTCTGATCAACTGTAGGGATTTGTCCAATTTGATCTGGGTGATATCGAAGACTCTGGTAAAATGGGAGCCGTGTCTCGGCGTGAAAAGGCCCCTAGAGATCAACGAAGAAGGGCGCCGCTTACTGGCCAGGCTGGCAGAGATCTCTATCTTGAATCCCTTCAATTGATTATTAGGAGCCAACTCGCATGGCTCATTAATGAGAAGGGGCACAGAGAAGAGCTTGAGACCGTCATCCGCGACTTATGGGACTTGCGAATCAGAGGATCCAATTCTGGGTTGGGACATGATACCCACGAAGAAGAAGAATTGGAGGTTTTCAGCTCTGAGCCTCCCCAGGACTCAGCCTTGTCAAACTGGCAGCAACAGTCCAGAAAACAAAGCTGGGATCCTGAATTGGGTTCGCGGTGGCCATTGCCGCGTGTGCCCGATACGCTCGCCATTTGCTATCTGGGCTGTGTCCTTTTGAGAATACCTACTCACCTCGGTGAAATTATTCGATGGGCAAATAATGGCAGTCTTTTATATAAAAAATGCGTAAGAAAAGTGGATTGCATGTATGATATCCCGATGCTGACCAGGAAGCAGTATCACTCTTTACCCCAAGAAATGCGCGATAGACTGCCCGCTGCTTATATCAAGCTCCTAAAGCTACCATTCCGCTCCCCTATAGAAGGGGATGAGCTGCACAAGGTTGTTATGGACTTGGTGCTCTCATACCATTTCAATTACAATCTCATCTTCCCGGAGATTAATCATGTTCCAGAGTTGATCCAGTTCGCAAAGGAGCTTGCGCTGCCCAGTAAGTGGAAAGGCGACGAATCTCAGCCACAATATTTTTCCCTAATAAAATTATAGTTGACTCCATCATTTTGGCCCGTAAATTAGCATCCATACTAGGATATCAGTTCCAATTCCCAATCGATAGGCTGTCGAATACTCGATTGGATTATCCAGAGATACGGCTGATAGCCCTGCTCGTTGTTGCTACCAAGCTCTCTTTTCCGTTTTCTGAGGACACTTCAATATCCCAGCCTGCCACTTTCGATTCTCTCGAGATGCCTAAACTCGACTGGGAGAGATGGCGACGGGGGAAACAGAGTCTACCCACGCAGCAAGAGACGAAGACTGGCAAGTATGACTTTAAAAGGGTCACACCCAGCCAAATAGTCTCTATGGATGATGGAGAGCTCGACGCGTACTTTGCTCACGTCTCTAGTCTCATCGATGTCACTAGTAGGTGTCATGTGTCATTGGCAGCAAGTTTTCCGAGATGGTTCAAGTTCTTACATGAAGATTATAGACGACAACCCGATAACAAACTTCTTCCCTGTAGAAGACATACCAACAAGCATCAATCAAGTGGAGGATCTTTCCACTACGGAACTGGGCGATGCAGTCAAAAATCTTCTATCACAGATTGTTAAATACGATTCATTCAGCTACATGGAGACAGCCAAAAGCACGACGACGCCTATCTCAAGATATGAAGCATTCCGTCATGTCGACAATCTCAATCAGACAGCCTTCGATCTGTATAAAGCAGCAGGTATGTCTGACACACCAATAGCACTCGTATCAAAATGCGAGACAGAAGCTAACATGTACATCTACAAAAAGGTGCCGTGGTGGGAGCGTCTCTTGAAACCATGACAGACGCAATATACAGGGTCGAACGGACTATGGTTGTCTGGCAGACAAAGAAACGTCACGAAGGCGAGCACTAACGTGGCACATATGCGTACGCATCGACCACGCGAGCACTTATCAATAGTATCTCTTGGCAATTGTAGAAGTGCGTAATTGGTAGTTATACAAAGTGAGCCACAACTTGAGCGTGCTTCATATGAGACTCTCTCATATCAATCATCTTCTTATACAAGCATCAGTGTTTACGGCATCAAAAACGCTAAAGGTAATGCACTTTAAGGCAGGTGGGTCCGTACGAGGTCTCGCACTAGCAGCATTTGGGAAAGCCCTCTCAGATACCCCATATTGAGGAATTATTTCAGTTGAAAGTCACGTGCATCGGCTACTGACCTAGGGTTTTCTATGATTTGAAGTTCCGCCCCACCAAATTTGCGCGCAGAATCAGCGATTGAACCTTCACATCGTCAAGCATCACCAAAATCGTCCAAGAGTGAGTACCGTCGCCATGCGCAGGCCAGCTGCAGAATCCGTGATGAAATATGAAATACTAACCGTAAAATAGTGCAGATGTAAGCTCAGCAAAAAAACAAACCCCCCGATATCGACATCCGGCAATTCGTACTAACAAATGCGAAAAGTTTCGTGAAGACCCTGACGGGCAAGACCATCACCCTTGAGGTCGAGTCCTCCGACACGATCGACAATGTCAAGTCCAAGATCCAGGACAAGGAGGGAATCCCCCCGGATCAGCAGCGATTGATCTTCGCTGGCAAGCAGCTCGAGGATGGCCGAACCCTGTCTGACTACAACATCCAGAAGGTGCGTCGCTGAGGAACTGCGTTTTCGAATCGTCTATGCGAAAACATGGCGAGAGGAGTGGAAATTTGAGAAGGAACAAAAAAAAGAGAGAGAGACGGGATGCTAATGCGAATATACAGGAGTCTACCCTCCACCTGGTCCTCCGTCTGCGTGGTGGTATCATTGAGCCCTCCCTGAAGGCTCTGGCCTCCAAGTTCAACTGCGACAAGATGATTTGCCGCAAGTGCTACGTACGTGCATATTTCCATTTCCTCTCCGACAAGCTTTTTTTTCCCCCTCTAGGTGCTAATTGTCGCATTCATAGGCCCGTCTCCCTCCCCGTGCTACCAACTGCCGTAAGCGAAAGTGCGGACACACCAACCAGCTTCGCCCCAAGAAGAAGCTCAAATAAATCATTTCACCAAAGATGCGGCGTCTGGTTTCTGGCATTCTGGGGTTGGCAAGGACAGAGGTGCTACTGCTTTATTCCGGATTTGTTTCTACATTAGTATCATGGTAGAGACGAATACAACAATCTAGATGATATCTGATGGCAACTTGTTCAAAATGACCCATCCTTTAAGGAATGACTGGAGTGATCCGGCAGCACCATGGCAGGACCGATTTGTACTTTCCGAATGCCAGGCCTGTGATAATGGGCCATGAAGGAGATGGCAAATCTCAGAAAACTGAAAGTGTCCGATAGTTGTAGCGATCAAGAAGCTGAATATAGCGAAACATTACAAGAGCTACATGCAGGTGCTCATACCTACAGCAAAATACCTACTAGTAGGTATTATCTGAATTACGGCAAATAGACTGTATTTGATTAAAAAAAATTGTACTCAAATTTCGTCAATGCAACAATTATTCATTATGGATATTAATATGAGTCCCCAAGAAATATCTTCTACTCTGATTATTATTGTCTGAACGTGAATAATTAATTATTAAACCACGGCCTGATTTCATCACCAGGACGAAAGCAAGCTGTGACGATCCGCATGCCTTAGCGGCTCAAGCGGGAGCTATCACGTGATACGTAGTCCATACACGTTGACAAGCTATCGCAGCCAGCCAACAAGTCTCGGGGAGGGATAGACAGCTATTAAACCATCGAAACTAATTGCCCTCCAACACCAATTATAGGAAGGTATTTCGGGAAGCGCATTTATCAGACGAACTAAACTACGTATCCGCCGACAAAAACAAAAAGAGGCCAGCAATGTCCGGCTCCGGATATGATGCAGTGGTAGACGTGGACGATGAGGTGCGTTGCGCTCCAAGGAAGTTATACATTCCTACCTATATATCAATTCAGCATGCTGGCAAAATCCAATGCTTCACTCTAGCTAACCCCTCTTAGGGCGACCTCGGGGACACCGATCTCCAAGAAGATCTCGAATTCCACAGCTCCAACTTCAATGAGCCCTCTTCCTCAAGAGGCGGCCGCAAGGCGCCAGCATCAGGGCTCCCACCACCAGCGACATCCTCCTCCTCCTCCTCCTCAAAGCGCTATCTCTGGAGCATGTCGTTCTATGCGCAGTTCTTCGACGTCGATACATCCGCTGTTCTATCGCGCTGCTGGGCGGCCTTGTTCCCGCGGGCAAACTTCCTCGACGTATTAGAGGGAAATCCCGACCTGTACGGGCCGTTTTGGATCGCAACGACAGTCGTCCTGATTCTATTCCTCGGAGGCACAATCAGCCAATATCTTTCGACGACGGGCAAGTCCGCGTTTGCGTATGATTTTAGGCTACTCAGCGGTATGGCTTTATTCCTCTCAGATGTCCTTCATTTCCTAGCTTTGTCATTAGGTGGCTAACAAGAAGGGGTGTCGACATGTAGGCGCGGCGGGCCTGATTTACGGCTATACCTTGGTCATCCCGGTGGCCCTGTACCTTGCTCTTCGATACTTTGGAAGCGAATCGGCGAACCTCCTTGAAAGCTGGGCTCTGTACGGATACTCGAATCTGATATGGATACCCGTTGCTGTGATTTCGTGGTCACCAATCTCCATCCTTAACTGGGTCTTTGTGGGTGTTGGATTCGGCCTGTCTGTGGTGTTCCTGGTGCGAAACCTATATCCAGTATTGAGTGCGACCGATCAACAAATCAGCAAGATCCTTCTCGTTGTCGTCATTCTACTACACGCCGGTCTTGCTTTGACCATCAAGATCCTCTTCTTTGCCCATGGAAGTCCGGTTGCGCGAACTCCTACCGACGGTGGCTCTGATACGCCGCAATAATGGCTGCTTTGGCAATTGGTGATGGATAATGGGAGTGTTTCCAGAGTTGAAAGAAGAAAGACTTGTCCTGAGATGCAGATTTGCATGAGAATGCCAGAAATGTGGCCAGAGCAATGTACACTACACACAGCACAGTTAGCTATGCCTCAATTTACATGATGGAACATGAATGTATATTTATTACAGATTTTGGATTATGTTTGTTCTTTCTTGCCTACCAGCCCAGGTGCTCCTCGGTATGAACGACCTTTTATCTTCCCTCTTAGTCCCGCGCCATCAGTTTATATACAGCTGTAACATCAACACCAAGAATCATCGCCGTTCCGATACGACACAACCGCCGCCCCAATGGCTTAATTGTCCTTCTTTCCCTGCTTAACCACCTCGACCGGCCCCTTGTTCTTATCCCAATCGAGCCAGCTGCCCGGGTACTCGCCAACACTCTCCCATCCAGCATGTTGCGCCAAACCCGCTGCCGCCTTGGCCCGCACGCCAGCCTTGCAGTAGAACACCAGCGAGGCATCCTTGGGCGGGCGGGCGTAGCCGTACATGTCTTCAAAGTCCTCGTCGGAGATGTGGAAGCTCTGGACGGCGGAGGTGATGGGGATGTTGATGGCGCCGGGGATCTTGCCGGTGTCGAGGAGCTCGTAGGGTTCGCGGACGTCTTTGTGTGTTTTAAAAGAGCACATGGTCAGTAACCAAGATATAAGAATAACATCATATGTTTTCGACATACCGACGAGGATGACCTTTTCCTCGGGGTCCTTCTTCTCGACCAGCGTCTTGATCTCGTCAAAGCCCCAGATGCGACTATTCGGCACCTGGTTCTCGGCACTGCCAGAGTACCACCGCATAGCACCGACGCTCCTGCTGTGGTCCCTTGGCCGCAACGAAGGCATTGGTCGAATCGCCGCAGAGGCCATCGCCGTCCTCGCCGCAGCGACTGTCACTGGAGCAGTCATCCGCGATGTGATGCGCCGCAGCGCAAGCCGCTGACAAGCTTGCCGAGTTGCCATGATTGTGACTTTGCCGGCTTCTTCTTTTTCCTTCTTCTTGCTGACGCTTGAAGCCCTTGTAGACCTGATCTGTTGGTTTTCGACAAAAATGGGCTTTTTTTGCGAGAGTGCCAATTGCTTTGCTTTACTTTTCCCTTGGGCAGTTTTGCGCGTGCAAAGCGTTGTAGTAGGTATTCCCAAAATTCCGCTAGCTAAGCCATGGATCCGAAATAGCCCAGCCTCGGGAAGCTTGCCACCACTCAAGGCCAAGTTCAACCTGAGCTTCCCAACAGCTATTACAAACGGCTATCCCCCCCCCCCCCCCCCCTTTTTTTTTTTAATCGCCATATAGCACACGTACCACTCATAAAATGTGCTGCTACTACTACCTTCCTGCCTACACAGACAGCTACATGAGAAAAGGACTACTGACGTGGGAAATGGCGACGTCGAGAAATAATGAAGCTTCCCCAATTACAAGCGGAAACCGCCCCGCGAATCGTCATGTCATGTGCAGCTACCTGTCAGCCAAAAAAAAACTTCAAGCTTTCTTTTGCTCGTGGGAGCCACGCCTGAAGTTGCCTAGTACGGAGGATTTCAACGCAATCCCAAAATGCCAGCCTAAGCCACTTGGACGCATATCAGCTGCTCTATAAAAGGATCAACAAGCTCCTCGTCCAAGGCCGGCCATTCCATAATTCGTTGTTCTTGAAGTAAGATGCTCTGCGGTACCTACGGAATACTGCTATAGGGACTCGCATCTCATAAATCATCTTCCATTAATCTCGCTTCGCTCTTCTCCCGATGCAACGGATAACTCATTAATAATAATTATCTTTTTCATTTTCATTTTCATTCCATCAGCTAAACTTGATGCTCTTCATATGCCGCCCAGCCGCAGAGGGGAATTATGCCATGGCTGGGATAAACAAAAAAAATAATATGTACACTGATGATTGGGTATTAAAATAGTATGTACCATCCCCCCCTTTTGAGCCTTGCCTTTCCCTTTCCTTTCGCAAGACCAATCCTAAACTCCTCCCTATTATTAAAAGCTTCCTTCAATGCAGCTCAGTGCTTGACAAATGCCATGTGCAGAGAAAACGCCGTCTATAGCCATGGATGGCATTCGCCGACCGGACGATTATGTATCGCTTAGATACCGCAAGGCCGTACATGTTTGTATAATGCGTCGCTGACTGCAGTTGTGCAGTCTTCGCCCGTTTTTTTCGAAATTCATGCCGTCGTGTGTTTTCGATCTAGTTCCTCGCTTCAAAAGTAAGAGGGCAGTCATCCTAAATCATTGTTAGTCAGTTGTCCAACTATTTCCGGTACTTTGTTTGGGTCGTGTCTTACCTTGGGGAAGATGGTTGCAAACACCTTGATCTCTTCTGAGAGAGGGGTGGCGTGATGAGTCCAGTTCATTTGCACAGAGGCTTTTCCGATCATCAGAGCCAGGTTAAGCTGGGCATACAGCTGACCAAGGCAATAGTGAGGACCGGTTCCGAACACCAGGTAGTTCTTGGCACCCTTGACTTCAGCATCGCCTGAAAAGTATCTCTCGGGGTCGTAATAATCAGGGTTGGGGTAGACTTCGGGATCGTGCAGAGCCATGTACGTTGTAGGAATCAGCATAGAGCCTATCGGATAAGATGTCAGTATTTGAAGCGTGCAATCTTAACAAATCAGGCTAAGAATTGAGGCTTACCCTTGGGAACAGTGTAGGTGTCGGTGATGGGGAACGGCTTCTTGACCAGATACGGGACCATAAGGACCGGTGGGCGGTATCGGAGGAGCTCTCGAACGGCGGCACGGGTGTAGGTCAGAGACTCGAGTTGATCCATGTTGAGGTCGGCATTGATATCACCGTTGCGGACCTTGAGGTTTTCCTCTCGGATACGGTCGAGAACATCGGGTCGTTGAGCGGTAACCTGGAAGAGCCAAGTGGCGGCACTGCTGGTGGCATCCTGAGAAGCAAAAAGGAAGGTGAAGACAGTCTGGGAGATTTCGTAATCTCCAAACATGCGCACCATGGGTGACGGCTTCACCAGATCCTCGGTGGGCAGGCCCTTTGCCTCAGCCTCGCGCCAACGCTCGGACTGGATCATGACCAGAATCCAAGCATCCATGATACAGGTGACTTCTCCTCCAGCAGCCATGCGGACCTTGGCCTTGGCAGCACATTTGGCGAATTCAGCAAGAACCATGTCGGCAGCCTTCTTTCCATACCAGGTCTTGGTGTAAGGAAGAATGATGGGGAAGTTGACGAGCTCGAGGGCTGCGGTGATGAGATAATAATCATCAGCAATCTTCTTGATAGCCTCGTCAGAGATGTAGTGTCCGACAAAGGTGCGGCAAGAGACGGCGCACATGAGTTCACGGAACTCGGGCATGAAAGGAACGGGCTTGCCGCCATTCTCCTTGGTGATGTCGAGGAATCGCTTGAAATACGCCTTGTACACCTCCTCCTGACCGGGAAGGTAGTCTGCGAGAGCCTTGCGGGTGAAGAGACCGTTGAGACCCTTGCGGAAATCCACGTGGAGCTTGCCGTCAAGGAAAACCCAGTTGTCCTTTCCGAGGAGCTTGTGGGCGACATCGACGACACAAGGCTTCACGTACATTGGGGAGTTGAGAACTTTGCGAGCCATATCACGAGTGGACGCAATAACGACGAACCTGCCGAGGAGTCAATGTCAGTCCCGGCCACCAACTCTGAACCCTGAGATGTATCAATTTCTGTGTGATGAATCTTACTTGTGGAAAACAGAGACACAGCTCAAGGGGCCGCTCAGCCACTTGGCATAGTACTCTTCAAACTTGGGGTCCATGGACTGCAGGAAAGGTCCAATGAAGGGCGTCTTGAATGCCGGACCAACGATGGAGCCCTTGCTGAGAAGATAGCTGACTGTTGGGTAGCAAGCGCTCGTTAGTCGGGATTCAACTTCTTGTCGAGCCATGGTGGGCTACGGAAAAGGCGAACAACATACTTTGGTCATAGGCGACACAGATGGCGATGACGGTGAACAGCCAAGTCCATGGCCCCGCGGTCGAGATGGTCTCGATCACATTGTCCAGCTGGGGAGGGATGTTGGCGCTGACATATTTCGAATTGGCGAGAACAGACGTAAAGACTGAGGATGCCCCGGTGGCATTGACGGCCTCCATGGTGGGCTACAGGCGGAAGAAGCTGTGTTGGCTGTCTCGAGCTGTTCTTGGTGTGATGGGTCGCAAGCTCTCGATCGGACGCGATACTATCGCGCTGCGGCTACCTTCAAAAAAGAGAGAGCAGACGGGGGCAAGCGAGTGACGGCGATGGGGATATAAAAGAATGGAGGGCCGACAGGGGGGCAGCACGAACAAAAGCCGTTGGTCCAAAGCCGTCTGGGGTTCAGAAGAGGCCAGGGAAGTATTTCGTGCGACTAGCACCTCTGGATTAGTACTAAACTCCGAGTCGCTTTAGTAATTGGCCCTGACCCACGAGGACGGTGTGCTCGTCGATGTCCAAAAGTACCTCGAGGTACATACAAGCAATCAAGCAATCACCAGCAGAAACTCCGCTCCAGGGTCCGAAAGGCTGCCGTCAATTGGTTTGCGTTGCTGCGCGTGTGTGTGGCATTGACAACCAGATCCCACTGCGCGCATGAGCGAGAGGCTGCCGGGGGTGAATCCTGGTCGTCAAAGAGAGTTTTTTTTTCTCTTGGGTGTTCAAAGATTGGATTACAGTAGACAAGACCCACGGCCGTGCTCCACGACTCGGAAGATGCAGCTAATCCCTCCCCTGGGCGCTTGATTGCACCGGTCCCTTGCCAATTTTAATCTTGTCTTTCTCTCTCTTTTTTTTTTTTTTTTGCTTATCGATTTTAGCGTCAAAAAAAAGACAGCATTAGTAGCTTGCTGTAGATCAACAGGCGTAACTTGTACGTACTTGTACCTACTCCATGCTCCCTACTCCAATATTCTACACTTGTATGAGGACTCTGTCTCTTTTTCTATGTTGCTTCTCGTCACTCATACTTAGTAGTATTACTTTGAGGGGATTCTCCTGACCCTGGCCTCCGTAATGGTTGCTCAGCGGCGCCCTCGGACTTGGACCTGGCGTCGCTCCAAGAGAACAATACCCATTAATTAAACGGCCCGCTTTTCACTCGTCTATCAAGCGTGTATCGCGTATCCGTTGACGGGTCCCTAGCTCGGACATACTAGTGCAAATTACAGGTCCCAGCTCAGCTACGACACAATTGCCAAACGTGCGAGGCTTGCCATGGTTCTGTCAATAACCGCCAGGGGGTTTATATTGCTGCTGGGAATCTCTCCGCAGGCTCCGGAAAGGCACAGAGGGCTGGCTGAATGACGCAGTTGAGCCTCTGATCTTACAGGCAGCATCTTGCCAGGTACCCCAAGCAGGCAGTAGAGTACGGCTGCATTGCTCCATTGAGACCCAGTGCCATGCCTGACGCAGGCTGAAAGGGTAATTGTTAATCTTGGAGGCCAATCCCATTCACTCGGCTACGCTGACCGACTTGGTCTTGTCGCTCGTAAGAGAACTCGTACGATGGTGCCTGCGGGAAGCGATATCCCGCGGTCATCTCCACGCGAAGCCATCGCGCTCATCATTGATGCTGTACCGGTGCCTGTAATTGTCTGCTTGTTAATGGCAACCTACTTGTACAAGTACTGAGAAAAAGGGGCCCTGCATCCTCTGCAAGTACCGACAAGTATCCTCCATCGAGACAGCGTGTCAGACTCCGACGCTCTGTGCAAGAGCTACTCACACGAGCAGAGCAATGGCAGGATTCCCGCTACGCTAACATCGGCGCGCATTCGAATTCGCTCAGATCAAATCTCGTTTCTGCTGCGGCCGTCCACCAATAGCAGCCGCCCTTTTGCAGACACCCCTGGCAGCGCGTGCCGCAAAAGGCAACCTACCGTCGAAAGAAGAATCTGTTGGGTCGTCGCTCAGAGCGCACAGCCAATCATCTTTCACAGTTTCAGCCCGCGCTAAATTTTAACACGAATACGAATAAGCCCTTTGCAAGCTTTGTCCCGCTTCGAGCTGCTTTTCGCTCCGCAATATTCATTCCCCTGCCTGGTTTTGGGATGCACAAGTATTTTGGCTTCTCTTGGGGGCCAGTAGTATTGACGAGGATATTAAGCTGCGCGCTGCGATTGTGTGCTCAGATATTGGCCAGCCCGAGCCCGAGCCCGAGCCGTCTGAGGCGATATCGCCAGCCATGGATCATGGGCAACGCGGAAGACAGGGTCCATATAACAGTGACACACAGGGAATGTAGATTTTAGGTATTGTGCCCACTATGAAGCAATGGTGCTTCTACAATAGCAACTGCTGTGCCACGATTGGCTTGATTCGCAATGATACATACATACTTGTAGTATAAGCTGCTATAGATCACCGCCATAGAGGCATTGATCAAAAGTGATAATAGCCTGCCTCCCAGTCCTTCGGTAGCCTAGCCGTCCGATTAAGTAAGTTGGACCAAAGCTACCCCTTGCTCAGGCTTCTTTTCCGGATCTCCCCGGCAGGGAGTTTTAATGATCAGGGTCATTTAAGACTTGGCGATTAGGCGAATGTACTCGGGCTGGCTTCTTGTTGTTCTGGGGTCTTTGTTTGTATGTCCTTCATCCCATCATTTCGGGCGTTACCTCATATAACAAACTGTTCACTTGTATGGCGGTTGGTAATGTCCGCAAAGCGCACCCAAAACTCCTATATGTAAGGCAGCTACTTTTGCGTGCTGTCTCTGAAGCTATTACTTGCTGGCGAAGCTCGGATGGGGTGTTATCAGGCACAAATGAACCTGTAGCGCCCGTTGTGGTGTTCGCCTGTCTCTTATATACGAGGCATGGTGATGTTGATTACCTAATCAAGTGCCAGGTCTCCAGGGTAAGCGACGCGACAGAGAAGGCTTTTGTGATAATTGTCCTCCGAGCAGCTTGGTTTATGATTGCATTGAATACATCTAGACTTGAGCCATTGAAAACGTTGGTTTCGCTAGTCTATTTCTTTGTGGGAATGAGGACCGGTCGTGGCAAATAGATGCTACTACTACTACTGCAACTCTTGTTCATCCACTCACGAATCAACATCTAGGCTTCTGGTATAGTACGAGCCAACATTACTGCAGCCTAGTTAATAACGCAACAGATGAACCTAGCAAAGATCACATGTCTGAAATGCAGCAAATCCTCAGGTAGCAGCAATATTAGGTATTAGGAAAGATGAGCATCTAGAGCAGACCAAGCCTCCGGCCAGCTCGTAGCATACCCCGGTATCACATTACACCGAAACCCAATACATGTACTGCCCTGCGTAAAGCAAGCCGAACAGCTGACAGCTAAAGGAGCCAGTAGCAGCAAACCTCCCAGCTCTGAGAGCAAAGATACGTCATTAAAGCCACCCACGTCGTGGTATGCCTCCCTGCGCAACTAAGCATCTCGTAGCACAGCATAGATCCAGCCTAACTGCTGGCCTACCGTCCGCTAGAGACATCGGCGTGTAAACAAGGCTGTATAACCCTACAATTACCAGTAAATAAATGAATCAGACCTTGATTTATAGTAGTAGTAACCAGCATCCACGCTCAACACTTGCGTGTACATTTGCGTGTCACTGCCCATCTGCTTACATGATACTCGGCTGCAGTTGGAGGAGGCTAAGGAGTGTGGCTGGCCTGCGGGAGGTGACGTATCGATATTGGCAGCCAGGCGCCCATACTAATATCCTCAATTTCCCCTCTGCATCAAACAAAGCCACGACTCCATCACATCACGCTTTATCAACTACCAACTCGCCCAAGATGCCCGCTTACATTGTGAGTAAAAATGACAAAGTTTATAGACTTCTGCCTGCCGATACGATACATTTACTGATGTCGCTCTTTAATTGATAGGTTACCCTTCACGACGATGCCTCGGATGCGCAGGTTGCCGCGTGAGTATCAGGCGCCCATCATCTCGCGGATATGAACCGCTGTATCGCTGACACGAGGCCAGAGCCAAGAAGAAGGCCACCGACGCTGGTGGCAAGATCACTCAGGAATACAGCTTGATCAAGGGCTTCGCGTGAGTCTACAACCCTTTTTCTTTCCTCCTAATGGTTACATATTTCCTGACATTGGATTTGCTGCACCTAGCGTTGAATACCCCGAAGGCACTGTCTCAACTCTCGACCAGGACCCATCGGTCAAGGCCGTCGAGGAGGACTCTGTGATGCGAACGCAGTAGATGGAGCTTTATGACCACGCTGTTTATGACGCCTATAATGCTTTGCCTACACTAGAAGGGAAATATAAATAGAATATCTTCTACTTCATACATTGAACTGGAATTACAGCTGTGTTCCATGACTGTGACAGTGACGCCCAAAGTAAACAAACGCTGCCCGCATCGACGCTGCCCCGCCATATTCCCCTCCTTTAGCTTCCTTCTGGTGACGTGACGTAAGTCGATAAGGGTGGGGAATAAAGAGTACAAAACGGCAGTATAGCAGTAGCAGCAGTTTCGTTATTGTCGCGTGATTTGACTTGATAATTAAATTCTTTACCAGTATTGTTGATCCCAAAGATTATCGATGAGAGATATATGCATACAGACTCCAGCAGTTTGATGTCACCAATTTGGCCTATACCTTGTTCAGCTTGGCTGTAACATCCTCTGGCTTGGTGGGCTCTGTGCCGTCACTAGCCTTATCGGCTGACCGGCTGATTACGGCGCACACAACACAACCATCTCGCAACTGGCCAAGCCGAGCTTCGAGAAGAGCATCGACCTACTAGTAGTGCTGCTAGCAACCACCAACCATTGACCTGTGACCACTAGCTCAGTAGTGCAGTAGCAGTATTAGATGGCCTGCTGAATCTGTTCTAGTACTCCCAGAGCATGTGCTAGTGGCATGCGCCGAAGATCGCTGAGCCGCTCACCGAACGCAACTCTTTCCATTCTGTAAACAACGAGGCTGCTTCCTTGGCATCGCTTTGCCTTGCCTTGCCTTGCTTCGCTTTGCTTTGCTTGCCTTGCTTTGCTTTGCTTTGCATGCACATCGCAGACAAGGCCGCGGCGGTGCATCAGCGGGGCGTCTTGTTGCTACATCTTCTATTGCTCGGTTTCCCAGAATCAATAACCGACCCCCAATGCTGCAATGACAGCCTTGATCAAGTCCACGAGACTGCTGCGGCCACTTGGAACTCGAGCTCCGGCCCTGCTGCAGGCCCAGCGCCGGCGCTTCACCTCGGACCGTGCGTACGATGTTTCTGACGCCGACATCTCCAAATTGGCCAACCTGCCTCAGCATCCTCTGCGTCTTGCAGATCTCGTAAGGTAGGCGGCGCGAGTCCTCTCTCTCTCCCCTCAGATCATCCCTCATTCTCTTCCTATCCATACACCGCATGCTGCAAGTAAACTCTGGACGATGTCAACCAGCTAACAATCTCTCTTCTTCTACACAGACACGGCAGGCCGCCTCTGTCCGAAAGGTCGCTCCTGTCCTCGGCCAACTTCACACTCTCCCTCGCCCCGATTCGTCTCGCCCACCGCCTCCAAGCGCTCCAGAACCTTCCGTACATTGTCGTCTCCAACCCCAACATTTCTCAAATCTACAACAACTACCTGCACTCTCTATCCATCCTGCTGCCCTACTGGCAGGCCGCTTCTGAGGGCCGAGCCATCACCACCCTCGACGATGAAATCAAGTTCACCAATGTCCTCGCCGAGCTGGTCGCTACTCATACCGACACAATCCCCATCCTAGCCAAGGGCTTCCTCGAGTGTCGGCGGTACATCTCCCCAGCCGAAGTGACGCGCTTCTTGGACGAGCATCTGCGCGCCCGCATTGGCACTCGCCTCATTTCCGAGCAGCACATTGCACTGCACTTTAGCAGTCAGCCTCATTTTGATCCTGGAGCTAGTCCTACGCCATGCCCCGAGCATCCCACATATATCGGTGTTATTGACACCGCTTTGAAGCCTTCGCTAACGATTGACTCTTGCGCCGGCTTCGTGGCTGATATTTGCGAGCTCCGATACGGCGTACGCCCAAAGCTCATCATTGACGGCGAGCCAGAAACGACGTTTGCCTTCCTGCCGATGCATCTGGAGTATATTGTCACCGAACTTCTTAAGAATGCGTTCCGCGCATCAATCGAGAGCAAAGCAACCGAACCTATCGTGGTCACCATCGCCCCCGAGCCACCGTTGAAACAACAAGAGGGCCATCTCCCTGATATCAAGCCCCCATCCGAGGAACTAGGGCCCTTCAAATACGACGCCATCAAGCCTCTTGACGATAACGCCCCGGGTGTGACAATTCGCATCCGAGACCGAGGGGGCGGCATTCCCCCAGATGTTCTTCCTAATATCTGGTCTTACTCGTTTACTACCTTTTCCGAAGACCAAGACATCCCAGGATCCAGTGGCAACGACGGGCTCAGTGCTATTGCTACTGCCAGCACCGGGGGAAGCTCGATTGCCGGCCTGGGATACGGTCTGCCGTTGAGTCGCGCATACGCAGAGTACTTTGGCGGTGGTATTGCCGTCCAGAGCTTATACGGATGGGGAACTGACGTCTATCTCCGTCTTAAGGGCGTTGGAAAAGTAGACCAAAAGTAACTTGCTCTTGTTGTTGCTGCTGTAGTGGTAGGAAATAGTTGAAGAAGGCACAAAGTTGGCTAGAGCGAAGCAAAAGGAAATCTTGGATCCATAGCGTATGTATAGCCTTCACCTGTTAGATATTTTTTTTTTCATTTACTATTCCATTTCGTGTTAGAACTGAAAGCGTTTCCATCCTCGTTCAACATTGCAAAAACTTATCCTCAGGTGAATACAAAAGCAATGGCTCGTGATCTCTTCTTCTCCGGACAATAACATGATTAATACTAATGGTCAAAAATTTTTAAGATATGAAAACTCTCAAATTCAAATGAACTATGTATTATAAACAATCGCTGCAACGAGAAACGTGCACGCCCCAAAAGTCAGCTTTAAAAAGACTACCGCTCAGGCTGCTCCCAAACAATCAAGTTACGGTAAAGCACATTATTCCATTTCATGACGCAATAACTCTTCTTTCCAAATGGTAGCTTAAACAAAAGACTGTAAACTTCTCTCTTCCTAAAAGAAAAAATAACACCCATAAAAACGCCGTTTCTCTGCCATATATCAAATGTTTTGCTGATGCAATAAACGGGTTTCTCTTTCTTTCTTTCTTTTTTTTTTTGGTGGTGATTTCTGTGGCTTCGTAGAGTACAGCGTTTCATCCGATCAAAATTCGTGGTGTTGACTATCGTACGAGGGAGCAAAACAGTCCCGGAAAATGAATAAAAGGAATGATTAGTACGATGATAAATATTAAAAAAGACACCCATATTCTAAATTCGCCAATACGCTTTGCATTTTCCTCCTCATTCATTCCATGCCCATATGCATCGTTACATGTTCTCCAACTCACGGTCGATTTGCTTGTCTACAAACGTGCGACGCTCGCCAACAAGCTCCGTTTGCAGGCGCTGCTCAACAAGGGCACGAACCTGCTTCTTAGTCACAGTGTCCAGGTCAACGCCTTGCAGAACGCTTTGGATAGCCTCGACGATGGCAGCATCTGATGACATGATGCCGCCGGCTGCACCGTTAAAATCAAACGAAGTTGTTGACCGCGTGGCCTCATGGCCTCGACCAAAGCTCATGGCAGAAGACGAGCGGTTCATGCCACCGAAGCCTGGGGACAAGCCCGGAGACAAGCCCGGCGAAGGAGTCAGGTTGGACAGACCTCGGGTATGCATCACGCTAGTACGCTGGGGGAAGTCAGAGTACGGTGACTGGCTGCGATCCTGAATCCCAGTGCCCATGGACATCATTGACTGGCGGTGCATATATGATGGGTCGCCGATATGGCTGGCGGCGAAAGGTGCAGGAGACTGGGGAGGCATGTATGTGTTGCGTCCGTGCATACCGGTGAGGACCGAGCCTTGAGGACCGGCAGAGTAGACGGATTTCATTTCGTCCATCTCGTACTGCTCATTGTAGCCAAAGTCTTGCTTCTCCTGATAATTGTAGTTGCCACGGCGGCCCGGAAGATTGTTGGTAAGAGCATAATCATCCCAGAGCTGGAGAGGGACAGTCGCCGGGTTGAAGCCTTCGTCATCTACAGCAACCACTTGCTTGTTGCCCTTCTCTCCAATAACGACACGAGTGTTACCCCAAGAGAAATTGTCTTGGTTCCAGAAGGAGTACACCGGAAGGGCAAACGAGTAAATGGGGTATGCAAGGATATAGATAATCATCCATCCAATGTGCTGCCACTGCCTCTTTAAGAGGAAGATGAGCGCCTGAAGACCATAAACGGCAGCCAAGATGACAATGGACCACAGTGGGAACGACGCCGGGTGTGTCGCTACGCTGTAGATCATGTAGCCAAGGTAAGCGCACGTCGCAGGAAGAATGATGGTACCGAAGAGATCCATGAAGACAATGAAGCGCATGCCGAAGAAACAGAAGCCACACATATCCTTCAATCGCATAAGCTCAACCAAGTTGTGGATGGTGGAGTTGATCCATCGACGACGCTGGGACAGGAGAACGCTCCACGATTCTGGAGCAGCTGTCTTGCACTGAGCATGCGCCAAGAATTTGTATTGCATAGAGGGGAAGTGCTTTGTCATCAACGTTGTCAAGAATCGATCCTCACCCAGAGAGAGAAGATTCTTCTGGTGAAGTGTATCGACGTCGCAAACACTGTAATCCCGGATGACAGCATCAGAAATGATTAGGGGCTTGCCCTTCTCTGCTGTTCTAAGACGATACATGGTGAAACTATGCACACATTTGGGTCAGTTACATTGATAAGGATCAACAATGAAGAAGAAAGGAAAGAGAGGAAATCGAAAAGTGTTGTGAGATCTTGGGCTGGGGAACCCTTGATTGTTTTCCACTTACCATCCGGGCAAACAGGTAACGCTACCAAACAAAGACTCGAAAGCCTTCGCCATATGATGAGAGATGTAGTATTCATAGACCTGAATCATTGTCCACCAGGACTTTTGGTCATTCTCGAGACTGGTCTCACCGCAGATACCGGCAATCTTTGCGTTATGAGCGCAAGCTGCAACCAATCTGTTCAAGGAATCTTCTTGGACACACGTGTCGGCATCAACCATGAGCAGGTACTCGTACAGCTCAGGGTCCACGCCAATGACATTGTTGATCTGATTGAACATTTCCAGTTCGAGCGGGTTCATGGGAGAGCGATGGTGCACACGGTTAAGGAAGCTCATAAGAAGAATCTGGGAATCACGTTTTCCACGGTTACCGGGCTTTGACTTCCTTTGTTCTGCCTCTCGACCGACTTTGATAACGACCAGATATGGAACAACATTGCCTTCGTACTCGTAAAGGCCGGAATAGACTTTCCCGTAGTTAAGCTGATCACCGCCAGCACCCACAGCTTTGAATGGAAGAGCCGGAGGGTCAACTTTGGGGTCGACACCCAGGATGTCCAGAACAATCTTGGGCGTAGGCCGATCATTACCTCCTCCGACAACCATACCGTCGCAGATGATGCAGATGAGCTTGCGCTTATTGTCGTATTGCAAGGCTGTCAACGAGTCGAGTGCTTTTCGCAACGAGTCTTCACCTTCTGTGTAAGCAGGGACTTGACAAATAACAAATTTGTCTTGAGGAGATGGGCGTCGCTTGCCGCCAAATTGGAGGGCGGACACGAACTTGAGCCCAATGACAACACAGAGAACAATGGTGAAGGAGAGAAGAATCCAGTTGTTCACTGTGCACCGGGGGGTTACGCGGAAATCCGTGTAGCCTTTCAAGAAAAGGCGCTGTATGCAAAACCAGCTGTTTTCAAGATTGGCGTGTACGGTGCTGTTGTTGTTAGGATCGTTGAGGAGAACGTCAAGTTTGCTCTGGATATCGGTTCCAGGATTGTTGGCCCATAAATCAGTGATGTCCTTGTTGAGGAACACGGACTGTTTACTGTTATCATAAACAGCGAGGGTCGAGAAATAGTTGGTCAGGTCATAGATTTTGTTGCCATACATGGCCCACATCCTTTGCTCGTCATTGCCTTCTTTCGCAACATCCTTTGTGGTGTAAACCAGTTCTCCCTTGTAATATTCCTCGATAGCTGGCTCAAAGACGTTGAAGTACCAATTCTCGTCGTGCAGCTTAGTGGTAGGATCAGGTTGGAAGTGGCCTGAAGTATGCACAGCCGTCTGGTATAGGATAGTGTTGTTGAGAGATAGCTGAAAGGCATCTGAAATACCAAGACCTGGGCAGGCTACATTCAGAGGAGGAATGAAGTAATCGTCCAAATCCATACCAGCCAAGGGCAACATGACGTCAGAAGTGGTCTTGATGGCGGTGTCACTGTGCTGTTGCTTCCAGAATTTGGTAAGATCATAGACACTGCCATGGATACTGACGTAGTAATCGTTTTCGCCTTGGTGGAAGCCAACCTGCTTACGGTTCCAAGCTTTGTCCATGTTAGGGCAAAGAACACGCCCGAATCCGACAATCCAAAAGACGATGATACCGTTCATAAGGGCAATCAACAGGCACAGCGTGAACTTCTCACGCCAGGCCATGCGGACATCGGGGCGTTTCATGCCACCAGGCCAGCGGAGCAAGAAGGAAGGAATATACCAGGTCATGGCCCAGCAGAACCAGACCCAGGCTCGACGGGCATTATCCACCTCCTTTGTCTCAATCTGCTTGTTCTCAGCTAGCTCGGGGTCGAGGGCAGCGGCTTCCGCGTTGTAGAACCCGTCATTCCTATACAGGTCACCCTTGTTACCCAGACCATAGTCACCATTGCGCATAGTAGGTGCAATGGATGGGTGGATGGATGGCGCGGCATGCGGCGCCTGGTTTTGGCCGAGCGTGAATTGGCTCATGTTGCTTTGGCTCATGCCGCGGTTGTGAGCCAGTGCATCACGGCTGGAGCCGACACCATTGTCCAGACCAGTCGGTGGGAAGTAGCCGCTGCCAGTTCCCGAGTAGCCAGTATCAAAACCACTATTGAAGGGGTTGCTGTGGATGGGATGTAGTTCATCGCCTGGCTTAACATCAAGCATGTTCTCGGCCTCCCACCATGCATTCTCGCGAATCCAGACCCGTTCCTTGCCGATGAAGACTTCGCCGTTGCTCCAGCCACGCTCCAGCATCCATGTCTCGATGCCTTCTCGCCCATCCCTGCAGCCAAGGGGGGCATAGCGGTGCACGAATTCCTCAACGTCAAAGTCGGCAGTAAAGTCGAGATTTCTATGCCGGCGGTTGGCCCATTCTGGCAGCCTCCAGGAGCGAAGCTGTCGGGAGACAGTGCCGGCCGACCAAGCAGACGTAATGGAGGGTAGCGCGGCTAGACTGGCAGGAGAATCATCGGTTGGGTGCAAGCAGAGATGATACCACATGCGGTTGGAGCTAAGCACCGTGGGGAGATCAATACGGCCAGCTCTGCCCAGGTTGATGCCTTGGCCTTCGACGGGGAAGAGCAGCTTCTTCAGAAAACTACCCTCGTCGGCGCCATAGGCAGCCTTCTCCAGGATAACTTCCCTCTTCTCTAGCTCATGCTGTCGCTCACGTCCCTGTGGGCCATTCATAAC